TAAATAATTAAGAGTCATAACAAAAATATTTTTGTTATTTTCACTCCTTTGTTACAATTTCCAGCAAAAGACAAAAGGAAACAACAATATTTTGTCACGTCATGACCCTTTTAAATAAAGAAATACGAGCTGTACACTGCACACATGCGTTGGCCAAGAGAAATGGTACTCTTTCGACGGCGAGCAGCAACAGTCGCGACGAACTAGACACTGCCACCGTTAATATCTCAAATATTTATAAAATATTTTGTTGTCGAAAGATGTGTGCCGCGGTCGGCATTTGGCATCAGGCCAGTGCTATTGCTCTCCTCCTCTTCATTACAAATGGTGTAAGATCACAAGCAGCCCTTTATCGTAACGCAATGAAAATTTTTCGATTTGATCATATATCAGACGAAGAAAATAATATTTAATAAGTTCATCATTCGAGGACGCCGTCGTGTCACGAAAATTTCGCATCCATATTGTAAAAACTCCGATAGCCTTCGTTTTGGAGCGTAAAACTCATGCACGTCTATTTCTCTTTAAATTTTCCATAAATATACGCAATTTAACTAAAAAAATCAAAACAATATTTATCTCTCTCACCGTAACTCCTTAATGGGCAATACGCAGATATTAAAATGATCAGAAATGCATTCTACAGGACGAGCTTCTACGAGTCTACAAATCAGGATAACAGAAGAAACTCGAGCGTGACTATCGATAATGGCGATGAGATGAATGAAAACTACACGTGCAGGGGCAACCAAAGGTGGAAAAGTCATTGAAGGCATATAGCGTCCTATAGTGTACCTGGTCACGAGTTCGCGTTGCAGCGGTGCAGCGAATAAGAGCAGGGCGACACGCGCCGCTCGCCTGTCTCCGAGCGACTGGCGCCCGGGCCGCGACGCCCCGCCCGCTCCGCCACACGCCGGCGGATTCCGCTCGCGCTGTCGGCACGCGTCCGCCGCGCCGACACTCGCCCACCCGCTGCAGCAGCTACTGCTGCTACCACCACGACCTACCACTGCACCGCCAGCTACGACGCAATTTAAGCCCTCAGATAAACCCAGCAAGCGTTCCACACCGCGAGAGTATCGATGTATTTGTCAAGAAGTCTCGGGCGAAGGGTAGTCGCAAGGGGTGAGCACGCACCGCGCGGCGAGGGGGGCTGATCCTGCGCGTTGCGTCACGCATTTGTCTCGCAGTTTTCTTGCGTGCTCCCGCAGCCCTCTATCTGCAGAGACGTATCAGCCCATGGTACCGCCGCCACCACCCGCCCCGCGCGTCATTGCGTCGGTTGTGTTTACGATCACACAAAGTTTTTAGTTTTTTAATTGCTAATTTTGCAATGAACTTCCATTCCGGCTAGGTCACTAAACTTAAGATATAGATAGAACTATCTCACCAATGTTATTTTATTTGCCGTCAACAGGTTTTATTAAGATGCCCAGATGGTTTGAAATATATTTTTAATATGTACGTCATTTACATTCTGTAATGGCATTACTTGTAGTGTAGCACATAATTACCTACTAAAAATATTATTGAATTTGCAATCGTAGGAAAATTGTAGAAATTAATCAACTCTTAATATGTATATGAAAGCAGTTTGTCCACTCAAAGCATCAATCACCACCTATGATCAAACAAAGTTTCAATTCCTGATAAAGTTAGTCTTTTTTAGAATTAGCAACGCTAAAAGATGCTTAACATACATTTACTGTTATTGGTTGCTGGTCGGCACACAATTAACAATTTTACGTCTCAACATCAATCACTCACGAGCTGGTTATTGGAGCCTTATTGAAACTAATGTTGCTGCTTCAATGGCTAATCTGATGAAAAATATCTTTGTCGAATTCGGACCCCACGCCATAGCGCGCTGATTCCCCAATCACTCGGCTTAGCCCTAATTGAGTTAGGTATAGACACAGGACCACTTTTTACGGTTCGATATCCTGCTATCTCGTAGAAGGAAGATGGAATATTGCCAAGAAATTGCTTTCATGAGGGGAAATTCAATGTAAAGCTAGCTCAAATTCGGGATTTTTATACTTAAAAGTAGCTCTACCTCTTACCGAGAATACTTCTTTCATACAAATTATGATAACTATTCACGCTCTATATCACAACAAAAACCTTGCGGTGACGGTCGGCAATGATGGGGAAAAAGGACCGAATTTACTCAACGAGCTCTAATCTCTGATACGTATTCCATGTCCACAGCCCGCAGCTAACTCCCCTTCTTCTTTTCAACAGCGAAAGAATCATTGAATATTCTCGTAGGTAGAATCGAAATATTTTTTAATTTAGATTGGAAAGAAATTTTAATTAGTATTATAAATACAGGGGCTGTACAAATGCACTTGTTAAATTTTTAGAAAGTACAATGCTTTTTTGTAGGCAACTATGAAACCACTACTACAAAATGTACTTTTCACACATTGTATCCAATTCAAATTAAGGAAATAATAAATGTTTTAATTACCAAAAGTTAAGTTACATTGATTTATGTTCACAATAGTAAATTATAAAAAAACCATTTCTGCATTGCACATTAAAGGTGGTACTTATTTTGTATGATAAGAATTTTCAGGAAGAATATTGTCAGTAATTGCAACGATCAAAATTACATAGGTACTCTTAGTGACGACAAACTCAATAAAAATAAATAAGCAATATTGAGTGAAAGCTTGATGATTTTAAACAATTCATGTCTCGTAACACAAGTAAGTTCAACTTTATTCGCTACAAAGGAAATAGTGGATAATAAAAACGAATAATCTTATTTTACCACAGTATTACACAAAGCCAACTTACACTACTCAAATAAACATGGGATCACTCGCTCGGGAATATATAGAATCATCTTAGAAAGATAACATTACTTTCTAAATTAATGTTATCTTTCTGCATATGTAAGTCAAACCACATAGTGTCAGTTGGTTCCGACATATTGGGTATTAAAGATTTATAACAATATGTAGTCATTATCGAAGATCGAAATGAGTACAGTATATTTATACACATAATAACACTTTCCTCTTGAATCGTGGAATTATTGTACTTTATTTTGGTTTCTATTTTTTTAACTCCTACTGTTTTTACTACCATAAGTAATATTCATATACTTTTTGTGAAAATACATCACAAGTTTGGTGTTATTATTGATACAAAATTCGAACAAACACAAAGAAAAAATCCGTCGATCCGGCTGGATAAATACCGTTTCTGACAAAAACCGACTGTACATGTGTGCTAAGTCATGGAAGCGGTTTGCTTACCAAGCGTGGATGCTCGTTCCCACACAACTCCCAAAAATCGGACGCTAAAACAAGCCTTTAATTAAGTCACCACATCTAACTAAATTAGGTTTGAATAGAGTACGTTAAGCCCTTTTTCCAACTGGTTTCATATCCCTCACGAAGTAAAGCATTCTGGTGTCTCGCCAAATCTGTCGAGGCGAATTTCTGCAGATCGTCGCTTTCTCCACTATTAAAGTCTGATAAAAATCACTCGGTAACACCGTTAAAGAGAAAATTAATTTATTGGTTTTTGCTTTTGCGGATAACTCACATCTAGATGCTGCTGCCAAAGTTCGTAGTTACCTCATCATTTATCTATAATATTTTAGTAGCAGTTCGTCCAGGTAAGTGCTGCCACCTTACCTGTTTCTGCCGCCAAGCAGTAATATGAGCACTACTGCGTTCCGGTTTCGAAAGGTGAGAGTGCTGATGATATTACAGGCACATGGGACTTGTCAGCTTATGTCTCAGGGTGACGATCGCAGTGACAGTGCCCCTAAGATCTTTACGATTTAAAGCTCTAAGTGGCACTGCAACTGTTATGGACAGGCGTGTAGCTTACCATCAGGCACATGACTCGTTCGTTCCATTGATATTATTTTAAAAATCTAAAAGATGTACTCAGAACAGTAAGCACTCTTGACATGAATATAGCGATCCCTGTTGGTATTCCGGTAAATGTTTTTTGTAAAAAATCTGTATACTTGGATTGTCTTCACAGAGGACTTGGGTTTATATCTTTCTGCCAAGATTATAAGAATAGACTGCATTCGTCAGTCATTTCATGATAACCTGTCAGTTTATTTTGAGCACCGTCATAGTTAAGAAGTAAGTTAGTTGTGTACTTTTTTTACGCTAGGAATTCCCAGCGTCGGCGTTAAATACCATTCTCTGAGGCGCAGCAAACAGTTATGGGACTCCCAGGCAGTAGTTCCGTATACCCAATAAAACCCAGTGGTTAAACCCACCATCACAGACAGGCGTCTCAGGTTCCGTACAAAATTGTATATTCTCAACTTAAGCATTTGAATTTGAAGTTTGATATTAATTGTAGTTGATGTCAATTCAATACTACAAACAAGCAGTTGAAAGTAAATAAGTTTGACTACAATGTAGCCAGTAGGACTTTTGTCCCGGGAATCTCGTCACTCGGTCTCGAAAACTTTCGAGTCTCGACAATTCATTGGCATTTTGGAGACTCGAGGCTGACATTTTCAGTCTTGGGAATGTCAAGAGTTTTAACACTTAAGTCATTTAATTAAAAAGTATTAAAAATCTACTAAACCATCAGATATTATTCGCTCTGGCCACACGGACGTGGCAACACTGCACAGTGCAGTTACAATTTGTGGATAAAAAAAAATATTGAAGAACGGTAGTGACAAAATCAGGTCCTCTCTATTAGAAACTATACTTAGCGCCCCTTGTTTCTTACGTACTCATTATAAAAATGAAAAATAACTTTCATAATTAATAAATAATTTTTCATTTTGTAATTTGTGTTAATAAAGAACACAATTTAAATATGATGTGTTACCTGCCTAAACGCGTAACCTATAAGCATGTAAATCTATTTTTGAAACAGTCTCGAAAGCTCGTTTTGTCCGAGATTTTCGAGACCGCACCAAGTATCTTTTCCCGGCACGTGGAAATGCAGCGAAATTGAAAGCCCTAGTAGCCAGTATCATAAATATATATGCATACGTAGTTGAGTATTTACTTTTGGCCCAAAATATCTTAAAGTTCTATAAAAAAAATGTGTAAGTGATCTAAATTGGTTCAACTCTTGGGTTTCTGCAAAAAAAGTAATTTTTTTCAGTGTGAGCCAGCAACTAGAAATTAATATAGGCATTATTATTATAGTACATTTGCGTTAAAGCTGAAAAAGAAGGTTTCACCTGTCCAATAAATAGGCTTCAAACAATGAGTATTGTTTTAACTTGAACAAATTGTAGGTGCAATATTATAAAGACATGGTGCAAGATAACATGAAAATGATACAGAGTATCATCAGTCTTTCAAACTAACGAGAGGGAGTTCCGTGAAAGTTCGTAAAGATAAGTTAGTAACTAGACATGGGTTCTGTTCTAGATTAAAACATTAAGAAAGTTTATATAACACCTTCAGATTCCTCTGAATCACTAAACATTGCAAAAAATGTAAAGAACTTTTGATGGTATATAAAGTAAAACAACACAGTTAATCACCGTTGTCGTCCTCTTTGCTGTTGTCTTTTTTCTGTTTTTCTTTTTCTTTATTTTCTAATTGCTTCACCATGTCGATAGGAACAGGAGGCCCCTGATAATGTACAGTCAGTTGCACAATCCTCTCTGCTTCTCTGACGCCACTTATCCTGGCGCCAGAGACTGTTGCAAAATGACCTGGAACAGTCGCTTCTCCAGCAAACAGCAGAATTGGTGGAATGGGCTCATTGGGCCCTGGCAGAGGACAGGCTAGTGCTCGCTGTGCTGAACCATCTGAGCAGCCATTGTCAAATGAATAAGCACCACAAAAGTAAGGATCCGACGACCAGTAGGATCTTAGAATTGCTACTGGATACGGTACACACGTACCTGTAAGACACCGCAATAAATCTGTAACACCCTCCGCCACATCTTTATCACATATCCCCTCCACAAAAATAGCCTCCTGTCCAGTCACCCAACAACACATTACATGTTTGCTGTTAGATACTATTCCTAATGATTTAATACCTCTAGTCCAATCACAACGGCTATAAAGCTCAGAGCCTGTAAACTTGAAATTTAAATCAGATTGTTGCCAATACCAAAATGGGCGATCGTATTCTAAATATATTTTGTTACAATGTCCAAACCCGAGACATCGCATTGCATCCATTTTTGCAGCCGGTAGAGCTGGGCAGAACATTTTGATTGCGTTCTGTGCCAATACACCCAGAGATATAGTGACAACGACGTAGTCTGCCGGAAATTCTTCACCGTCGTCAGTTACAACTACCGCTCTGTGTAGGGACTTTGGACAAGTTCCCCAATACACGCAATTAACAGGCTTACAATATCTTATAGCACCTTCCGGTATCTTGCGCAGTATTGGCGCTAAGATACCAATTAATCCTAAGGGAACCCGAACTTCTCCGCCCGCCATATTCATAAAACAACCAAAGTGATCTGCACAAAGCATCGACGTGTCACTGCCGCAACGCGCGCTCAGCATGTGGCACATACCAAACATTATTCTTGCTGCGTCGTGCTGGTGTTCTTCAGGGAACTGGTGTAGCTCTTGTTGTATTCTTAGACTCATGAAATTAATAAGGGAACCATGCTGCTTGCTTCCACCTAAGCAATATATAGCGTCAGCTTCTTCTTCGATCTGTCGAAATTTGTAGTAAGCTGTTATGGTTGGCGTGAATGGCATATTTCCACTAACAGCTCTGGTAAATAAGCCACGACTGTGAACAGCAGCAGGAACACCGGGTCGTGGAGGATCTTCTGAAGCAGCCAGCTTATAAACTGGATGTGTGGCGCAATTATCTTCTTTCGAGTGAGAGCCGAGCTCCGCTACGACATCACCGAGCCAACACGAATGGATGCGTCCTCCTGGCCTAAATGAAACAAAATGTTTGATTTAACAAAATTTTTGGCCTTTGTCCAGCAGCGTGACAGCAACGGCTAACTAAAAAATAGAATGTAACAAAGTAACGAAACATTCGAGTAAACATTTAATTTAACTTCAGTACTACGATTTAAAACAAAGATATTACAATTTCATTAACTATACCTTTGATAAGCTTCCAGTATTACTATATTCTCAATGCCGCGGTCGAAGAGGCGAGCAGCGGTCGAAAGGCCTGCCATGCCGGCACCAATAATAACGACGCGTGGCTCCGGGAAAGACAGATCTACATTAATTGGGTCCACCGCATTTATGCCACGTTCGATCATGTTAGGAGAGCAATCGTACACTGTTGCAGGCTTCTTGGGACATTTGAATGTATTTTTTGCTTTTTTATCGGATTTCCTGTGAAATAGTAGTTTAAATTCACTAAAATAACTGAAATACATCGTCCTATCTCTTACACAGCCACATACTTGGTATTTGCGATGTGTTATTGGTTTACAAATTCATTTGTAATTGAGAATGGAATGTTCTGTTTGTGGTTCGATTGAGATCACAAATGTATTGATAACTATATTTGCAAGTTTTACTACTACGGTTCAAGTCTTTCCTTTAAATAAACTTGAATACGACCCTACTTTTGAACATTTCCATAGTCTGTCATCGAACAAACGTTTATCTGATAAATGTTTACTAATAATTTTAGAAGTACGTACCATCGTCTCATACTCGGCCATGTTCTTTGAATGATTCTAAATAAATTACTAAAATTTCTCATGATGTACAATAATCAAAATAAAACCACTAAAATATTTTGAAAGGTCATGAGTGCATTTCTATCAATTGAATGTCAAAACCAAGTCAAAACATGACGTGTTTTTGGCAATGTTCTATTTTATAACTACGACGCACTATAAGTTTCCGGAACTAGCCACTTACATAAACAATATTTAAAAAGTAATTACGACATTTGAAAATGGAACTCTTTGGCTGTAGAATACAGTTTGAAACAAAATCTGACTGTCAGGCAGAGGTTCCAGGTTCGATTCCCGGGCCGTGAGAAATATTTGTATGTGTGTGCCTACATTTATTTCTCTCGTGAGTTTGAGTGTAATTTGTGGTTGTCGTATGTGTGTTGAGTGTGTGCGTTATTATCATTGTCATTGTCACTGCCATTGTCATAGTCCCGACCTGGCGCCTTGTCACTTTTATTTATTTCCAGAAATTAAAAACCAGCGCACAACGCATTCAACAATTTTCATCACCTGAAGAGACTGTCGAAGAGTATGAAAAATATGTTTCAGAGATTGTCACGGAGGAGTAGCATAAATGTTTTCAAAATTGGTTCATTCTCATGAAAAAGTGCATTAACGGTAACGGAGAATATTTTGAGAAACAATAAAAAAATTTTCAAACAATTTATAGTATTTTATTCTTATTCATTAAGGAAACTCATAGTGCACCCCAAGTATTTAACAAAAAGAAGTTTGTGGGAGCATATAACAGCTCCAAAAATATAATTAAAAAACACTTGGAATAAATAGGAAATGAAACTATTTTTCCGGATTTAAATCGCGTATATTTGTTTTTTTCAAACAAACCGACGTTTCGGGTCCTTTACAGGTCCCATGGTCACGGTTGACTGTTTAGTTAAGTAAGTAATTAGTTAAGTAGCACTAGAAAGGAAAGCTTCTAAAGATCTTCAATCAGGTGCCTAAGTAATGTAATATAGGTCCAAGTACAAAGAACTTACGACTTTTCGATTTTATTGAAGACTTTGTCTTCAATAAAATCGAAATCTCGGAGGTCAATTTATGTTATTGAACTATAACGATAAAAAATTGAGTAGTTTTCAGATAACATTCAACAGGGTTAGTGTTTCTTCGAAAAGTTATCACTTGAAAGAAATAGTTCAAATATGGTTATAATTTTACTATAGATATAACTTTACTTATTATGCTTATGTTGCGCAATGAGGCGTCTTAAGAGATCAGAAGTCGATCGTCGATTTTATTCTTATTTTATCTAAGGACTTCTTCGGCAGGAAACAGGAGTTTAAGTCTTTCTCTGAATTTCGCTACGAGCTGAAGCACTCAGTCCAGAAGTGATCCAGTGTATGGTAAAAATGTCGACTGACACCGAGTAGTGAATGAGTCTCATCAGTGTAGCTCTGTAAAATAAAACGTTATGTTAATAAATAAACTTCTTAGGTTGAAAAATTACAGCTTCGAGGTTCTAATTGTTTCAAAAACACCTAATTTTGGGACCTTTCAATCATACAATTCGTAAGCATTACTAAACTTATGAAATGATGGCTTTTTAATTCAGAGTTAGTTAAGAATTATTTCAACTTTTGTACATGGTTATTTGTAAAATTCTAACAACCTCGCAGAACTGTATTACTAACATCATAAACTACAAATAAAAACATCTGATCAATCAATGTGAATGATTTTGTCTAACCATTTGTTCAAAAGGAATGTCAGCATGCTGCAGCACTTTTGCGAGCTGCAGACTGTGTTGATAATGTACGTTGTCGTCTCCCGTCCCGTGCACCAGCAGGTACTTGCGACCACGCAGCTTCGGCGCCAATGCCAATAAATCCGAACGCTGGTAGCCAACAGGATTAGCTTGCGGAAGATCCATGTAGCGCTCAGTGTAGATTGTATCTGTGAAGAGCATATAACTTTGAAAAAACGTATCATACCTTTTCTGTATATCTGGCGCATCTTGGGCAAGAATCGGTGACTACCTTATGCTGGGGTCGCACTTGCGTCTATCGTCACGAAACAGTTTGTGCTGAAACTTCGTATGATTTACTCGTTAAAAATTTATCACGCCAATGCGGTGATCACGTTAACGTTTCGTAATTTTAAACGAAATATCGTGTAATAAACCAAAATGACTACAAAACAATTTCCAGACCTATTGACCATGACTATTAACTATTTTTTACATCTACTGTGTAATGTGTACGAAAAATTACATTCATTGGATCCCATGTAATGGGCTCAGCTTCAAAGGTGTTTAAAAACTACAATATCATTTCGTCCCTCCAGACCGCAACAACCGAGAAATACAGTTGATATGAACAACACTAGTCCCAATACGCAGCACAAATTAACTAACTTAATTAAATTAAAACGATTGAATAATTTATTAAATTTAAAATTCAAACTTCAAGTTGTCTTCAAACAATGTCGCAAGCGATCAAATGTGGATCACATAAACCATCAAACAAGTTGGACAAACTTGCCTGTACTGTTCATGCTCATCTCTTTCTATAGTCGTACGTACCTACCGTACTATAGTTATCACAATGACTCATATCTCTTTGTGATTTGTGCAATGAGTAAGCATAATAGATAAACCGTTTCTAGCATTAATTCTAGCACTAAGTATTAAGAAAAAAGAAATATACGTTGGTATGGAATCTAGCAAGGTGAACGCGTAGGCGACAACTGAAATTTGGTTTGACAAACATGCTTGCAAACATATTTGTAAAACACGTCGTCAATCGAGATTTCCATCAAACATATCAAACACTTACATTATTTGACAAACGCATCAAACACGACCGCAGACGATCAAAAAGTTTGACACAAAGAAAAAAAAAATTTGACAAATTATTTGATCGTTTACCGGCCGTTTAACTCGATTGATAACTTGTATGCAGCCAGAACTTTCGCGAAGATAGCCGATATTGGTTAATTATACCTGGCTGCGTGTATCGTATCATTGCGCAAAGCTTCGTGACGATAGACGCAAGTGCGAGCCCAGCATTACGCCGATTGGCAAATCCTTTCACCACGATGGCAAGCATTAGTGTACAATCGGCGCCTTCACTTAGGTATCGTCGGTAGTGAGGGCACCGACTGGTATTATGCCATCGATGCGATAAGAAGAAGACTTTAAAAAATGCTTTGTCTTATGCCACATAGTTATACCAGTGTTCAAAAATGTTTAAGAACAATCCACACCTTTGTTGTTTTAAAAGGAAATTATTGACGTTAAAGGACGTTATTGTATAATTAATGATTGTACGTTATTGCAATTGCTATGACTGGGGTATATCGCATGTATTCATTATCCAATGAAGAGAACAATTGAATTTAATGGGAAATTTTCCCTTTCCTGGCTATTTCAATGGAATAAAAGAGCAATTCACAATAAAACGATATATACTTATACTGAACATTAAATATTACATTTTTGAAAAGAGACTACGGTATGCTTCAATGGAATACGTGTGTTGTACAATAGAAAAAATGAATTGTATACTATTATTAGAGGAGGAAGACGATTTGATAAAATGGCACCGGAAGGGAAACATAAATAAAAATAATAATAATTCAACTTTTACGTCATAACCAAAATAGTAATAGCAATAAAAAAAAATTTTCTTTTGGGCCGTGGGAGTGGCGATAATCTAAAGTAGATGCTAGTATAAAATAGGTTCTTGAATCTCACCTACCGCATCCACATTCATACCTCGAACACATTTAAAAATACAAAATTAATAATTACATCCCCGTAAAGGCGAGAACTTAAGAAATAATCAAAATAGATAATCAAACTTTTTTTTATACTAAATGATGTGACGAACAAGTCGTACGCCTGTCCATAACAGTTGCAGTGCCACTTAGAGCTTTAAATCGCAAAGATCTGAGGTGCACTACCAGTGCGCCCATCTCCCTGAGACATAAGTGAAACGGTTGAACCCTTCAAAACCGGAATGCGATAATGCTCACCTTACTGCTTGGCGGCAGAAATAGATAAGGTGGCAGTACTTCCCTGAAAGTCTTTCACAAGAAGCTCTACTGCTACTGTAAACTACTAAAAAAACTAATAGGAATAAAGTTACATAAAGAAAAAAAGTTAAAGAAAGAAAAAAAGCTGTGATAGCCTAATGGTTTGACCTATCGCCTCTCAAAGCAGAGGCCGTGGGTTCGAATCCGACTTCACGACTCTGAGTTTTTCGGAATTTATCTACGAAATTGAATTTGAAATTTACTACAAGTTTTTCAGTGAAGAAAAACATCGTGACGAAATCTGCCGAGAAAGATTCACAACCCTCGGAAAACGTGTGAAGTCCCCAACCCGCATTGGGCCAGCTTGGCGAACTATGACCTAAACCCTCAGCTATGAGGAGATCCGTGCCCAGCAGTGGGACGTATAAATGGGTTGATAATGATGATAAAATCTTTACTTACCATAATAAAGCCAGGAAGTGACTGGAGCTACAGCAGCGCCACAAGTGATGGTCTTCAGGTCATCCTGGATCAACATCATGGTGGTAGCATACCCTCCATAACTCCACCCCCAAACTCCGACTTTTGAAGGGTCGATAAATGGGTACGTCTCCAATAAACGCCTGTTTGATTTTTTTTTTAATTCACACAAAATTTGTGTTCACAGATGCTCATTATTGTTAAAAATGATATTCGAAATTGGAGAATAAATATGTGTCTTACATACAGTGGTTAATTTATGCATATAGTCCAACAATGTAGTTACATGTCTCGATGTTACATAACAATACCAACACATTTTTATTCAACAATAACAGCTATTCGTTTCGACAAATCCGATGTCAATCTCACCTGATAGCAGCAATTGAGTCCGTAACCTCAACAGTGCCAAGGGCGTCCTTGACAGCAAACATGGCCTCTACGCCCATCGCGCCTGACCCTCGCACGTCGACGGACCCGACTATGAAACTACGATTGCCGGCCAAGTATAAGTTGTAATATTCTGTTATGTAAAATAACAATTGAAACCTTTATTTAGAGTATATTTTTAGGTCAATGAGTTTTCTTTCGTCATGAACAAAGTTTGTGTGAGGGTAAATTCATTTCAACAATATCTTCTTTATGTATTTTACGAGAGTATAGAAAAGTATTCAAAGTCACAAAAAACTCACCTAAATCAAAATTGTCTTTAACCCTAACCGTGCCCGGCCCAGCATACACCCTCACGACCAATGGATATTTCTGTCCTTGAACCATCTCAGGTGGTAACAATAATTTGACGTGGGCGTAAACATTATCTCCTAAAGGTATTATGTTGAACAAAGTCATCGGCATTTTGTATTGACTTAATTTCTCTGACAATTTCGTACTGTCTTTGATCAATGTCAATGTATCAACCTGAAAAGTAAGAGTTAACACTATAATAACAAGAAAAGTTAATTTTAATTAAAAAATGAAGTATGTTTTCGGTGAGTGGTGGTGAAATGTAAGCCCGTTAATTAAATACAATTCGCAAAGTATGGCAATTGTCAAAAATATTCTTAACTATGTAATATTACACGTTTTTAACCTGGTCTTTTAAATGACGGTCTACAAAATTCTTTCTGGTTAAAAATTCAAAGTAACATACCTGTGAATTATACAAAAATGTTTTAGGAGCGGTATTAGTAGACGAGCAAGAAAGGACACCATATGAGGAGCCTGTTGAAAACATGCCAGAAGTATGATGACAGGAAGACTCCCGGCACGATATACAACGAACAACGCTTCCTGAAGTCGACCATAGCTGCCTTTGCCACGGTGTTCCCGAAGGTGAAACAATATAATAGAGAGTTTTGGTTGCATCATTCCAACCCAGAATATCTGTGACAGTCGCGTTAGTAGGGGTTAAATTTTCTAAAGTATACGAGGCTAAATCAAAGCGCGTCGCATGTAAAAACTTCCGCTCTTCTAACTCTTGAGGTTCAATCTCTATCATTTTGGTACCAGTACTGTCGAAGTATGGCGTGTTTAAGTCGATCCAGCCGTTTGGTTCCACGCGCTGTCTGACAATATTGCATTTGTCAATTTGTAGTTCACAATTCACTAAAACGCTTAGGTTCTGTCTTCTATTTAACCATAGAACGAGGAGATTATGATCTGAGGCCCAGTTGACTCTACCAAGGATGTGATCCAAGCCGACTACGTCCACTGGAGCTGGAATGTTCCAAGCATCCGTTTCGGGATTGTTCACTTTGAACACACGGAGTCCTACTACTGGATTTACGCGACCTGCCTGACAATAAAAAATGATTGTCACTTCTTCCTTCTCCGTTACTTAACGATGTTTATTTATTTATTTAGCTTAATATAAATCAATAATTGTACAATACGTTGTGATTAACACTTTAGACTATGGAGTCTTACCTTATGTGGCATAGGTGTTAATTTAAATCAAACAAGTAAGTTTCCTCTTCCAATCAAAATCGCTTCGACAATAGGTAATTAAATTGCAATTTAAGCTAGTGCATTTGAAGTTCATTTAAAAGCTTAAATACAAAAATTTATGTATAATATTAGGACAATATGCAACTCTACAGTGTCATGCAAATGTAATGGTGTGTTATTTATATAAATTCAACAATACCTTAAATAATCTTAGGCCGTAAAAACCTTTTTTTATCTACGAGTAATGTACAGTGTTTTTTTAAACACTGGGGAAATCTGAAACCGTAGAAGATACAAGGAAACTGTCATATGAACCATTAAGTTTATTTTTGTGAAAACAATTTTGACAAACAATTTTTTGGTCAAGCGTGTGTTGTCCTTAAAAATAAAAAAAAATTTATGAAAATTTTTTTTAGTGCTGATCGACTCAGTTTTCTGTTGCCGATAGACTTCATTGTATCAGAAGAAAAAAATTAGAAGTTGGTCAAATTAAATAATCCTTACATAACCATAGAAGTATGTTTTCGGATTTCCCCACACTGTCCCATTAAAAAAGCACTCTACAGACGTTTGAAATGCTTAAAAAGCAAAATACTGCTCACTCGAGTACTAGGTACTGTTTTTTTTCACATGTTTGTTAATTTGTACTTAGTTATACATATTGTAAAACTAACCTTGGGGTACTTAAACCGGACTTCCTGTGAATATTGAAAGTTAACATCAGCTGGGTTCCCATAAATTGGATAGACCACTGACTCCACCAAAGTGTCGTTGAAAGATGCCACAGCCAAGTAAGTGCCGTTAGGTGAAAACCAAACTGCTTCTGCTGCATTGAATATCTCCTCTGGAACAGAAAACAGAACGTAGTTTATTTGTGATATAAATGTAAGTCTAGAATTGAATATAGCCAAGAAAACAATATAGAGCTCAGAAACTTCGATTCGGCAAGAAAAAGCAACTGTTTTTAATTATACCTTACATGCTCATTTTAAATTGATTTTAAACGAATCATTGTAATAAATTAATTACTATTACTCGTACATAACTTTGTGCGACGATATAGGCGCGTGCGCTCCTTTAAATTTGATTAGCTGTAATTTACAAAGCAAACCTTCATAAATCCAGTCCGTGACACCGAAGTAAACTTGTCCAACTACTCCCTCGTTTGTCAAAATGGTGACGTCATCAGGACGAGCCGAGTCCGCGACATAGTACACATTGTTATCTTGTACGTATGCTATAGAGTGATCTCCGCCCCAAATGGCTGTTTGAAGATATCCTTTGCCTAACTCCGTCAGTATTCTGTCAATAATTACAAAATGTCTATAGGTGAATTGAATTCGTTACAGCTCACTTCAACAAGGCACACATTTTACGATATTTTTATTTCGGACCATTCACACTGAATGTATGTCAGTCATAAAAAAAGTAAATATAATACACTCACGGACACATAATTCGAGCCACCTCGCAACAGTATTAAATGCCCTAAGCTTAAACAATGTTCGATTGATCAAGAACTATCCTACGCAATTTTGAAACTAGTTAATTAAATTTCTAAAAAGGACTTATGGAAAAGCCTTTTCTATAAGTCCTTTTTAGAAATTTGGACTTGCAAAACCGGGGAGCCTTTTTCTTCGATGATAACACTATATTTGTGTTCTAGCCCTTTAAGGCAAAAATGCGAGGTGACACAAATTATGTGTCCGGGAGTGATCATTGTATCAATATGTATTTACTGTTTTCATACTTTTAACATAACATACCATGACATTTTTAACCGTCTTCAAAAACATTCTTCACAATTCGACTGTGTTTTTTGTGTGTGCATGTTACGCGATTGCTTCAACATTCGTGAACCGATTGCGAAAATTCTTTTTTTTTTTGTTGGAAAGGGGATACCTCTGTAGCAGTCCCACTCAAATTGGAAAAAAATATTCCACCTCTAAGGATGGCAAATTAGGGGATGAATCCGGTTTATTGGATTTCACCCATTTTCCTTTAACTGATTTCAATAAAACTTGGCAAACAGATGTAATTCCAATTCGTCTAATTATGGAAATTGGCAAACAGGTGAGAAGGACTCTTCAACAGTGTACAGCAGCTACCTTGTGTTTGAGATCAAAATTTTTCCTTTTGACATGGACTGCCATATCTATGCCTTACTTTCACAAACTCGTATCTTATAAAGGGTGATTATTCAGGAGATGACAAAACTTTCCATTTATTTTAAATTTCTTATCAAGGGTGCTAATGTGGGTGCATTACTTTAAGAATACGTAAAAGCCAGTGTGTGAATATGTAGGAAATGTGATTTTGTTTTTATTTACTTGGTTAGTCAACAATTGTTATACCAATAAAAGATCAGAAAACATATATGCAAAAAAAACTTAAAACTAAGTGCACAATCTATTACAGACCGACACTACATGCACAATAAATTATTGCAGAGTAAAAAGAAACTTACAAAAAGATAAGTGTAAACATTAATTTAACCATATAATTCACTTACAAAAACAATTAGTGTTAATATCTTAAGACTAAGCAAAAGCATAAAAAAGTAGTTAGGTGACTGAGTTTTAGGAAGGTGACGACATTTCGCGCTTGGTTCGTACTGCAGAGAAGTAGTGGAAATCAATGGTTGCGTAGTGACCATTGTACAATTGGCAAAGCCTAGCAATGGAAGAATTCGCGCCTAAAACAGTCCTGCGAAAAGGCTTCCAAAGAGGCTTGATGTAAAATCTAGGTAGTCTGTGGGGAACATTAACTAATATAAGGTTTAGAACTGCATTTAAGTTGATTATTTAATAATTTATATAAAAACATCATATTTTTATATATGAACGAAGTTTTTTAGCTTGTCCAGTGTAGAACGCCAAATGATTCACAAACCTCTTCTGCATCCTCTTCAATCTCTGTGAGTGAGTGGCGAAATGTGGACGCCACACAGTGCTACAGTATTCCAGAATACTACGGACTAATGTGTTATAAAGTATTAACTTTGTTTTTGGACTCTTAAACACTTTACAGGTTCTGAGTAAGAAACCTTAAGATACGAGAAGCACTTTTTATGGTTTTATCAATATGAGGTACGAAAGTGAATTTTTTGTCAAGTATCCCACCGAGATCTCTAATCATATCAGACTCAACCAGAATTGTCCCTTTTATGTAGTAATTAGTGGAAACAGGTGAAAGATTTCTAGTAAATTTAATGTGGGTACAATTTGCAACGTTCAACTCCATACCATTGCTGTCACACCAATGTACCACATTATTTAAATCAGTTTGAAGCTTAGACTCATTGTCACTTAAAATGACCCTAGAAATTTTCAAGTCATCGGCGTACACAAAATGAGAAGAACTATTAATAGTCAATGGAAGATCGTTTATGAATATATTAAATAAAATCGGTCCCTGGTGTGAATCCTGGGGCACGCCTGATGTTGCTCGTTGAAACTGAGTACGATAACTGTTGATGACTACATAAAATAATCTATCCTCCAAATACAATTTCAGCCATTTGAAAAAAGAACCACTAATGCCATAAACTGAAAGTTTTTTAACTTGTATATAGTGTGGTACCTTGTCGAAGGCCTTACTAAGATCCGTGTATAGACATCGACTTGATGGTGAGAGTCAATACATCCGAATATCATTTCCGTAAATGCAACTAAATTCGTTATTGTCGATCGTTCTTTAACACAGGCATGTTGGTGCTCACTTAAATATTTACTAAAATATGATTGCAAAATAGGACAAACGAAAGCTTCAAAGACTTTTGCCAATGTTGCTAAAATAAAGTAAATAAGTGATGTGTAATCAGCCTCCAAAATTTGTATATGCAATCGATTTTTTGCATTTCGGTAACTTTGTGCTTTAAGATACGCGTTTGAGAAAGTAAGGCGACGATATGCGTTTTTGTTCTATTTGAGGCGACCGCGGTGACGAATACAGCAAAAGTGGATAAAGCGTGAAACACACAGGGAGCGGGTGCAGGTCGGGTGCGGATCGGGCGGGTGTCGGGTCCGGAGCAGGCCCACGCGTATGGGGTGTTGTTGTCCATAAAAATACACGGAATTAGAGCCGCCGCGCTCCTGACCCGACACGCACCCGACCCGCAGCCGTTCTTCTTTTGAGGTCGGTTTTTTTATGTAAAATGTTATAAGTATATATAACACAATTTACCAGCATGAAACTATAACGTCACTAGAGCAAACAGAGTTATTTTCGAGCGATCGAAAATAATTTGTTTAATATCGTTTGATCGATATACTCGATCAAACGATATTAAACAAAGTAAACGCGTTGTTTAATTTTTCCATGCTGAGAAATAATAATTAACAAATGTTTGTGACCTGCAATTATTTGTAACAAATATACATTATTAAGCAAGTTAAAGTAAATTTTATTTTGCCCGGTCACAAATTAACCATAAAATTGCTGCTACTTTTAATGAGGGCACAACGTTAAATATTTAATTAAAACCTTGATGAGATTGTCAACTCACTTTTTTTCAAGGTTGTACAATGAATATTTCGCGAGACTTGAGTGCCGGTATACCTGAAACAATATTGATTACTCAGTAAATTAAATAAGTACATATTTATATTATGTATTTGTAGCATATTACTTTTCCTGTGGTGGTACTGGTAGGACATTAGTAGAATTATAAAAACCAACATTTTCTGGGCTCTATGTAAAAGTTAAATGAGAAATAAGTAGGTAAAGGTAGACGACTCGTTGACATTCTGTAGGGTTTCTGCCCCTCTTGTCGTAACTAATAAATGCGTTGATTTTGGTAACTTTCGAAATATCGGCACCTAAAGTTTATTTCTTTGAAAAATGTCACTAACTTTTAATTTATTATTATTATTCATTGACTTACAATGTTATTATTATTATTTATCTTTAAGTTTACCCGGTAACTTTGAGATTGCCTGGTAGAGATCTAGTTATAAGATCGCCTGTCTTTTGTTTTTTTTGTTATGTATTATGTTCTAGAGCGCAATGAGGAGTATTTGTATTGTAAAAAAAAACAATAAGCCAAATAAGATACAAAAAAACCAAGTATAAGGGGTTGTAGATTCTCATTTCACTCATTGATTGAATCCAAAACAGTTCCTTTTTTGACTTATAAAAATATTGGTGAGATCCAGATTGTCAACGGTTAAAATAACGCTATTTTAAGATAAGCCTCTATTCTAAAAAGCCATCGATATGTTAATAACTCAATTTCGCTAAAATGTCGATTAAGTTGTTTATGGTAAAGAGGACAATAGTATTTTAACCGTCTTGATCTTTTACTAGTATCCGACCTGTTATTAGTACCTGTATTCGCAAGTGTATTCTACAGATTTTTCAGACAAGCAAGAACCACAATTAGTAACTTATGGCTGTATATAGTACGGCAGATATCAATACGAATTGACGAGACATGTTTATCTTAGTTGAAAGTACTTATTTTTATTTCACTAAATCACAAATAGAAATACAAATATAATTCTTAAAGTGCACACCACGATCTTTTTACATAGTTTGTTTTTAGATTTTAGTAGCAGTAGAGTTCCTTGTCAATGAGTTCGTCCAGAGACGTATTGCCATGTTACCTATTTCCGCCGCGACGCGGTAATGTGAGTATTACTGCGTTCCAAAAGGTAAGGGTGCTGGTGAAATTACAGGCATATAAGACTTGCCAACTTACGTCTCTGAGAGACGGGCGTAGCGGCAGTGGCACTGCAACTGTCCATAGGGACTGGCGTGTTGCTTACCAGCAGGCGCGCGACTTGTTTGTCCCGTCATTTGGTACCATAAAAAAGCTGTTTTATTGGTAAAGCAAAAATTGTAGGCCCCTTTTCTATGCATATTATTAAAGTAATATAACATCCAAAAGAGGTACAATTTAACTATTTAAAATGTTAACTACAAACATTAAGTAGTTTACTAATTTACCACACCAGATTTTTCTCTTCGTCCTGCAAAATTACATAAAAATCACTATAAGACGATGTATATTCTAATTTATTTAAAAAATATATTCCGCTTCTGAATCGTAAAACACGTTGCTCTCGCTAATATTCTGTATAGCCCGTAATATATATACCTGAGTAAAAACGATCGAATTGAAAATACTTAAACCGAATCAAATTGTCAAATCATATTCTATTATGGCAAGATTTCCTTGTCCTTGTCCTCGTAAGTAGCTGAACCAATACATTTACATAATTTGGTTATTGCATTCCATGAGATTCAATAGTTACAATATTTATATAATAGCACACCCAAGCCACTTGCCTATTATCGTTAAAAAAATGTTTTAGTTTCATAGTCACTCAAGAGAGAATTAATTTCCCTTGTTTTGCATACGTAGAGCAATAGAGCACATCGTTCCACTGGCCGAACAATTCAATAAATTACACTTTTTATCTTAAACGACTCCGTACTCGTGGTAACAGATCATGTTGTGGCGATTTATGTACATTCTCGTTGAGAAAAGTAACGCAAAAATGCTTTTTTTTTTCAAATCAAATCATTGATTGTGTACACACTTTTAGAAGGACTTGTTGTTCTGTCGATACGTATCGTCTTGCCAACTCAAACACCTTTTTTAGAACATTTTTATGAAACTTTCAGGGATTGTTGTTAATATTTTACAAATTATGGGAAAATATATAAAAAAATATTTGTTCGGGAAGACCGGATTTTCACTATGTCCTACATATAGGACAACGGCACTATATTAATATGTCCTTTTAACATATTGATTGATTGTAAGTGGACTAATTAGCAATGAAGTTAAAGGAATAATTCAATAAAATATTATTTATTGAAAAAAAAACTTATTAAACATAAACTTAAAAAACGAATAAAAAATAAATATTTCTTCTAAAACAAACAAAATATTTCTTCAATCATTTAGACGTTACTACTATTAGTCTAATTTACAAAATGTATTTAATTGTAAAATAGGCACAAAACACAAACAAATCTTACATTTTTTACAGTTTTTCTCATTACAACCACATTTTTGCAGCGTGACTGTTTTAAACTATTATTCCTTTAATTCCCTATAGTCAATCCGAGAAACTTTCCAGTTTTCAAAATTTGTGTTCTACTTGTACAGTCAACAATAAGAAATCGTCATCGATATACCTATTGCTGATAGAATCTATACCATGCCCATTCCATAGTATCTATCGGTAAATAGGCGGGTTGCAAATACTAAATTCTGGCTCAAACTTGTTTTTCGACCAATTATCTTGCTTATTTCTTTATCTTTGCTTATTTAGGTGTTTCAAGTACCTACACCGTCGACTACAAACACGTCTGCGTGAACGCGACATAGATCTCAGATGTCCTCTTGATCGCAACGGTAATGATGATGAACTGGCGAATTCTTCCGAATTATCAGAAAACGCTGGACAAGACACAACAGTATCCGATATATCGCACTGTTATTATAATAGTGTTGTAACTCAAAATATGTGAAATTCAAGATTATAGTATTGGTGAACGTACAATTTGATTCTCCACAGGCCAATGAAACCGTTGTTAGAATATTGTAATAAACAATGTAAAGCTATCTACTTAACTCAAACTGAGACAAACTTTTTGTGTGGTAGTTCTGGATAAAAACATTCCTACTCAACAATAGGAAATTTTTTCCTTTTTATTTTTAAAAATATTTAATATATAATATTAGTAGAAAACTGTTTACATGTCTGTAATAAACTTTAACCTATACATGTACTTTTCTAAATCTTTCATGGGAAGAGAATAATCAGTTTTTTATCGATTCTGAAAGAATACCCTTTTTGAGTTAATACACTTTTATATTCCTTATGCGATATGTTCATCGTCGTGTGAATTGCTATCCGACTCAAGGTTGTTAGTTTGATTGCGATACGGTTTCGGTTCGATACATTCAAGATCATCATCGGAAACGTCACCATAGAACAACCTTGGAGTCATTGAACGTTTCTAATATTTCATTATCTAATCTGTCAAATCATAATTTATCATAACTAAAGACAAAATATATAATTTGATAATATTTGAAAGATTTAGTTTATGTACTCTGTGAAGAACATGTGTAGGGATACTTAACATCGACTATCTACATTTGTTCTTTGCAAAGGACATAAAGTTTGTTAGGTTATTTTTCGCTAAGTATTTATTTTTTTCTAAAAAATGTCTATCTACACAGCTTTGCACAGACGCATGATTGCACGTGCTCCCTCAGATGCTATTTAGAAAAAAAAATACAGATGACACACGACATTTGTCTATTGTTTTGACAATGTAGAAAGCCTATAAATGGTATTAAAAAAATAGTAAGCTTGCCACCTTTAGTTACTTCAGGAGTTTTTTTGGATTTATGTGTACTTCTCGGAGTACAAATGTGGGTAGGAGGGTATTGCTAATTTTATGGCATACAATTACTTAATTTGATTAATTTAACGGTATATTATATAATATTTGTAATTATAAGTTTTGTAACAAACCTATTTTATAACTGTGTTTGTAACAATAGTTCCAGAGTTTACCGCTAGATGGCGTTTGCATCGAAAGCGCTATTTCTGAATAGCGGTGTTAAGATGTTGAGTTCTTCTCTTATAGCACGCCCTTCTGGCGGAAGTCCTTAGTAGCGCCCTGAGCCGAGGTCCGTGCCCACTTGGGCGCCCTTAGGCCCGCCACTTAGATTTAATTTTTTTAATGGGTTAAGAGCTCTCACCTCGCCTTCTTATCCAGTGGCGCAGTCAAGGCCAACTACAAAACGTCATCAATCAGTCCCTTCTTGGGAACTGCTGCCCGAACCTTCTGAAATTGACGTACGCTCATAGAGGGTGAAAATAACCTCTCGGAACGGTTTCCCGGAGTAAGTCCCTTCTTGGAAACAACTGCCCGGACCTTCTGCATATAGGGTGTAAAGCAGTTATCTTTGAAATAAACATCTTTCTGCAACATCTTGGAGTTTTGACTTGGCTTAAGTTGGGTCATCCCACAGCAAACAGAACTCCTCCTTTTATTGCTTAATTTCAAAAATGTCAAATTTCAATTTCAACTCTTAATAATCTCATGCATGTCATTATTTTATCGCAGATAACTATTATTGCATGTTCTTCTCATTTAAATAATCGCTGACTTTATAATATGCATTCCTGGTCAATAAATTGAATAAGCACATTTTAAAATTGGCAATGTCATTTGTATCAAGTATATGCTTTGGCAGCTTACTGGATTTTTTTTTTAAATCAATAAGAGCAATTAACGAATTTAGTTTAGCAGTTACATAGATGTAGCATTACCTTGGTACTTCGGGCATGTTTTACATCCACGAAGATACAACATACCATAAAGAACATTTTCAAAGAAAAAACTTAATATCACTGCTGTCTTTTTAATTGCATCTTATTTACGAGGGAAAAATAGATATATGCTACTTGTTTACAACCGAGTGCTCGCAAGTTCACTGCCATGGTTAAAACTTTGATAAAATGTTACACATAATTGTCATGATTAAATTTAATCTGCTTACTCCATGTTTTCATAATATAAACAACATTAAATAAATATTTATTGTATTAAAATAATAAATTGTCGATAAATATAATTACAAAATGTTAAAAAGAAAAAATATATGAAGTAACCATGCCGCATGCCGCCCCGACTTCAGTGTGCTATGCCCTTTAAGAAACTAGTAACGCGGTGGCTGTGCAGAACGAAAGGGTTATTATATTACAGATGAAAGTATTATATAAGCCTTTTATTGGCATTGTTGTTCGCACAGTTATTTATGTAGTTTCTCTACGGTATAGGTAAACGGTAAATCACTATTTAGTGCGTTCTAACAGGTCAATGGTTCTAATTAACATTTTTGCTGTCGATTTATAAGCGATGATCCCAGTTAGCTGTTACTGTTAGGCGGCTTTATTAGTGTTACTTAAAACAGTAGCGTTATCAGTGACTACGAGACGTGAAATTCAAATTTCTTTTCGTAAGTAATAATCATTGTTATTATTATTGATATAAAGATCGGACTACACAAAAAAAACCTTCAATCTGACTGGTTCGTTTAATAAAAAAAAATGTTGTAAAAACTTCTTGATATTCAATAAAATAAATATTCATTGTTTTACAAGAATAATAATCCTGCTGAAAACAAATTAAATACGTGTATATATGTTCTTATACATAAAACATTGGCAAATATGAAATTTCAACAATAATTTCGGAATATTATTTGATTACAATTACAATTCTCTACATATCGATGCACGTGACAATAAAATCACGTGTATATAATAACAACAGTGTTATAGGAATCTAAATTTTGTATAGTTAGTGATAATTACATATATTCTTTTTTGAATGCCATGAGAATACTGAGGGCCGTTTCGTTAGGGAAGTTGATCAACGACTGACAAATTAGATAACAACAAGCATGAGTGACAAGGATGACGCTTTACAAAGCCGAAATCAGCCGATCATCTTATTCTCCAGCTCGATGTATTCGGCACTACTACCATAATTGATCATAGGCCCTAAACAAATAAAGAGTTAAAAAAGTTCTTTCTGTTTGTTGGATCTAGTAGTGCAGTATTTTCACAAAGGTATATGAGTGTCATGGTATCAAAAACATCAGTTATTCAATAACATAAAATATTTGTAATTATAATAATAATGTTATTACTTCTTATAGGTAGGTAGATATTTGAGGTACTCACTTTTTTGCTCTGTGATGACATTAACAAGTATTTTGAATCCTTAGAAAATGAAACGAAAGCATGGCCGCTTAAGTTGAACTGAAAAAAAAAATAGAATAGGTATATTGATTGCATCTCATATTGCTCTACTAAGATAAAGAAACAATATTAGTAGAAAGTAGGTATGTGAAATTAATTTTAATGACTCGTCCGACTCCCCGAAATGTTATGCTGGCTTCTGACGGTCCGTGGTGTCACGGACCGCGCCACGAGAGCTCGCGCCAACGTGCCGTAGCTCGTAGGGCGGGCTCACGTATGGACTGGTAGCGCGAGCTTGCCCGGCTTGACTCGTGTTATCACGGGCCGTAGGAAGCCGCTTTAATAATAGCCTATTCATTGCATTGGCCACACTGAACAAAATTTATCTACAGATTATTTAAACAACAAAGAAAGTAAAGTAAAACTATACAGACAGAACAATCTAAAAAAATTAAGACATTTAAAAGGAAAGTAGACACACAAATGCTTGTTAATAATAAATAAATCTACAATTGAACAAAAAAAAATTCGTCATTCAAAGTTACCGTAATAGAGTTATTTCCTATCTGAAAACAAATTACTTTTACTTTATTTTTAAGCTCGTTTTAACTGTTTGTATAATCAAAAAATTCACAAAATTAATTACAAATTTCTTACCAACTCATCAGTATCTAACAAAGTGATAAATTTGTTGATGCTGGCATCAAACTTTTTTATTCCTCCGGCAGGATCGAATGTAATATACTCAGTATCTGTAATCAAAGTAAAATAGAAGACGTTTATAATACATAAACGTCACCTACATTTTTTTGCTTTCAGTAACATAAATATAGAACAGACTTTCGGGGTCTACGCGTTGTAAATAACATTACGTACAATGCGTACGTTGTTGGAAGTGGGACCGTTGCGAATATCATCATTCGCTTCCGCATCCACGAATAACCGGCATAAATTAAAATATCCGCATCCGTATCTGTCTCCGGATTGATCGATGATGATGTTCATTGCGAATATTCGCGTCGTGACATTATCTAAAGGGAATAACGGCGCGCTGGAATAATTTACAAACGATCTAGAATTTGATAATAACAACGCACACACTCCACATAGCCCCGCACTAGGGAAACCTTGTGTTGCGGGTGCCATGGACACTCACATAGACAACCACAAATTACACCCAAACTCACGAGAGAAATAAATGTAGGCCACACAAATATTTCTCCCGGTCCGGGAATCGAATCTGGGACCTCTGCATGGTAACCGTTCGGCCACGAAGGCAGTTAAAATATAAAATAATATATATTTATATAATATATATTTATATAATAATAAAATTCCAGTATGATTAAGCTAGGCAGATTGATTGATTTTTTGTTAATAAATGTCACATAATTGTTAAAAAGCTGTTTCATGTAAATTCAATAAGGATATGTGCATCAGGATCTACTATTTTAAACAAAAAATCTGCATCCGTATCCACTGATGTACAAAAGTCCTGCATCATCGACAACCCTGATAGGAACATTTACAATATTCTTGATACTAAAATGTTTGATAGACCTCCTGCAAAGTACGAAATTGTTTTAGTTTTTATTTTATCGTTACTACAGTACTAAAAAACGTGCAAAAAGTAACATTTAAAAAACCTCATTAGATCATTTACATACAAAATTTTCACATTTAAAAAATATTTGAAATATGCTCTTCGAAAGTTCTTATGACAACCACTTAGACTTACGCAGAAATAAAAATACTTTTAGTAATAGGGTCTATTAGTAGAGTCTATATTTATGTTACTGATAAGAAAAAAAGTACAACAAAATTGCTAGAGAGACATGAAAGTCACTCAATTTACAAGATAAACACAGGTTCACAGTTCATGAAGTTTTACTCATAAGAAAATACTCATAAATTTATGAACTGCATATCTTCCTAGATTTTGATAGACTAGTATTTCGACTCTAAAAACTAGAATAATAAAGAAATTTATGACCTGTAACCGTTGAATACATGTAATGAGTAAAATACCAAAGTTCATATCTCGAGCTGAATACTGAAGAAAATATCAACATAGACTGGTGCTTTTGAAATCCAATTGTATATATATCTCAAATTGTAGTAGACGTCGTACAACAATTTAAACCATTTATTTATAAAATAATTAAACTTCGTTAAACTAATCAGATTATGTTTAGTACTCAAGTGTCGCAATAAAATGCTAATAAATATATTATGAATTTAGTATATATTCGACGGTCTTGGAGAATAAATTAATAAAAGAGAGTTAAGTACTCTTTGTTCCTGGAGGTAGATCACAACCCTAACGACGAAAATTGTATACGGAATGTGCGGAAAGATACTTAGTCTATATTACAACCTAAATTATGGTGAATTTAGTAACTTAGAATAGTAATAAATTTAAGTTGCTATGTGATTAGACAACATACCTGATGTCCAGTCTACAGAGATTCTTTCAGGGTAAAAGTCTGGCTTCAACGGAATCAGCTCTTCGAGAGTGAACGTTTTCAGGTTTTGAGGTGATGACTCCGTGTGATACCCGAGAAGCACTAGCACCAGTATGGCATTGTGAATCTTCTGAAAAATAATCGCTATATGTTATAATCTATATGCCATAAGTGACCGATTTAAAAAACATATATTCTTCGCTCATTTGTCCGATTAAGAAAACCCATGTAAGTTAACAAAGCTAGGATTTCAGGTTTTACATTGGTCTCCCTATAGCTCTGTTAACATCTACATCTTGTATAATGCCATTGTACCATTTATAAACTATTGAGAGAAGTAAATAAACTTCATATTACACAATTTTCGGTAAAATCATAAGCATATTATCTTTACCTCATGAGTAAGGTAAAAAATTTAACACAAATTTCCAATCGGGAGCATGCAACTGTATTAAGTTATCCAACCAATAAGCTAGAAATGTATCATTCATCATAAGTTCATGGAAATGGTATAAAAAAACCTTGTCAAAGACATTAACGTTATTCATATTATCGTATCACATAAAGTACTTAGTCTCAGATTATAGAAGTCTAGGTGACGACAATGAAATATTACAGAGTAGTAAAATTAACTTTGGTGACACAATTTTTTTTATAATACTAAGTGACGGGACGAACTAGTCGTATGACTGGAGGTGAGGTGAGTGACACACCTGTAGCTAACAGTTGCAATCCCATCAGAGCTTTAAATCACAAAGATCTGATGGGCATTGTCCTTGTGCCCGACTCCCTGAGACATAAGTTGACAAGTCCCATGTGCCTGTAATTTCACCATCACACTTAACGTTCGAAACAGGAATGCAATAATGTTCATATTACTGCTTGGAGGCAGAAATAGGTAAGGTGGTACTTCCCTGAACGAACTCTGTCACAAGAAGCTCTACTGCAACTAAACACTAGCCGGTTCCTTCCTTCAGAGTAGTTAGCCACTGACTCAAAAGTGAAGGTCAGGGATGGGGAAGATTATTTTGTAAATAAATAGTGTTTTATTACATTATTATTCCAAGTACCAAGTAGGTATGTATTTATAGGGCAATGTAACCTGAGTATAAACAAATAAATTAGGGGCCAGAATAAATAAGAAATTTTACAGGGGGCCGGAAATGTAAAAAATGCATTTTCTTTTGAAATGTGTTTTATAGTGAAGTGTTATGTTATTCTGCGTGAATATTAACATATACATATGTTATATTTTGTTGTGTCAACGAGGATATAAAAATATACATCCGCGGGCGCGACGGAAGGTCTTTGTGGACTGGAGTTGGCTATTGGGCCGAACTTTGCCGAACGCGGGTCTAGGCCAATGCATATTCTACCATGATAATAGAACGTAGGTAACTTCGAATGATATTAATGTTGTGTACATATTTCATAACCCTTGGTTTTATGAGATCAATTCATTATTTTATAATGTTCAAAAATCGTACTCAATAGGAAAGTAGGTAATTAAATTTGCAAGTCTAATTCACAACGCAGAAATATTACGCTATAAAATGCTTAAAAATACACCGAAACAATAAAAGAATCACGGCAGTTACAAAATACAGGGCGTGACAAAAGGCGCAATTTATTTCCACTGATAAGTAGTCTCCAATGTATTCCGTAGTATTCCGCAAACAAGAGGGAGTCACTAGTTGAAGCATTCTCGTACTCACTTCTTTCATATTTAATCAGAAGGTCTTGGTATGCTTGACGTTTTCAGACGAAAAGAATGCTACCGCCTTCTTCATCCCTTAAATTCCAAAAAATGGGGTAATATGATGTACATGCAAAAGATTTCAACGAGGACATATTGTCAAGGTACATTGACACAAGTAGCAGATATTATCGGTAGTGTCACTGTTTTTCTATAGTTATCCTTTTCACTATTTTTAAAGAAAAATGATTCGAGTTTCGACATAATTAAAGGTTACAAATAGTAATAAAAACAAATGATAGTTGTTCGTAGTAAACTCGATGGCTGATCAGTGTTATGCCAAATGTATCTGATTTTTAAATCAGTACTAGATAATATTAGGGGTTAAAGTATGAAATTGCCGTTTTATTGCAATAGGTTCTTTGAATTTTCATAGAATCTTCATGGTTTGAGGTTTTCGAATGAAACTTTTTTCAAATGGTTTCTGTGATTTTTTTTTTTTTAATTTGAAACATTTGAATATCGACTTTCAATTGTTTTTGTTATTCAATTTAGACAAGAAAGATGGATACTGCGAAAATTCGAGTGATTTTTGAATACGAGTTCCGACGCGGAACTAACGCGGCACAAACAGCCCGCAATATCAATGCTGCGTTTGGAGAGGGGTCTACTAATGAACGCACCGTGCGATTTTGGTTTAAACGCTTTCGTGATGGAAATTTCGACTTAAAGAACGAGCCACGAGGAAGACCGCCCACACAGGTGAATAACGATGAATTAAGAGAGATAGTGGAAGTCGATCCTAGTCAAACTACCCAGGAATTAGCGGCATGGTTTAACGTTACCTTACCCACAATATTGACTCACTTGCGTCAAACCAATAAAATAAAAAAATACGAAAAATGGGTGCCTCATGATTTGACTGATCTGCAGAAAGAAACGCGTGTTGAAACTTGTGTTGCCTTGTTGAACCGGTACAGAAATGAAGGAATATTGGATCGAATTGTAACATGTGATGAAAAGTGGATTCTTTATGATAACCGGAAAAGAAAAATGCAATGGCTGACCCCAGGTCAAATGCCACAACAGTGTCCTAAAGCAAAACTTACCAATAAAAAGGTAATGGTAACTGTTTGGTGGTCTCAGCATGGTGTTATTCACTATAGTTTTCTCCGATCTGGTCAAGCAATAACGGCAGATGTCTATTGTGCCGAACTCCGAACCATGTTGACAAAACTAGCAGTAAAACAGCCCCGACTCATGAATCGATCTTCACCATTATTGCTCCACGACAACGCGAGACCTCACACAGCACGAGAAACCATTTTGACCCTTCAGGAACTGCAGTTAGAAACCATTCGTCATCCTCCGTATTCACCAGACCTTGCTCCAACGGACTACCATTTTTTTCGTGATTTGGACAATTATCTACGTGACAAGAAGTTTTCTTCCCAGGAGGCAGTACAAAATGCTTTCACACAGTTTGTGCAGTCTAGATCGTCGGAGTTCTATCGCAAAGGCATTAATAACCTTCCCATTAGATGGCAGCAATGTATAGATAATAATGGCAACTATTTTGATTAAATAAATTTGTTAAAAATTAAAAAAATAAACAATTTAGATTTTCAGTACAAATCGGCAATTTCATACTTTAACCCCTATTATTGTATATCATTGTAGCAAAAAAAATTATCCCTTCTGTTAGGTATCGAATATATTTAATTTAGTAGCAGTAGAGAAAGTGTGAAAGAGCTTGTCCAGGGATGTACTACTACCTTACCTATTTCAGCCGCCAAGCAGTAATGTGACCATTTCTGCGTTCCGGTTTTGAAGGGTAAGGGTGCTGGTGAACGTACAGGCACGTGGGACTTGTCAACTTATGTCTCAGGATGACAGGCGCAGTGGCTGTGCCCATAAGATCTTTGCGATTTAAAGCTCTGAAAGGCACTGCAACTGGACAGGCCTTTAACTTATTACCAGGCACACGACTTGCTCGTCCCGTCACTTGATATTATAAAAAAAAATTTGGCTTTGGAAGAAAAAAGCAATAGAAATGCCTTAAGATTCGATTACAATCAGAACCGCTGTCGCCAAAACTCACACATTCATAATTTGAAACACTATGAAATCTTGATAATTATTGGTCATAGTTTGTAATTTAAAAAGATGTTAGGAATTCTAAACTATATAATGTAATTTAAACTTTACCCCATCGGCATATCGTTGAAAGTTCAATAACTATTATTGCGAGTTACGATGTTTTGATTTTATATTGAAATTTCAATCAATCTGCTGCCATCTAGCGGTCGGTATCTGAATGACGACGACTTTAAGATCTTTACTTCTTCAAAAAAGAAGCGATCATATTGCAGCGGTATAAGGTTTACTTTCGTTTCTTGTAACAAAACATTATTACGATAAACAGAAAATTGAAAATTTATTCAAATTAAATAAGACTTGACTATGATATAAAACATCAGCATAGATGATAATATTACAAGTGAGAGTACTATTTTTGCACTCTAAAGTAGCAAAATAATTCATTTTTCTATGATTTTCGAGGGTTTTCGCGAGATAATTGACACGACCATATCGTACAAAGCGAAAATGGCGAACTGAACTTAATATGTGGAACTTCGCATACTGTTGGCACACATGCCACGCAAACTATGCACCTCTACTATATATTTAATTGTTCGGTGGTTTTGGCTAATGCAAGGTCACTAGAATTCATCCACAATAAAGAATATTAGACCATGAATCTATTTTTTCTTTGTCTAGTCCTTAACAAACAACAGTAGACTATAACACAGGTCAGGTGATCACAAATATAGCTATTTATCAATCTAGAATTAATTTACTTTTCTTATCATTCAAATTATTTTTAATAATTCTCACAAAATGACTAAGCGGTGACACCACCTTATTCGACTACTCATACTTATGTATTAAATTACATTACATATATATACATCAGATATTACACAATCGAATTTTAAAAATCTACATTTTTTTCCTTCAGCCATAATACAATATTGTTTGAGTAGCTATTGTTTAATTAAAAGAGAGGGTTTAAAACATTTTTTCAATAAAGAATATGGCAATAGTTCTTCAACCAATTGCTGATTCGTAAACACAAGAAATGAGATTTGTTTGGAGTGTGTTACCGTGCGTTTGTGAGTGCATTTTATCTTTAAGTAAAAAGCTAGAGATACAGGCAGGATCTGTAAAAATTATTTGCGTTTATTACTTTAGATAATTTTCGTAGTTTTCAAATAAAAAAAAAATGATAGTTTGAATGTAACCTATATACATAAATTTAGCGTCATTGTCTGGATACATATATAAAAAAGAAATATCAATAAAAAATCATTTTTCTGCAGGATCATGAGATGGTTACAATTTTCTGTTTTCTTTGTTTACCTTGTTTACTCAAAAGTACAGGAAAACAGGGACAATTTAAACATTAAAAACGTGACAAATACATTAAATTTAACGAAAATCAAGATGAATGTATTGCAGAACAGTAAAGTGTATTCGCCGAATTGGCAAGATCTAGATACTCGCCCCTTACCTCAGTGGTATGATTCTGCAAAAATTGGCATTTTCGTTCATTGGGGCGTGTATTCTGTGCCAGGTTGTGTAAGTGAGTGGTTCTGGTATTATTGGCGAAATGGTAATTTTTTTGTAATAATCGATTTACTTTATTTGTTAGTTCAAGGGTTATGACAGAGTTCTCACAACGTATTGAATCTAGGCCTATCAGAATTTTGCATACATTACTGGTTATAACTGCTTCCGTGACAGGAGAAATATTTGTATGGCCTACATTTATTTCTCTCATGAGTTTGGGTGTAATTTGTGGTTGTCTATGTGTGTGTCCACGACGCGTTTCCCTAGTGTGGGGCAATGTTAAGTGTGCGCGTTATTGAGTGTGTGCGTTATTATGTGTTTTTATTAAATCAGTGAGTAATAAGTAAGTGCTGTAGAGAGCGTATGTCAGTTCACGTTATTGTGAACTGACATACGATCGAGTTTAATTCTATAAATTAAATTTCCATGTTTGTCCTTTTTTAACCACCTTCAAAGTGGGAGGAGGTCCTCAATTGGGCAGTATTTTTCTTTTTTTTTTATGTTACGCGATCCGACATTTGTGAACCGTTGTTGATGATTCTTATTTTGTTGTGAAGAGGGTACTTCAGTATTGGTCCCATTTAAATTTGAAGAAAATATTCCACCTTTAAGGGTGAAAAACTAGGGGACGAATCCGGTTTCGTGCACTTCCCGGTATCTAATTTCAATAAAACTTGGCAAATAAATGTAACTCCACTAACTGTTGAAATCGGTTTTTTTTAATAAAAAGTATAATTTATTCACAATGCTAAAACACCTTTCTAGTGCAGCGTCAAGAGCACGTAAACCTTGGCACTTAAAACTTATATTCAACTCTATGCCGTTTACAATAAGAACGCTTCAAAGTGTCGCTTAATGTTTTTGACACATTTACTTGACATAATTACTTATTATTGCACTTGTATTTTTCTTTTCTTTTTTATAATACGAAGTGACGCGACGAACAAGTCGTGCACCTGGCCGTAAGCGTCACGCCGGTTCATAATAGTTACAGTGCCACTCAGAGCTTTAAATCGTAAAGATTTTGAGGGCACTGCCACTGCGCCCGTCACCCTGAGACTTAAGTTAACAAGTCCCATGTGCCTGTAATTTCACCAGCACCCTTACCCTTTCAAACCGGTACACAGTAATGCTCACATTACTGCTTGGCGGCAGAAACAGGTAAGGCGGCAGTACTTCCCTGGACGAACTCTTTCTCAAGGAGCTCTACTGCTACTAAAATAATCTAACTGAGGTACAAAAGTTAATATAATTCAAAATTCCCAACTTAGTGTTTCCCCTAGTATAATCACCATAGCACTTACCCAGAAAATTTGTAGATCGGCGATGTAACCAAATGAATGCTATCAGTTTAACTATGTCTACCACTTACGTTTAGGATGAATACCTTAATTAACTTTTGCTGTAAATTAACTGTGTCGAACGAACATGACATCAAATTGTTTTTCAGGTAACAGAGAAATACACGATTTTTTAAAATATTACCGTCATGGATTTACGTATGAAGAATTTGCACAAAACCTCACAGCTAATTCTTTTAACCCCAATAAATGGGCAAAACTTTTCGCAAAATCTGGAGCTAAGTTTGTATCTTTATATAAAATGATTGTTCTGACTTATCGACCCAACAACAATTTGTTGATGTATAAATACGAATAAAGGTCATTGAAACCTTTATTAACGTGCATTTCAGATACGTCGTTCTCACAGCTAAACATCACGACGGGTTTACCTTGTTTCCATCTGGCCGTCCAGGGAACTGGAATTCAGTGGACATAGGGCCTAAAATAGACGTCGTAAAAGCTCTTTCAGAGGCCGTAAGAAGTCACAAGTTGAAATTTGGTATTTACTATTCTTTGTTAGAATGGAACAACACATTGTTCTTAAGCGATATAAAATCACATAATACTACAAATGCTACTACAAATTATATTGAAGACGTACTTTGGCCTGACATCAAACTTTTAATCAACACGTATACGCCCTCCGTGCTATGGGCCGACGGAGACTGGGACGCAAATTATTCCTACTGGAAATCGCCAGAACTTGTAGCCTGGCTCTACAATGAGAGTCCAGTTAAAGATGAGATAGTAGTCAACGACAGGTGGGGCTGGGGTACCAACTGTCAATATGGAGACTTCTTCAACTGTAAAGACAGATTTAATCCTAGTATGCGTAATTTTAATTTTCCTTAAATGTATCACATAAACAAAGTAATACAATACTTTTTTAAGTTGAATTTAAACGTTACTAATGTTTTTTGTATTAGGCACCATCTCAAGAGATTATACTTATGTTATAAATATTCCAGGAACCCTGTTTCCACACAAATGGGAAAATGCGTTCACTATAGACAAGTTATCATGGGGTTTCAGAAGAAATATGAAATCAAGTGAAGTTTTAAGTTTCGAAGAAATATTGGAATATGTTGTGTCGACAGTGAGCTGTGGTGGTAACAAATTAGAAATTGTGTATATAAAGTACTTCTACAAAGTATGTTGATGTGCTCGCTAAGGCCTAGGCCATAGTTTCCCAAAGTGATTCTTAACCCCCAAGATGGGCGCTGAAGAGTCCAAGGAGCCTCGGCAGTAATTGGGGGGCGTTGATTCTGTCCAGGGGGTATTATCGCATTTGAAAAAACTTCAATTATCTATATAAACTACACTACTTTTTCCTTCTGATTTTTGTGTTCAGTTGATGTAAAAAATACATGTTTTCAACATTGACTTACAGTCAATGGTTTTCAATTATTTTTTATGATGGTGGACTTTGAAATTTTTTTATCTTAGCCTAAGTGAATGGTGAGTCAAAAAATTTGGGAACCTATGGCCTAGGCTCCCAAGGCCTAAAATAAAGGACATGAGATTTCTACCCGTATCATAACTAATGTAATTGACATTTTTAGCGATATTGAATTATTCCGCTTTATTCCTCTGATCGTAGATATGTAATCTACGATCAGCGGAGTAAAGTGGATATAAATGGATGGATGGAATAAAGTTGAGTGCAAGAGTGAAGAATACAATAATACGTGAAAGATGTGGCTTGAAAGGGGATGTGGTCACTAGAATAGGGAAAAGAATGTTGAGGTGGTTTGGGCATATAGAGCGGTTGGATGTAAGAAGAATTACCAAACAGATTTATGCGAATGTTTTTTTTTATAATATCAAGTGACGGGACGAACAAGTAGTGCGCCTGATGGTAAGCTACATGCCTGTCCATAATACTTGTTCGTTCGTCACTTAGTATTTATTATAAAAAAAAATTATCGATGTTATCGTTACATTTTAAGATTTCTTCATTAGCTGATGCTTCTTCATTAGCGATTCTTAATTACTGTTCCAATATTTAATATGTTGTTTGAATTTAAAGAAGTTTCTTAAATCTATATATTGATTATCCAAACGACGGCCCCCGTTGTCGAGTGGCTTGCATACCGGTTTACAAATTGTCGTCATTTCTGAAGTCCCGGGTTCATCACTCTTCCAGCTTTTCTATACTGTCTCGGGTCTGGGTGTTTGTGATACCGTCGTCTTCAGATTTCCATAACACAAGTGCTTTAACTACTTATTTTGGGCTCAGAATAATATATATGATGTTGTCTAATTATTAAAAATTAAAAATCATATCAATTTTGTCTTTATTTCCCAAGGAAACGCATTGATCAACGTTGGACCAACAAAAGATGGAGCTATATTGCCTGTATTCCAAAAGAGACTACTAAAGTTGGGCAAATGGCTGGGAATTAATGGCGAAGCCATTTATAACACCTCGCCCTGGCATTTCCAAAAAGACAAACTCAGTAACACAGATGTTTGGTACACTTGCAAAACTGAACGACTCCAGCGATCGAAACTTATGGCGCCTATAGAATCTGACACAATTACATCAATTTATGCCATATTTCTAAAATGGCCCGTCGATGACACATTGAAGTTATATTGTTTGACTCCTTACATAGTTAATGAAAATATTACGATTCAACTTCTAATGCCTGACGGTATCTATTTCCCTGTACCTGTAAGTAATAATAATGTTAATTATTGTGGCAGGCAACCACACTAATTGTCTGGTTTAAAAGTAGGAAATACCTGTACTCTATTATTACCCTGAACAGTGATCGGCAAACCGCGACTCGCGAGTCACATGCGGCATTTTGACCTCTTGAGTGGGGCTCTTCCACTAAATACCGACACCGATGAGTGTACAAAACAAGTGTGAATGGGATACTTGGGAGGGATCAACTTCAGCAAACGTACCTCAATCAAATTGGTAAATTGGTGAAATTACATGCACATGGGACTTATCGAGTCCTTAGGTTTTCGCAATTGTTACACATAGGAAATGAAACTATTTTTCCGGATTTAAATCGCATATATTTGTTTTTTTAACCAACCAACGTTTCGGGCGACTGACTGTTGACTAAGGTGGTAAATTTTCACGACTTTAAGTGTAACTTAACAGCTAAGCGGAGCTTAGCTCGGCTTCAAACTGCTTTTGACGATGAAGCACCATGCAAGACAACTATTTATGGCTGGTTTTCAGAATGCAAATGCGGTCATGTGAATCTCAGTGACAAATTTCGTGATGGTCGCCCGTCCACTACTGTGAACAACAAAAATATCGATGCTGTGCGCCGTACGACCAAACAGACAGGCATGTGACGTACCATGAGATTCGGGCATCTTTATGCATAGGCATGAGTCAAATACAATCAATACTACACAAACATTTGGGTGTGAAAAAGCTGTGCTCTCGGTGGATCCCACACACTTTGACTGAGGTTCAAAAAACGGATCGCGTCACTTGGTGCAATGCCATTCTAACCAGATTCAACGAAGGGTCGTCAAATTTGGTGTGGGACATAACAACAACGTAACAGGTGACGAAACATGGATTCATACGGAAAAATAGTTTCATTTCACATGGGACTTGTCAACTTATGTCTCAGGCTGATGGACGCAGTGACAGTTTGCGATTTATAGCTCTGAGTGGCGCTGCAACTGTTATGGACAGGCGTGTAGCTCACCATGAGGCGCACGATTTGTTCGTCCCGTCACTTGATATTATAAAACAATAAAAAGATCAGATTGAGGATATTCTTAGCAGTTTAGGAGTACCTCAATTAAGTTAACAACAATTTTAGTAGGTACATACAGTTTAAGTTTAAAAAATTGGCTCTCAAATGTTATTCAATCTGTCATACTGTTGATATCTGAGTCTGTAGACAAATGAGTTGGCCGATCACCGATCCAGAACGTCCAAACCAGGGGGTCTACTCTCGACCTCCGTCCGATATCCGTCCGAAACAATTACTGCCAAATAAGCAATTGACCAAATGAAAAAACGCGTGATGGGAATGAAGCTTCATATTTGATACTTGTCTTTTAATTTTGTCGAATATTACTTATTTGACAGTAATTGTTTCGGACGGATGTCAGATCGAGAATAGACCCGCTGAACCATCAGGGGGTCTATTCTCGATCTCCGTAATAAATATATCCGTGATAAAATTCAGTTCCCAAATTGGTAATTCCGAGAATTGAAAACGGGACCTCCTGGTCTTGTACTTATAGAGCGAGAACTGCTAGGCTTTCTGACTCATCTAGTTTACCCACTACAAAATAATGTACATTTATGTTTAAAGTTTTTTAAAAGCCATACACATACATACCTACTATTGTTACAATAGTGGTTTACCTATTTAGTGGTAATCATGCGTAAGAGTTAAATATATATATGGGAATGTTAAATAAAAACACCAAAACCTATGATTTACAGAGTAACATTAGAAATGATGTGACGGAAGTACTCCTCGAGGAAATAAATAAAGATGATGATACCACAGTAACTGCCTGGGTGTTGAAAGTACAAATTACATATACAATGTTATAAGTACGTAAAACACAAATCGCCACATCTCACAGCACGTCATAATTAGATCGAAGATCAATTTATCTAATGATAACAAAAGTGCAACCAGTCGTGAAACTATTTATACTCGTAGTTAACTACCTTGCAATAAAATTTTACTTATTTAGTCTTTTTTTTTAAACAACTAAATATTGAAAGTACAATCTTTTATACTATTAATAAGTATACAGAAAAACTTTATTATTGATTACCACGATCGTGAGGGTTAGTAAAATCAAAGATCATTTTGTCGGATGAAATCAAAAGTGCAATCAATCGTGAAACTACTAGTTATTGTTGAAACAATGTGTAACTTGTTTACGCTTTTGATGTTTATTTTAAACTCGATATTGTAAAAGATTTTACACAATGTTAAAATATTATAGAACTAAAATAGAGTAATCTGCGAGTGTTAGTAAGATCAAAGACTGCTTTTTGTCGAATAAAACTAAAAGTGCAACCCGTCGTAAAACTACTTATTGTTGTCGTTAACTAGCATAAAATAAAATAACTATTACTTGTTTACTTTTTTATATTTCTATAGACAATTAGAAGTATATTTAGGTACAGGTACATCTAGGTACATTTTTATACAACGTTATAATAGCAAAAAAAACTAAATTATCATATCTGAGACCGTTAGTAAGATCGAAGATCAATTTGTCGAATAAAACCAAAAGTGCAACCAGCCGTAAACTACTTCTTGTTGTCGTTAACTAGCTTGAAATAAAATATTATTGTTTACTCTTTTTATGTTTTTTCAAACAACGAGACATTGTAGATACAATGTCTTATAAATGTTATAACAGCATAGAAGATCTAAATTAGCATACGAGTATCTGCGAGTATTAGTAAAATCGAAAATCATTTTGTCGAGTGAAACCAAAAGTGAACCAAAACCAGTCGAAAACTACTTATTGTTGTCGTTAAGCTTAAAATGATATATAACATGTTTTTATACATGTCGTAGTAAACTAAATCTGTGTAATATAAATATCTGTGTAATAGAAAAATTTTACATTTAATATCACTTTCTATAATACTTTCCTCTACAATATACCTAAAACCTGGGTTATCAGTGTTAATACATCCGAAGATCAATCGTAATGAGAAAACTATTTAAGGCTCAACTCACACTGGCGCTGAGTCGAAACGTCGCGTCGCGTTCTGTTTTTAACTACAACGCTTGGCGATACTGATGATGGCTGATAATGTGCTCAAGAGACGCGCGTCGACGCGCGAAGCCGCTCGCCTGCAGTCAAGCGTAGACGCACGTCGACGCCCGTTTCCATATTTGCATAACACAAATTTGTACCTTAATCATGGGAAAATAGAGATGAATATACTATAGGCGAAAAACATGACGCGTCGCGACGCTTCGAATCTGCGCCAGTGTGAGTTGAGCCTATGAGAATGACACCGGTTCACTATCTAAAGCAGTCTTGCCAGATTAAGCGATTTTTCGCCTCTTAGGCTACTTCGTAAAACTATAAATATTTAAATACTTAATAAAATGACTGGGGAATTACAAATTTGATTGGGGATTTTGTGGGGAATGGAGTTGAAAAATAACTCATTTGGGGGTTTGAGTATTTCCCCAATGTCCGGCAGCAAGGAATTGTAGAATTGTTTTCCTTGATTTTTAGGGATGTTATGACTTGGGCGAATATCGGCTGCTTAACACAAAAAAAACTGATCTACAGGCAGTTCAAAGGGTTTTATTTCTATTTGCTATAGAGATTTATTTTTGTTGTTAATTGTATTATAATATTTTATTTACAACTTTACTTTTGTACTAAGAATACATGGTAAATAATCATATTTAATATTTTGAATTTTCCATGCATTCTGAGTGCAGAAGAAAAATTATTATTGCAATTTAAATACAAAAGAGTGAATTTGCAACCTACGGGTCCTCGCCTAGTTGGCCGTCCAAGATATCGTTGGAATGATGGAGACGCCAAAGACCTGAAGAAATTGAATGTGCCCGAATGGTAGCAATTGGCACTAAAATAGCGTACTTTGGTGTCGGAGGCCAAAATGTTTTTCAGTTCGCTGGGCCATCGAAGTAAGTAATTCAAATATAATTGACAACAAATGTAAAATATCTGTGAAGGTTAAGAGCAAATAAACACAAACCCGTTTGAACTAACTTTCGATAGTGAACCGGTGTCATTTATCTTTAATAGTTTTGTAATTATGGCTGTTGTGGCATATTATTTGGTCTATATTATTTCTTGGGTAGGAAATATTCAACAATACCGATAAGAGCTAGGTGCTTAGGTTTTAGGTATGTTGTAGGGGAAAGTATAATAGCAAGAAAAAAACCACTTTTCTAAACTGTATTATAATCCATTTATGTCAATAAACTAATACCCAGCTGCATCCGTTTTCTGGGGTAGTATCGAGAAACAATAAACTACAATTTCGATTTATGCTACCAAGTTCAGCACTCCATGTCTCCATTCTTCCTCACTTACGGTAATTAAAAAACAAATTGTTTTGGAGTGTATTCACACCAAGTTTAGGGTAATAGACTCAGGGATATGAATTTCCTTTAACTCATTGCATTGGTTCACTGAATTGAATAGTATAGAAAAATAAGATTTTATTTTTCTTTATCAGTTTTGAAGAATATTTATATTAAGTTTCAGGTAAATAGATTCGCTTTTATGATACTAAGTGACGAACAAGTCGTGCGCCTCGTGTAAGCGACACACCTGTCTATAGCAGTTACAGTGTCACTCAGAGCTTTGAAAGTGTACAATTCCCATATGCCTGTAATTTCACCAGCGCCTTTACCATTCAATACTGGAACACAGTAATGTTCACTTTACTGCTTGGCGGCATAAAGAGGTACCTAAGGTGGCAGTACTTCCATGGACGAAATCATTTACAAGGAGCCTTCTGGTAGATCTTGCAAATATTATTTCTCCTTTATAGGAATAAACGCAAACTTTGTATATAGCTCGTAGCTGTATTTTTACAAAACCGGAACTTTTATTATTACGTTTATACAACGTAACAGAACTTTTGTTCTAGATCTTCTAAAATTCTAACGATATTTTTTTAACTTCCCATACAATTCCAGCAGTTCCGCTGGTTTGTATGCGACCTTAGCACAATTATGTGAAATGCTTAAAGTGGCAGAACAACAGTTTTGATTATAGAAATACCATATTCAGAGGTTTCGAGTAAAGTAAGTACATATGGATTATCTATGAAACACAACGTGTGAAAAAAACATTGGTACCTTAAACCCGATGTTGCACGCACGTGTAATAAACACAATACAATTTCATTATCATAGGTTAGAAAGAAAAAGAACATAATTTATGTTATTTAATAACCCTCGGCACCTTATAACAGAAATAAATCGTTCCAATCTGGAACACTGTTTGAATGCCTTTTTGTTTCATATGTTTTGCATAAAACCTATAATCTCTACTCGGTATGATAATATATTAAGTGATGTTTCTCATAATGAAGATACATCTGTTACAGTACAATAGACAGGAGCTTCAATCTTTTCTACGTAATTTCTCTATATGAAAATAAGTGACATATACTCTAATCCACATGATCGACTTACAACCTCTTCTTTATTTATTTATTTACGAGTTTATATGGCGTCCAAGCATTGACTTTATTTGTAAGTCAATGCGTCCAAGCAATAAATTTACATTTTATGTAATACTTTTGATGTGGATCATTTCAATACGAGTGTGATTTCAGCAAGGGGAGCACTGAGAGGGTGCCTACTTCTTTGACTCATAGTGACGCTTAATACTGCAGCTGCAGTGATCTTTTGATGTTTTATGTAATAAGTTAGTTGAATTGTGGATCTAGGTCCCTTATTATATTTCTGTTTGTGAGGATCTGTAATTTGCTCTCAGTTGTTAATATTATAATTTAATTTAGTTTTAAGCAGTTGGTCTTCCTTTTAGTAAATAAATGAATAAATGTATTCATGGAAAACCAAATGTTTCAAAATATTTAAAAAACAGGGAAAAAAACATACAGCCAATTAAAGATTTCCGCTTTATTCTTAGTCACATGTCAACGCGAAACCAATAGGCATAAATAATTAATAAATAAATAAAAAACGCATACACACTAATAGCACCGCACTAGGGAAACCCTGTGTCGCGGATGCCATGGCCACACATATAGACAACCACAAATTCCCCAAAATACCCAAAAATACCCAAACTCACGAGAAAAATAAACGTAGGCCATACAAACGTCTGCGTGACAGACCAGGATGGTAATGGCCACCAAGGCATTTGTATTAATGGGATAATTTGGCTAATATGGACTCTCACAGCTTTAAATCGCGCAAAGATCTTAGGGGCACTGTCACTGCGCCCTGAGACATACGTTGACAAGTCCCATATGACTGTAATTTCACCTGCACCCTTACCCTTCCAAACCAATACGAAAAGTCAAAATAAAACTTTTGCAATGATATATTTTTTGTTGCTAACACTACATACATTGAACAATTTATAAAATCAAAGGTAAGTTCACAAGAAGACCAATGAATCCGAAACATGAATGAATCAGCAGTAAACAACCAAGTATGTATAATGTAACTAATGTGATTAACTGCTTTCGTGGCCGAACGGTTACCATGCTCGTCTGAAACGCAGAGGTCTCATGTGCGATTCCCGGGCCGGCAGAAATATTTGTATGGCCTTCATTTATTTCACTCCTTAGTTTGGGTGTAATTTGTGGTGTTCTATGTGTGTGGTCCATAGCACCCGCGACACAGGGTTTCCTTAGTGCTAGGCTATGATAATTTCATTTTTTATTTAATTAAGAATCAAAAATATACAAGAATAACATAGCACAAATTCAAAGAAACCTGCATACCGGGAACATAACATTTTCGTCGTTCTCGACAATGTGACGATTCGATTATAATAGTAACCCTCCTACAGCAGGTGGCAGAGCATTGTTCATTTTGCATGAAAATTATTTGAAGTAACCCTGAACAGCAGCTAAACAAAATCAGCTTCCCAACCAAGGACCTATCATACTGTATCTCAGCATGCGTTAACGTTACAAGGTGTAAGTAAATTGATATACTTTTTCTAAATATGGAATAGGTAAAACCATGCACATTTTAGATATCGTAAGAACGGATACGGAGAATCCGGTTCTCAATATTAAGATTAGGATTAGTTGCATTGACACTTTTATGTCGCAAACTATATGTCACTGAATGGTGTAGATACTTTAGTAGTTTAATATCATAATACGATCAACAGCTAAATATGTTATGACCTTTTTTGTACCGCCCTGTATAAACTGCCGATAATTTAAAAAAATGTAGCGAAGAAGGGAAATTAAATTTTTGCTATACATTACGTACCGCAACAAGAATTGTTAGCGATAACAATTTTTGTTGTTTAAATGTTTCCTTAACATTTTTAAAAAGCACTCAATGGCAATAGGTAATTTATATTATGTATTATTACAGGTATTAATATAGTTTTTTTTTATTTACTAAGATTGCCGATAAACGTTACGCAGTGATATACATAATTTAATGACAACTTAAAAAATACACCGCAACTTGCTATATGTACGCTAATTTCAAAGGCAATCACAAACATATACTTACCATTGTTTTAATATACGACATGTTAGTGGGCTACTGGCAAGTTGCCAAGTCCTGTCCTTCTCAATCCTAAATGAAATTTAAGTGGTCCAATCAGACGCGTGATACAACTCGCCGGGCCTCAACTCGCGCGCGCACAGCCTCGCTAATGCGGTCACCGACTGACTGCCCGCGCCCGTGCGCACAACCACTTCACGCTCACTAACACAGTCACCACGCACTTCACAACAATTAAAACTTCCAAGAGTCAACATCACCCGCCAATTAATACAAACCCGTTTAACTATTAGAAGGTACTGTGTACAGTCAAAATGTCACGGATAGCGAAACGAAGGCACATCCGCACCAGACCGGAAAATACTAGGGCCGTAGAAGTAGGTCAGGGACCTTAGTTACTACTTCTTCCTGATCCGCCTTACAGCAATTAAATCAAAATTCACTTTGTTATTGTTTTTTTTCTTCTGCTTGTCCCAGAGTAGTTGAGTGAGAATTATGATTTATGACATTAATTAAGTCCATCGTACTTTATCGCATCGTGCAAGAAAGTTTTAGTAAATAAACAAATAAAATGCTTGGTTTAGACAGAATCTGAAAAAGAAGCCGTGTTTTTCACAAAATTCGTGCAGCTTTAAATATACATAACATACGTAAAAATTGTTAGAAAAAATCCTAAACAGTACGATACCAACCCTTTTAAATGAATAACAATGAGAGCATCATTGTTTTTAAAGTAAATATCTAATATTGTATTTGTATAAGATACTTCAATTCTCACCATAGCTACCTGTCAACGTTTAACACATTTGGACTTATACTCGGCAGCTTAGATCCATAACGTATGTGCTGACGTAACTATTGCCAAACGGACCAATTTCGTTCGAAAATATGGTCTGTTATACAAGACCTTTCTAACGTATAAAGAGGTAAAAACACTTAACGGTGAGGTCACTATCGGTCAATGACCAAACAATTACAAGATGAGCCGAGACAAACTCAGGGACGTGAACTTTTATGATAAGTTACGGTCGTAATCCTGCGTCACGAAATAGTGTACGCGTAAGTCCGTGGACCAGTAAAGTAATCGTTAAACATTATGTTTCGTAACACACAATAAATTTGCAATAAAAATATCAATATCACATTACGATATGATTCAAACAAGAGTGATAAAGTATCACGTCCGTAAGTCTACATTATGCAATCTCGTACATACGTACCAGCAGCACAAGTTAGCGGATTTGTATAATACCAACAAGATAGTAGCTTTCTGGTGAACATAAACAAACAGGAAAATGAATAAGGAAGATGTGTAGATATTAAAAATGTTTCTTTTTGCATGGTCTGAGAAAAAGGAAATAAGTGCGGAATACTTGATAAAGCCCAGATGCAACTTAGAGAGCTATATTGCAGTAAATTGCTTTCCAGTGAGCATTTTTTATCAACACACGAAATACCGAACTAAATAAAGCAATAGTAGTAGAACGTGCAAAATGTAAGTGCAATGTTGCGAATTTGTTATTTTGAAATTTTCTGCGCTCTTAAAACTGATATGTGTAGTCCTAAACTCACATTGAGACTCTATAATTCAAATATCTACCTGTTCCTTAGGATAGACGCGTGGCCAGCCACTGGTGTACAGTCAAAAGCACGTCAAGCTTGACGCTTTGTATTTGAACAGTTCTTATCGTAAGCGGCATAGAGTTGGATTTAAGTCTTAAGTGTCAAGCTTGACGTGCTCTTGACCCTGTACCTTTTTCCATAGTAACTATAGTCTAGTATTTGAAATTTAAATAGTTTATGTACGTAGGTAAATATCTTAAAAAATAAAATACCCGACCTCGAAGGTTTGTGGAATTACATCTATTTGCCAAGTTTTATTGAAATCGGTTAGCGGTAGTCGGAAACTGGGTGAAATCCAGTAAACCTGATTCATTTACCCTAATTTGCCATCTTTAGAGGCGGAGTATTTTCTTCAAATTTGAATGAGACCACTACTGAGGTACCCTCTTTATAACAAAAAAAAAAGAATCATCGAAATCAATTCACAAATGTCGGAGAAATCGCGTAACATACGCACAACAAAAAAATACACAGTCAAATTGAGGCCCTCCACCTTTTTTAAGTCGGTTAAAAATCGACATGTAGTCGGTTTTAGTAAATAAAAAATATTATGTTTACTCGGCCCGCCCCATTTCACATCCATTCATTACTAGCATTCCAGCTGGATGTGTCTTCTCAATTGATTTTGATCAAAAATATCTACAACCCCTATAGGATGAAAAATCCGAGTCCTGTTTAAGCAACTTCTGTGAGAAAAATCCAATAAGTCACTGTTCTACTTTCATCGCATAAATAAACAAATAAGTTAAATTATTTTGCATTTTGCATTCTGCAAGTCAAGTTTGTGTATTCGATTATACAATCGTGATCGGCCATGTTCAGTTCCTTTCACTTTTAACGGTCGTCACTCTACTGCATACTGCAGCAGCCTCACTAACATACGAGTTAAAGATCACTAGACGGCGGGTTAATAAACCGCTGTTTTATGTCAGACAACTTATGTATCATTTATTATTTAGTTGGAATACTGATTGCCCATTCGTGTTTTCTTAGATATGATGATTGCCATAACTGTTATGCTCAAATAGATTTGGAATAAGTCGAGGCCAGAAATAATTTGATAAATACAGAGATATTTCATCAGAGTCTATGTAAAGTAATAAAATGTGTCGACGAACAGGTTCAAGTACCTTATGATCGGTTTCAATAATTTTATGTAACCTTTATGTCATGTAACTGATACAGAACTATTTAGTGGAAGAATTGAACACCTTAAATTCTCATCTAGATATTGCATAGGAGAAATACCAATTACATAACAATACCAGATATTTATAATAGATAAATATGGTCTATTCCACTAAGTTCAACTATAAGTTCAATCAGTTAAACTAATCGGACACAAATATTCCAATTAGTTCAACTAGGTACAACTTTCAAAGTTGAACTTATTGGACGAAATATAGTGATTACGTTTAAGTACAATAATTCCCAGTCTATCCCATCTGTCAACGCCTGACGTTAAAGTGTTGATAAAAGTGTGCATCAAAAAATTGTACTATGAATAATTTTTTGCCGCAGCGCTCGTCACCCAACGACATAAGTTGACTAGTCCTATGTGCCTGTAATTTCACCAGCACCCTTCTTACCCTTCAAAACCGGAACGCAGTAATGCTCACATTATTGCGGTAGAAATAGGTAAGTACGTTAATATTACTGAATGATGATCTCTAAAAACCCTGGTAACATATAGTATAGTGTTACGTTTTCTTGCGTTGTGTAAAATTAATGGATAATTCTCACTCGAATCATTTATTCTATATTACTATATTGTAGTCAAGGCGAAAGTCTTTGACCAGTGTGTGTTGCCAGTGATCACATATGGATCAGAAACGTGGTCCCTCACTATGGGCCTCATAAGAAGGCTCAAGGTCACTCAGCGGGCAATGGAGAGAGCGATGCTCGGTATTTCCCTGCGTGATAGAATCAGAAATGAGGAAATCCGTAGGAGAACTAAGGTAACCGACATAGCTCGAAGAATTGCTCAGCTGAAGTGGCAGTGGGCGTGGCACATAGCTAGGAGAACCGATGGCCGTTGGGGCGGAAAGGTTCTTCAATGGCGACCGCGCACCGGACGACGCTCAGTGGGTAGGCCCTCCACCAGGTGGACCGACGATCTGGTGGAGGTCGCGGGAAGCCGATGGATGCGGGCAGTGCAGGACCGATCGTCGTGGAGATCGTTGGGGGAGGCCTATGCCCAGCAGTGGGCGTCGTATGGCTGAATGATGATATTGTAGTATCTTTCAATCTCCTGACGCAATTCCACAACTGCTGCGGTAACTTTTTTGTATATAAATTTTATTTGTTTCTACTTCGGATACTTAAGTCCCCGTGGGTCCGAATGAAAAATGAGAAATGGATGTCGAACACAAAATCTTCATATTACTTTTCATACGTTTTTCTACATCTGTGACATGCAAAAATTCTACTTCTTGCATAAAATTTACCAATTTAGAAACATTATTAATATGTAGAATCTTGAAATATGGAATACGCAACAGTCCTGAATGTTTAATTTAACCCACAGGTGCCGTGCCCTCATTATTTTTTATATGAAAATTGTTTTTAGCATTCACCCCTAATCCCAGAATCCTACAAGACCTTATTAAAAATAAGACAAAAGATAATGGTTCATTTGACCTCAAAACCTTTATTTCTCTACGACCCAAAACGTAAAATTTAAAATTGTTCAATTCCTTTAATCTATGCCTTATGTATTATACAACCATTTGTCACCTATAAAATTTTGCAGAATGCGAGCGAAGCAAAATGGCTCGTAATTCGTTACAGTACGTAATTTTATGGCTCAAAACGTCAGTTTGAAATGTTCACGGCTACTGTATAAACACAGATAATGAAAGCAAACCAAAGTGTATAGAAAACAGTTTATTATTATTTTTACACTTAACATTAAAATTAGGTGTAATTAAAAATATATACAAATAATAATATTTAAAAAATAAAAATTTGTGACATAAATATGTTTATATATCCAGTTCATTACATGTTGCTTGATAATAGTCGATGTCGGTGTTCGTCGGTGTCGGTGTCGTCATGATTCGTCAGCCTCCGTATCCTTGTTGAATTTTGAACACTTCTCACGATGGGTAAAACAAAAGACTAGTACCATATTGCGACAGTTTTTGTGCGCACCACGGTCACACACTACCACAAGTACAAAAATTTAATGTTATGTCGTATTGTTAATTTGAATACATCAGCATGTGCTGAACGTCTGATTAGCGGTAATATTATGAAAATTTATTGTGCATTTTACAACTGTACACCTACACGCGCAGCCGCAGACATCTGTTCCAGTAGCGGTCCATAGCGTGGTACCGATGCATGTTGACGCCCGCCAAACTGTGTGCTTCGTCAGGGTAGGACTGCGAAAGATATTAAACCGATATAATAATGTGGGCTAAGAGTCATGGAACACAGCTCTAAGATTACCCTAGTATAAAATACTACCACAAAAAGTAGTATGTTGACATACGACACCTTGTTTAATATTATAATTAAAGTTTAAGCCACGCATACAGTCGTATTCTCAAGTTACGACATTTGCACGGATAGCAAAGGATCGTAACTAGAGATTTTCCCGTTTTTCTTCACAAATACGACTCTCTGATTGATGTTAATTATTACGAAATATACCATAGATACTTATAAAATAAAATTACAAACATCCATTACTGTAATATTTGTATGAAACGCATAAACCTAGATCAAAAGTTAAATGTCTATTTCTCGAAATGTTGCTTTTTAGGGTTCTTTGTTCAAAATAACACATAAGATACAATAATTCTGTACAAACGGCATGTGAAACCTTGCCATGTACAATTTAAAAAAAAAAAATTTCTACTACAGGCATAGCATTTGTCACTTGCAACATGTTGGCCTTCATGACGGCCGGTTTATACGTATAAAGTAATAAGTGATAAGTAGAAGTACTTTGTTTGGTGAGTTCAGCATATTCAAAGATGTATATCAATCATCAAATATGCCACGATTATGTCGTCGGCGTTTTGTAGAAAGGGTGAAAACACCATGTCGAAAAACTTTTCAGGGGAGCATGTTCTAGGTTTCAAAGACTATTTTAAAATATTTACGTCCTGTTTTAAAATTCAATTTTGGTTTTAATTAAGTTTAAGTTTTAAAATTGAACAGGGTGCAGGACGTAATATTTTAAAACAGTCGTGAAAAACTAAAACATGCTCCCTTGATTTTTTTTTCGAAATGGTGCTGTCTCCCTTTCCACAAAACACTGGTAATGTGCTTTTGCTTACCACTTTGTATTTAATTTATGTAAACCAACAATTACTATCCAGAGGTCGTCTCAGTACCTACTGAGTAGTATGTTGCCCTCCTTATCATAACCGACGTAGTCAGATATGGGCAAGCGCCCGGGTTTTTATCCGGCGTTTTGTTAATAAAAAGGTTTATGTATCGAGTTAAAATCATTCACGTCCGTAATCGAGGCTAAACACTATTTACAACTAACTCTTTGTCGTAAATCGAGCTTTGTACAAATATTAGGTATTATTACAAAATGTTTATTGCTTTCCTATCTAGACGGATCGATTTGCCTTTCTATTGAATCGTTTCGCAAGAAGTTAGTAAGAATTCACAGGATTGCAACGTAGGTATTGTGTTGAGTTGTCTTATTTTCATCTAAAATTGATTTATTACATCGAAATTTTGTAATAAGTTTGAATCTACACCAAAATCCGTATTCACTGTTTCCGCCTAAGATTTTGGGCAGAAATTGATTAAGACACGACGCTTTGAGTAAAAATCCGGTTAAAACCCGGGCGAGTTGATTGGGTTTTAACTCACTGCCCATCTCTAAACAGACATTTTTAACCACATTGAGTTATTAACACATCTGGGATCTGCGAAATGTTACCTACAACCCTCTGTAATCAGTTTTAATATTTTATTTAGTTTCAGTTGCATTGTTAAACAAAATAAACGTATTTGACATTTTTTAGGTCACAATAAAACTTTAGGAACCAATATCTCAAATATTACCAAAATGCATTTGCGTTAGTTGTAACAAGTAGGACAGAATGGTAGTAACATTTTATTTAATAACGTCACGGGACCTGTCGACGGGACGAACAAGTCGTGCGCCTGATGGTAAGCTACACGCCTTACATAACAGTTACAGTACCACTCAGAGTTTTAAATTGCAACGATCTGAGGAGCACTACCACTGCGCATGTCACTCTGAGATATAAGTTGACAAGTTCTATGTGCCTGTAACTTCACCAGCACCCTTACCCTTCAAAACTGGAACACAGTAATACGTAATAAGGCATTACTGCTTGGCGGCAGAATACGTACGGTGGCAGTACTTTTTTTTTTTTTTTTAACCTAGACGAACTCTTTCACAAGGAGCTCTACTGCTACTTGTACAATGTATCATGTATCATAACTGCTCACCATCTGTTCAAAAGGAATATTGAGTTCCTGCAACGCCGTCATCAACTTAGCTGCGTTCTGATAATGCACGTTGTCGTCTGCATTGCCGTGCATGATGTAGAAATCATGACCTTCCAGTTTTTTTGCTAGCAATGTAACGTCACCGGCTTCATATCCCTTTAGATTGTCCTCTTCAGTAGGTCGCCCCATGTAGCGTTCCGTGTACATAGTATCTTTAACAAAATAATACATAATAATTACGATCACGATGAATCTATTACAGATTTGATATTAATGATGATCATTAGGCATAGAGTATATAACCGAAAATAGAGACGAAATAAGGGCCATATATTCCTGGTAACATATTAGCGATACAGCTCTTATAAATGTCAATTCTCGTTTGCACAGAAATATAGACAGGCCAACTACTGACCTGTGTGTACGTCTCCGTATATTCCAAAAAATATTCTGTATTTATTGTAATAAAGATAATATCTCTAACAATGCCGTGCTGTTCTATATGGTGGGAAAAACAGCAATACGTCTCATTACAAAACAAACGGAATCACATTTCATCGGTAATTAAAGATGTAATTTTGCGATTTTCGTCCATTATAGCAAAGCTCAAGTTAACCGGTCGATTTGAAGTGACACAGTTGACGACACCCATTGACGACACCCGTCAATTGTTTCGAATTCGGGCTGGCCAATCGGAGCGCAGTTGTCACAGCAATGATATGGCAAAATAGTTTTCAAACAAATTAAATGACATTTCGTATCTATTTCTGGTTATATGCTCGATGTCATTAGGTAATATGGGACCGTAATATACCTTAACATTAGTCAAATCAGTTTGGAAATTGGGAGATTTACTTCTATATTATCTAAGTATAAAAACTACATAGGCCCGTATTTTTATTACTTGTAACACCTTTGGGACTCCTTTCATTAAAAAAATGCACATTAATTGCTTATGCTTACATTATGTTACATAATTATGTGAAAAATCATTTAAATTTAAATAGTACCAACGTGACATAGATTTTTTTTAAATAAAACTTACAAAAATTTACTGCCCTCGTAACGAAAAAAGGCACAACTGTTGTATAAATTACACATAGTTCTGCCTTTTTTGTTCCGAGGGCAGTATAACAATTACAATTAATCAGCGTAAAAGTGGTGTAACCCATTCTGAATTTATTTTTCTACAATATTACTTTAAATGATACTAAAGTACATAGTTACATTTGGATGCCATTTTCATGTATAGAAAATATTTAATTTTTCAAATCAAAATAGCATTCAAATATATAATAAATTGTGTACTTTAGAGTCATTAGATAAAGAAATTAAATATGATTTACACCATTTTTGCGCTGATAGCCTCAATTTATATTCCAACAAATATTCCTCAAAAAACTCTTGAATGCTATAACAACATATTTAACAAATGTGCTTTGAGATGTTCGGTAAATAAATAATATTGCGTTTGAGATGAAAATATATTTGGGAGTTAAGTTAAATGTTTTAATACCATTTACAAAAGGTTGTGTGCTGTAGATTTTTATTTCGAGCAACACTAAAACACGTAGGTATGTTTATCAGTTTTCGAAGTGGTTTTCCTTAACTGGAATAAGCAAAGACAGTGAAAGTGTATAGAACATCAATCCATTTCAATCTATTATACAGAAAAAGTTCACTACTGACCTGATAATACACAGTTTAGTGATAACTAGATGAACTGCCAACTACAAATCAATTAGTTAATTGTATGAATCGATTTGTTTAATTGAATCAGTTGGAATAACAGTTTTGTTGCGATTTTTTATTTATTTTAATTTTATTGAGCTTTGGCTATAGAGTCATCAGCTTAAACAATAACAAATAATTAAGAAAATAAAAACGTAATAAACTAAAAAATAATTTGCATGAAAATTGTAAAAATAAAATCCCACAATTTTTTCTGAAAAAAAAAAGGTTTTTTGCGTTTTCGCTGCTGAGTACTGACCAAAAATATGTGACACAATACCGAGTGTTATTTTCATACACACATATTATTAGTACATGGTGTAAAAGTGGTTTTTCTTACATGACCCATAAAAGTAAATTTAAATTTAAAATCCTTACTTAGATGTAGACGAGTAAGTACTCGATTGTGTTTGAAATATTCGATTTACTAATCGATTACAAAACTTTAATGGAATGAACCGAATGTTTCTTCGTACAGCACTATGCAACAAACAATCTCACTTTTGTTCTAACATTTTCCAAATACGATTTTAAGTTTTTAAATTTTTATTGAATTGATGTTCAATTATTTTTTGTGAAATGATTCCACTAGTTTGTTATAATTATTAATACAAAGATCGAACACTCACAAAAAATTCCTTCGATCCGGCCGGATTCCAACCGACTACATCTAGCTAACGGAACATACGTAAGGGAACGAACCAGCGGACTTCACGAATTTTTCTATATGCTTGCGTCGTATCTTTGTATTTGGTTTTTCGCCAGAGCTGTAAAGATATCTAACTGGGTGATAAAACTTTCATAGATTTCTCATAGATGGCGCTACGACTAAAAAGTCGTTGATACAACCAAATACAAAGATACGACGCAAGCACATAGAAAAATTCGTGAAGTCCGCTGGTTCGTTCCGTGGCTTAGTTGGTATAGCGTCTGCCACGGTAAGCTAGAAGACGTCGGTTCAAATCCGGCCACATCGAGGGAATTTTTTCTGAGTGTTCGATCTTTGTATTAATAATTATAACAATTTTAAGTTCAAATTAATATTGTTGGCAAAAGTGATGAGACATCAAGTTGAAATCTTCAAAATATACGTAAAAATGTCACTTACAATAAATGGATAGAGTGATTGCTTTAACCACACCGGTTTGTTTAATTTTACTGCAAAATGGATTAAAACAGACATATTGTGCGATAATATTTTCTAAAAAATCATTGGAAGAAAATGAGGAAGACGAATGTTGTAGTTCGCACTAATTGAAGCAGTGTTCCCTATACCTTTTCAGCTCCTCAATAATCAAACTAACTTTATACACTACTCACTGTAATACAGCCAAGAAGTGACAGGGGCTCCAGAGACACCGCAGCTGAAGAGATGTTCGTCATCGTGTAATAGAGTGAGCAGCGTCGCATATCCCCCGTAACTGTGACCCCATATGCCGATTCTGCTTTGGTCGATGACCGGGAATTGTTGTAGAACTTGTCTGTAGCAAGATACATGTGTACAGACTAACAAGTTAGATTTTGACCTTCGCCATGTTTAACATTTTTAAACAACATTTCTTCTACAGACTACACGAACATTGATTTTTAAAATGTGCTGGCGCCATCTATCTGGTGTCATTGCAATTACACCAGATAGATGAATGTATTATAATCCATTTCGCATGATGAGTACTGTGACATTTCAAATTTTTATGTTACTTTTAATTTACTCTCAATCAAGTTACAAAAAAATAGTAAATTTGTTTTAATAGACCAAAAGAAACAAAAATTGTTTCAATTTTTCCATAGATCCATAGATTTACACCATAGAATCGACAAGTACCTTGTATGCGGGTTCTTTTCTTTTGTTTTGAGCTTTGCGTGATGCTTTTGGAGTAATTGTTCTAATTTCGTTTCGTAGCTGTTGATTTTATGGTTTTTTGTTGACTTTTTGTTTGGTTGTTATCGATATTTTAAACCGTTATGTAGTTTTTTAGTAACTTAATAACATAATAATGGAATCCTTTTTATTTTGTTTATTATTTATTCTTGAACTAATGTCTCCAAATTAATTCTCTCTTCGTTACAGACTATCTCGATAAGATATTGAAATCGATTTTTTTAATTCAAATTTACATCAATACTATCTAGAAACTACAAATCACAAATGTCACCGTACCCATACTATGTGAAACGGACTATAATGATGAAATTGATTATCAGTCAGTCCTCATACTTTTCCAAAATAGGCCTACAAGTGTTTCTACACTTTTTAAATTATATAACTCCTGCAACAATTACAATTAATAACAAAGGTATTCACGGGCACTTGCGACTGCCATGAGCTATTTGGTACCGAGTATATTCGTACTACATAGTTTACTAACTTACGAAACACTGGTTATTAATTGCACACGTTCTATTATTAACTTATTGTCAAGGAGGGGCAAAAAAAAAATTTGATATAAGTATGTAATTAATATCTATTAATATATCAATTTTTTGAGATCCACTTAATTTTAATACAATAGGTAAAGAAATGCCGAATAGCAATTTTTAATTCTTAGCAGCACCTTAAAACCGAAACGCAGTATTCCTAGCACACTCCTTGGCGGCAGAAATATGTAAGGTTATAAAGTTAAGGTAATTATGTAGAAAGTTATTGCGGGTAACTATGTGAGTCTGTTCGGGAGATATATATAGTCGTACGACGTAGCTCTAGGCCTTTGATAGAACAAAGAAACACGAAAACCTTTATATATATTATATACATATGTACGTCTTTATTGTTCGCTTCGTTCAACGAGTAAGGGTCAGACAGCCATACAAGGTACCATAGAGGGCTACCGTTCTTGGGGAACAATATAAGGAACAACATAGCTATTAAAATAATGGAAGTATCCAAACATGTAATGTGACGCTTCCACGTAAAACAAAAGGGTAAGTTTTAGGTTAGTTTTCTAATTTCGGTGGCATTTTGTATTATTTAAGTATTCGAGTGTATTATCGTGAAATATTAAATAATATTTCAGACTAATACACTCGAATATGAAATAATACTTCATGATATTATTCAAGAATATTTAAATAATAAAAAATGCCACCGAAATTAGACGCAGAAAACAAACCTGAAAATTACCCAAAAAAACAGGTGGATGTTGCGCTAGAATAGTGTTATTTTGTACGCCAGTAATTTTCAGGTAAGTTTTTTGTACTCAATTTGGTGACAATTTATATTATTTAACTACTCGTACATATCATTGTGAAATATTAAATAATAATTCAGGTTACTACACTCGAATATTAAATAATATTTCATGATGATAGTCTATAAATATTTAAATAAAAAGAAATTGTCACCAAAATTGAGTATAAAAAACTTACCTGAAAATGACCAACCTGTCATCGCCTTTTGACGGGAGCCACAAAAGGTCACTATTTGAAAACTATAATTATTGTTTTAGATTGCTTACCTGAGAATAACAAAATGGTCTTCGACCTCAACAGTGCCCAAAGCATTGTTGAGTGAATACAGTATTTCTTGTCCCTTGAGACCGGAACCCCTTCCGTCCGCCACCATGTAGATTATGTTGCGACTGGTCGCCAAGTATGAATGATAACCTAGTGTAAACACACATTGTTGTTTAAAACTTGCATAATGAAAAGATTCTGGGACCGATTCAAAGGGAGGATGGAGCTGGAAAGCAAGGAAGAACCTTGAAATTGAAGATCTGATGTCCGGAGTCCAATTCGAATATTCTGGGAGAAACTAAAGCTGCGAGATTTAGTTAGCTCGGACATGTGGAAAGAATGGGAGAGGATCGAGCCGCGAAAAGAGAGTACCTACTTGAGACGACCGAGTGGACGGTCAGACGTCATAGGTACCACTCGAGTGATGAAGTCCAGAAAGATCTGAACTCGGTGCTAGTGACTGGAAGAATCTGGTGTCGGAGGTCAAGACCCACTTTGGATCAGTGCGTCACCGAAATAAGTAGTAAGTACAAACGAAAAAAACGAAAACAAAATAATGATAATAATAACGCACACACTTATAGCCCCGCACTAGGGAAACTCTGTATCGCGGGTGCCATTGACACACACATAGGAACCACAAATTGCACCCAAACACACAAGAGAAATAAATGTAGGCCATACAAATATTTCTCTCAGTCCCGGAATCGAACCCGGGACCTCTGTGTAGCAGTCTAGCATGGTAACCGTTCGACCACAGAGGCAGATATTCATTGTTAATTGTGTTTGATTTAGCGGCTCAAGGGTTTATTTTTGGAGTCACAGAAAGAAGGAAGCGTATTTCAAGTGTAAAATAGTTTATTATTAATACCGTGTAGTAGTAATCTATGTTAATTATAGTTAACTGCTCTATGTGTGAAATACTATGTATATTAACTTGTGTGTTATCAGTTTCAATTTTGGTTTATGTTTTCGTACGCGTGTTTTATACGTAGGTATATCGGCTAATCCACAAAAGCTGAATACCAGTTATGTGTATGCGCATGCGCTCTACACAGTGTGCTTTAACTTACTCCCCTGCCACACAATAATTGTAAATTTTTATATCGTTGAATAAGTTACGTTTAGTCACGGTATGCTGAAGGCGTCACCGCCGGTTCGAATCCACCCGGATTGAAAGAATTTTTCTTAGTGTTCGATCTTTGTGTAAAGAATTATAACAAACTAATGGAGTAATTTCACAAAAAAATATTTAATACCATGGTAGTAAAACATCGTGGGGGATATAAAATCCGCTCGTGGAAAGAATGGGAGAGGATCGAGATGCCAAAAAAGCGTATTTGGGGCAATCTATGGGTCATCGTCCAGTGGGTCTTCCAAGATATCGCTGGAAGGATGAAGTCACCAAAGACCTAAAGGAACTGAATGTGACTGAATGGTCGGAATTGGCACAAGACCGACAGAAATGGCATAGGTACTTAGGTGTCGGAGGCCAAGATCCACTTCGGGTCGCTGAGTCAGCGAAGTAAGCAAAACATCGTGGTGATATTTAACAGCTTAATATTACAAACATCGTAATATTCAATAAACTCAATATTATAAGTTACGTTTAATTACTGTTGGGTAATTTTCCAAAAACTTTCAAAGCGGAAATTTTTCCGGAAAAAATCCCGGAAAATTTGAAAAATATGACTTGAAATTTTTTTTTAATGGAAATTTTCCATGACCCAACACTACATCTTTTTTTGTGGAGTAAATAAATGGTATAGACAATTTCGACTAACGCGATTCGACATTAAATACTACTCATATATTCCACACAGTAAGTTACTTACCGACAGTAAAGGTGTCGAATACTGTATTGGTATTAGGTCCAGAATATACGTAAAACACAAGTGGATATTTAGTATTGGTGTCGCTGAAGTCTAGTCCAGGGGGGAGGTGAAGACGTACAGGGGCAGGAAATCCGTTCTGAAGGGGCACTGTGAAGATCATGCTACCGGGTCTTGTCTTTCCCACCAGGCGTTCACGAACTATGGCGTTGTCTTCCCATAGGCGGATTGATTCGCGAGTCTATAGAGAAAAAAAACGTAAAAGTAAGCTTACTTTAGCCTATTTAAGTTGAAAAATCTCGTTTCAGTTATTTTTTTTACTTTTCTATTATTTATATAATAACCAAGTTACTTTGATTGTGAATCTTTTTAAAATATCAGATAATAAATAAAATATCAGTAGGTGGCATTATCTATAAATTCTTTACTACACGAAAGAAATACTAATTATACAAACGGTGAGCAAAGGTGGACTTATCTCTAAAAAATATCTCTTCCAGCCAATAGAGAAAGTGAGAGAAATATTATAAACTAACAGGTAATAACAGGTAAATAAATAACCTGAATACACACACACACACACACACACACACACACACACACACACACACACACACACACACACACACACACACACACACACACACACACACACACACACACACGCACGCACGCACGCACGCACACATGTGGATATATATTTATATACAACAAAATAGTAAAAACAATGACATGAGACTTCACCAAGAAAGTGCGCTACCAGCCGTTTCTTGAAGGAAACAATTGACGATTATTACGTAAAAAGACACGTATGCTAACTCTATTACAAACGTAGCAGCGCGGCTTGTATTTGTGCACGTCTACCGCGCCGTATACGGACGCATTCGCATAATAATGAAAGGCGCGTGGTACTAACCCGAGTATCAATAATAAACGTAGCAGAAATTTCATTAGACGAGGAACAAGTAATGGTCAGGTAGGAGCCGCCGTGACTGGCCGTGGCGGTGGCCCACGTGCAAGGACCCCCGTCCGGCAATACCAGGTTGCAGCTGAGGCAACCGTCATTTGCGCCAACCACGCGCACTTGCGACTGCCACGGGGTATCGGGTACAGTGGTCGTGTAGTAGCTGAAAACAGTAATCAGTATCGGTGCTCATACGAGCAAATACTCGTACTACATAGTTTACCGACTCCGTGTGAAGCACCAGTGGTGCTTTGCGGGCGTAAGAGGCTAGCCTTCAAATAAAAGCTAATATAGTTTTTTATTTGTTTCTTCGGATTTGTTGTTAAAATCTCATAAACTACAATACAACACCACATAAATATAGGCATGTATTAAAATGATAATTTTAAATTTGCAAAAGCAGCAGGCAAAAAAATCTAAACGGTCATCTTTTATAATGATTGATCCTCTTTCTCTGATACATAAAATAAATTAAATCAGCGGATATTTTAATCTGTTCAGAGCTAAGCAAAAAATGTTTCGTATGTATAAATTAGCATTGATAGTTTTAAGTTGGACCTCAACACTAAGACAAATGAGCATTAAAAATAAAATTTAGATACTTATTTTTAAAACTAAGTAAATAATAATAATAAAAACGCACACACTCAACATAGCCCCGCACTAGGGAAACCCTGTGTCGCGGGTGCCATGGACACACACATAGACAACCACAAATTATGGGTGTAACTTGTGGTTGTGTGTGTGTGTGTGTGTGTGTGTGTGTGTAATGGGTTTCAATATATAATTATATATTTAGGACATTTGAACACGCTGATTTTCAAGTAAGAAGGCTGGTCTAAGAGCTCGGGGAAACTATTTCCTTTCGAGTTATTGCTATAATTGTTTAGAAAATTATTGATAGAATAATAATAATAAGTGCCAGAAGTATTATGAGTACCAGAGCAACGAAACCAATAAAACGAACACCCAGGCAAGAGCCAATTTAGAAAAGTTTTTTCCTAAATTGATCCTACCGGGAATCGGACCCGGAACCTCATCATCCAATATCTACAGAATAAAACGTTGTGTCACCGAGTTCATCATTGATTATTATTATCACTATTACTATACAATCACATATACATACAATTTCATAACATAGATATGTATAGATATACGTACTATTCAAGAAACTCCTCATTCATTCCAACAAAATTATTAACAGTGGCATGTTGAGGTGTAATGGAACTGGATACAATGTCATCATCAATACGCATGCTGAGGAAGAGATGTTGCCATATATTGCCATCAGTCTGCTCCAGCGACCATCGAAGGGACAAGAAGTAACTGCCGTCACTGCTGAAGCGTGGCAGGCCTATAGGCACCCAACCGTTTGGCTGAGTTCTGTACTCGTCCTATGCACAAACATACACATAGAATAAAATAACAATAAATCAAAATCGGCCCACGTCCACGACAACAATCTACGACTGTGTGGTATGTCATAGTTTTCGCTGATATAATCAGAGTATGATAAGACAAACAGCATACTCCATACTACTGTTGAGGATATTTTTCCGGAAAATATCAAACCGTGAACAAAATTCTGATAAGTTGGAAAAATTGGAAGGCTCATATTATGTTCTACGTTTAAATATGTTTTAAAGTTTTATTTAGAATGAATTATAAAATAAAATTGTATAGCTAAAAGCAAGTTAGAGTAAATTGAGATTTAAAATAATTGGACAACAACTGGAAAACAGGATCACAGTAGGTAGGTAAAAAACAAATTATAATAATTCCATCGTTTTCGTTCAACTTTTAACAGCTGTAAACTGTCAAATGTGGAAAAATATAGGAAAATTATTCAGAAAAATATTTATTTTTCTAAGTAATAAATATGATTGTTCAAAATGGAAATTATTACATGACAGCGCGGCTTGTACGTGTGCACGCCCGCCGCGCCATGTACGGATGTACACATTCACATAATCTCGCGGTGCACTCGCGTTGTACAGTGCACCGCACATACCATTCATTATAGAATTTAAATATTCGCTAAAAAAATTATCAAATAGTAAAGGTGTTTAAGGTTGTACCAATAAGAATGCGTCAAATTTTGAATTGTTCAGCATATCATTTCTATTTCATACTCCCATAACCGAGATACAAATCCGCGACACTAATATAAAAATGTCAATATATAAGTACTGCATTTGACAAAAGTTTAGTAAACATGAGCATACTGTATTTATTATTTTTATGACATTTTTTTTTTCAAAATATGTTTGCGACCTGTTAGTGTAAGGACCAACTACAATAATAATGTGACAACTCTACGCTCCAAGCGACGACGCGTAGGTATTGACACGCCGCACAGGAAGAACTTTGAACTACTTGTTTTAATAAGTATACTATGGAGTACGTGTGTTGGAGTGAGTGATCTGCCATACATTTCGACAAAAAGGAATCATCAAAATCTGTTCACAAATACCTGAGTTACCGCGTAACATACTACAAAAAAACATACAGTCGAATTGAGAACCTCCTCTTTTTAAAGTCGGTTAATAAAACAATGACGAGTCAACATGCGTAACGCGTATGAATAGGTGGCGATGTTGTATGTTGTTTTTTATATTACTTATATTGTTATATAACGTGTGTCATATAATACTTTTAACAATATTGTTTCGGAGTTATCTTAATATTAACACAGCATCAAAGTGACTACAATATTCGACTTAAAATTAAAAACGTTCGATTTAAGCATTTTTATTCAACGCTACTTTAGTAGTACTTACTTGGCAAGTTATTGGAGTGACGGCAATGTTACAAATCTTCAGTACAGTGGAGTTCTGCCGCCTATTAAGCCAAAGAGCAGCAATCTCGTTGTCAGTGGTCCATTGTACACCACCAAGGATGTGGTCATCGGTAACCGTCTCCACGGGAGCAGGTAGATCTATGTAACTGATGTTGTTCGCCGTTATACCCACAAGATTAACAACACGCAGGCGCACTGTCGGGTTACGGTGATTAACCTATAGACAAGGAATAAAAAAGAATAAAGTAACGAGATATTTTGTTGCCACATTGACGGAACGGCAACAAAGGCTGTCATTAAGCCGTTCGATAGACGACTTGATTTTTAAATAGTTCGAATTTCCTTATAATGAACGCACCTTACTATGTGGTGGTTTATCTTCATATAAAAGGGATAAAGAGACGAGTTTCGTTAAAAAAAACTTTTTATTAGATTTCCAATAAGGTGCCAATAAGTATAATGAGATTTCATAACAGATTATTAAAAGGTAAAAGAAAAGTCCTATTTTTCTTTATTTTAAGTAACAATCACCATGATAAATCTATGGCAAGATGTTTTATTATAAAATTTCGATGACATACAAGAAACATTTGAGCAGTAGCCGTGCACACGACTTGTTCGCCCGGTCACTTTTTATCATAAAAAAAGACTGCTGCGTTCGGTATGGAACGAAATTTCCGTAGGTAAATAGCTGAGTATTATTCTGCCATTATTGCCATAACTAACGCATTTACATTTCGGTAATTTCCGAAATATTGGCACCTAAGGTTTTAGTCTCACCAAAAAGAATCAGAATTAAGCTGATTACGCTTAACAATACAACTGAAACTAAATAAGATACTAAAAAACCGATTAGATGTTGTTGTAGATCTGGTTTCGCTGATCTCAGACATGTTAATAACTAAATTTCGCTAGAAATTACGATTATATTAGGTAAGGAGAGCAGTATTATTTTTCGAATAACCCAAGTAACAGACCTTTAGACCTTATACATACAGACCTTTGGGTACTTCAAATGGACGAGTTCCGGGTACAAATCATCGGGCTCTGTCATATTGACATAGTAGTAATACGAATAGGTTTCAACTTCACGGTCGTCGAAACTGGCAAAAGCAAGATAGGAGCCCTGGGTCGAGAACCATGTTGCTTGCCCGGTGTACATAACGTCCTCTGTAATATAAAGGATACCACTAAGCTTAGTCTAAACAATGTTAAGTTACCCTGTATCATTATTTATTTTCGTTGAATATTATGTTTTTACTACCATGATATTCATGTTTTTGTGAAAATACTCCACTAATTTGTTATAATTATTGATACATGAATCGAATATACACAAGGAAAAGTTCCTTTTATCCGGGCCTCGGCACCAGTATCTGTTGCCTCGCCGTTGCTACCACACTAACCAACTAAACTACAGCTCGTGGCAGGAGGTTTACTCCGGTTCTCCATCTCATAGATATGAGTTTCTCTATGTGCTTCTACATATTTTTGTATTAGGTTTATACAGCATTTTCGCCCAAAATCTGTTTTAATATGAAACATAAAAAATAGTTCAGAAGTGGTGTATTCGATTTCAACCTTAGGTCAAGGACGCACTGTAATGTGCGAAATAATCTGACTTCCATATTTTAAAAGTGAACTATTTTTTCGGATCTTAATCGCATATTTCAACTAACCATCCTTTTAGGCTCTTCATGAGAGGGTCGCTCTAGAAATAGGAACGCCTGGGTAATTCCCATGACATTGTGATTGTTACGCTCTGTTTCAATCTGTTTTGCATCTTATGTTATTATTATCATACTATTAAAGCCATTTATATAGCCAGGGTGATTTCCTACTACTGCATTCTTAACGTGAATAATCTATACCACAGATTACTTAATAGTTACTACTCTCATACAAAATCGAAAATACCTACGCTATAATAGCCTACTAAATCTGACTAATGACACCAGGTGCTCACTACAAGGAAAAAGCACTTAAGCACGCGCACATAGAGGTGAAAATAACGTTATCGCATAACCTTGAGCAAGTGTCGGAGCCCTGTCTATAGTGACTAGTTATCACGAGTTGTTTACAGTGGTCAGGCGGCACTACCAACCGCAGAGTTCAACAAATAGCCACTTACCCTCATACACCCAATCCGTGTGTCCATTGAAAACATCGCCCGGATTGCCGTCGAAGGTTAGAGGGATAGCTTCGGTCACGTCACTGGGCAAGTAATACACGTTGTTGTTCAACACGTACGCTAGCGCGTGATTCGCGCCGAAGATGCAAAGTTGGAGTGGCTCATGATCTGCTATAAGGGTCGTGTGTCTGAAATATTGTATAAACACTTACTATCTTTCAATTACATAAACGAATCTCTTCGAATAAGACCGTCTAACTTTGACGAATCTTACATACAAAATTACAGAAACAACACTGGGCGGAACTGGTTTCTGGGCTAACTCGGCTGCGGCGGAAATGGTACATATAACAGCGTTGCCCAATGCAAGACCAAGACGAGACTAACGCCACACTTGGTCTTGATCTCGCGTCAATACACCTGGTCTTGGTCTCAATATTGCACACTCAGGGTCGTATTCCAGAACTCTACTCAATGCTCAAGACAGGATTTGAGCAGACTTCAGTATGATTTCAAGCACTGGAAATACGACCGTAATGGCAGGGACTTGAGTATGATTTCTAGTGCTTTGAATCATACTCAAGTCAGGATTGCAATTGAAACACAAGCACTGGAAATACGACCCTAATGGCAGGGACTTGAGTATGATTTCGAGTGCTTTAAACCATACTCAAATCCTGACTTGAGCATTGATTAGAGTTCTAGAATACGACCCTATGTCTTGGTCTCGGTTTTGTTGCAAGAGTCTCGCAAGTCTTACTATAGCTACTGTTACTTATCAAACTACAATTCTATTATTTAGGGTTGGTTCATAGTTTGGAACAACGCAACAGAGTAAGCACATTTTCAGCAAGTGGACGACCGGTTACCGTGCTGGTCTGCCACGCAGAAGTCCCGGGTTCGATTCCCGGGCCGGGAGAAATATTTGTATGGCTTACATTTATTTCTCTCGTGAGTTGGGTGTAATTTGTGGTTGCCTGTATGTGTTTCCATGGCACCCCCGACACCCTAGGACGGGACCATGAGTGTGTGCGTTTTTTATTATTATTATTATTTATTTAATTTATAATATTGTGATGACCATATATATTGGTTAGTCATAATTTTTCGCATATATTAATAAGATTTATAAATAATACTATATATTTAGAGTATGACAAGGGTACAAGGTGTGACCAGCTCGCGGATCGTCGCGCCGTGTTTCGCCCGCGCCCCGGTTCGCTACTTTTTTCTTTCATTTTCGGTTTATGTTGTTTATTATGTTAATTCATTAACTTCAATAGTGCTTTTTGTTTTTTGATACACTTTTATCACAAGAGCACATTATTTTAAGTAAGAAAACTACTTACTTCAAAATATAATCATGGACACAATAGTTAGTAGTATAATATAACAAACAACCAACTTTGTTGTTAGAAGAAACGGTTGTTTTGACACCGATACTAGGGAACGTCAATCAATATCGACACTTATTTGAATCCAAATGCATCAATATTTAATGCCTATATCTGAATCTCGCAATCTCGCCTTGTCCTTGCTTAAATCTTGCAGGGCTGGATTGGTCTTGTTACAATTAAGTGGTATTGGTGTTGCATTTTTGCATTTTTTTAACGATTTTAGAAAACACTTTAGAAGGGTTTTTCACGGTATTGTTCTTCTCCCATTAAGCAATTGTAAGGTAATTAACAATTGAAGCTTGTGTCCCAATACCTTTTCCTCATGCAAGATATATGCCAGAACGTATAAGTGTTGGTACAGTTACGATTAGTAAATGTTAAAACCTACTGAGTTTCTATCTCGTAAAGAGCAAATCGAGCTGTTGTAGAGTATCGGTAGACCTGTGAACAAAATGATTTTAATAACCTTTAGTTAGATAAAAATATAACCAAAACTTTGGGCTATGGAAGAAAGTACATTACCCTAGACGATTTTAGACAGAAATATATCTTTTTAGGTTAAAATAAATTTAGATAAAACACAACCATATGGTTGATAGAACCAGAAATTATATAGGGAATGTCGACTTTAGTTTCCGAATAACTAAATATGTTATATCTTACTAAAGTCTTTCAGTATCACCGACACTATCATGACCCAGAGTATTGTTGCCCCCTTTTGATACCAACCTGTATTACACTATTTTGAAATCTACATTCGATATTTACTACATAATATATTTTAATCTTCATACTAGTCACTATCATAAGTTGATAATATTGATATGATAAGTGAATACACAATATATTACTAAGCCTTCAATTCTGAATTATTACTACTATTTTACTATTGAGGCGAATTAAATTATTATTATTATTAACTAAATGGAAAATGTAATGGTACCCGTTGAACATCACTAGGTGCTAATATATACTGCCGATCCCGTGAGAGTATTGGATTCTCAGTGCCCAGGGCTTCCTGTCGACAAAAATTAAGTGTTACTTATATAGTATTTTAATGTAATGAACTAATGAATTATCTCACTGTTCAATAAAGTCAAGTCACATACAGTCTATATACTTAGCAACAAGTCAAAAGTTAGAGTCATCCGGTCAAAATATTTCATCTAATATTATCTATACGTTAAATTCAGAGTTCTCTGTATAATTGACAAAAACCAATTTTCCAAACCAATTCTCTGTATAATTGAAAAAAAATTCATCATCAAATGAACAGACAGCTCAGTAAATTTATTGCAATACAAGGCGAACTCACATATTCTAGAGTGATAAGTTAGCACTCCGAAATTAATAAATTTATTTAATTTTGAAAATTTATCTACGACAATATACGTATACATAGATATTTCTATACGAATCGATAAATTATCGAATACTAATAATACAGTGAGCTGTAAGACAGGTTTAGTTGCCTACTACGTTCTCCAGACTTTCACAAGGGATTATATTTTGCATTGATTTCTTACCAGAACTGACGCATTGACGAAGAACTCTCTGATGCTGTCATCAGAAGCATCGTACACGAAAATGCCCGGTTCTTCGGGCTTTGTGAAGGTGAATTCGGTATCTGAAATATGACTTTCACTTGTAATTACGTTACTTGGTCCATACTTTTATTTATAGCAGAAAATTGTTCAGCAACTTTTACAGGTTTCGAGAATATTGCTATTAATAGCATTAGTCATAAAACTTCGCTAATTAGCTATGTAATTGAAAAAAAAACTAAATTTAGTTATGTAATTGAAAAGCTCTAATTTATTTTTATTGTGACATATCGACTGTAAACTGGCAACTGGTACTATCTCAATTTTCTAAAGGTGTCACTTTTTAAAACACATTTTATACTATTTCATACTTCGCAGCGTTGCAAGAAATTACATCTCAGATACATTCAATTTTGGCGCCAGAATCGACTTCATTCAACTTGTACTAACATCTAACCAGATGCTATATAAATGACGCAAACAATTCTTTTCTTCAGAATATATAGTCGATATGTTCAGAAAGTTTTGGTATGTGTAAGTGATTGTACTATAATAAACATGGTTTATTGAGGTTTAATTCTTAACAGATAAGGTTTATTCTTTATATTAACAAGCAATTTAATGCGATAGCAGACATACTCGAAAACAGCAGGTTAACTCAATTCATAAGTTGGCAATATAAGGTGAAAAATAATTTGATGTAATAAAAAAACGCATTGTTTTTTTCTTAATATTTAACGAATAAATAAGTTACGACATCTCATAGTTTTCCCAAAGGTACCGCTTTAGTTAACACGAACACCTCTATGCGGACACCGCGCCATAGCAGCGGACACACACAGTCGTGGTATGAGAATAACTCGACGGTGTACCTTAAGTTATCTATGTATTCGAATAATTAGAATAATTTTAGTAACACAAATGTACTAACCCTTTTTTTACGGATGTATTCCGAGATTATGTTTCATAGGAAAAAATAGAGATTTTTTGTCGCCCCATAGATATTTAATTTATAGTAATCGTTACACGATTTACATATTATGTTATTTTTAATTTTAAACCCCATAAAAGAAAATAATAAAAGATGCAGGCTGCATACCAGAAATCCAAGTGCCATTGAATCCTCTCTGCGCAAACCGCCCTGAGACAAAGTCGTCGATTGTGAAAGGGTTGTCTGCCGTCACCGACATCACTACCACCGCCAGTACGTACCACCACCGCGCCTTACGAAATCATAAAGGAGTTTACCACTCAATATTAGCTAGGTACATAATAATAATTATAACTTTTTTATAATAACAAAACCGACTTCAAAAGTTTGTGGAATTACATCTATTTGGCAGGTTTTATTGAAATCCATTAACAAAAATTGGGTGAAATGCAATAAACCCGATTCATCCCCTAATGTGCCACTCTTAGGGTTGTATTCTAGAATTCTACTCAATGCTCAAGTCAGGATTTGAGTATGGTTTAAAGCACTCGAAATCATACTCAAGTCCCTGCCATTAGGGTCGTATTTCCAGTGCTTGTGTTTCCAGTGCAATCCTGACTTGACCATTGAGTAGAGTTCTAGAACACGACCCTTAGAGCTGGAATATTTTCTTCAAATTTGTCGGGACTACTATGGAGGCACATACACACAAAAAATACAGTCGAATTGAACTTCCTCCTTTTTTTGAAAACAGTTAAATGTGTATCTGTATTGAAAAGTGAATAGTCTTACAGCTGGGCACGGGTCTCATATAAGGCGATGTTTTAGACCCTAGTCCGCTGCACTAGCGTACTAAAGGTCGCAATTAGAATCACAATGTTTTCCTTCATCGCTAATGTAAGTGACCAATTTATAAATTAATAAACATAAAATGTAGTTCTTTAATTTAGAGTAAGTAATGAACTACTTGCACGCACAGTCTGAAAAAATTTAAAACCAACCACATCGATGCATTTCCTTATATTATATTGTAACAAAGTTTGAATTATTTGATAGAATAGAGAAAAAAATATTTACCATTTTTACAAAATATTTCAATTATCACTGTTACATAGGCGCGCTTGCCCCCAATCGTCTCGGATCGATCGGACGACTGTCTTACATTTGCTTATCTCTGAATTACTTTTTTATCCTCTGATAAACAAATATCTACAGATATACTTATAAGCCCTTTGATGTATATTTTAAGTATATAACCAGTTGTAAAATTTAAACATCATCGGTAATGCCACTTCTTATACTGAATTGCTTTTGTAACTACACTCCCAGGCACATAATTCGAGCCACTCTGCATTTTCAGTGTTAAATTTCCTAAGCATAAAAAATATTGAACAAAAATTATAATGTAGTAGATTGAAGTCTTTGATTATGCAATTTTGAATTCATAATTGGTATACTAAATGTCTTTTCTAAAAGTCGCTGAAAATTTTAATTTATAAAACCGGGGAAAATTCTTTCTTCGATAAATAAGATAAGAATTTGTATTCTAACCGTTCGAAAAAAAAAATGCAAGAAGAAGTATGTGTCTAGTAGGGAATTTTTAGACACAGTACACAACTTGCCGTCACAATGAGTAGCATGATGAAGGCACGTATTGTTTTTGTACCGACTGATACTATAGTCAAGCGCTCATTGTATACCAATTTTTATATCAATAATAATAATCACTTCACACCGGGACAATTGTATCAAGCACAAGTCCCGTCGTGTATGGAGTACTGTTGCCACCTTTGGGATGGCTCTGCTACATATCAACTGGCCACCTTGGATTCAATTGACAAGCATACCAAGAGCCTTGTAGGTGACTCGGAATTAGTAGAGCCGAAACTGCAGAGCCTTGAACCGCCGTAAAGTTGCCTGCTTATCGGTATTTTATAGGACATATCACGGAGAGTGTGCGATGGAATTACACGATTTAATTCCGCCTTCCCCTTTCCATCATCGGGGGACTAGGCGTAGGCTTGGCTTCCGCCCCTATGTTGTGGATATTCTAAAGATTAGCACGAAGCGTTACGCTTCCACATTTATATGGCGAACGGCTATGGAGTGGAATTCCCTGCCTGCAGACTTGTTCCCTGAACGTTATAACTTGGACCTTTTCAAGGCGAGAGTGAATAGGCATTATCTAGGTGTGCAAGCTCCATCGTCGACCTCATCGTCACTTTCCATCAGGTGAGATGGAGGTCAAATGCACACCTACATTAGAATAAATAAAAAAAATAATAATAATGCACACACTCAACATAGCCCCGCACAATGGACACCCTGTGTCGCGGGTGCCATGGACACACACATAGACAACCAGAAATTACACCCAAGCTCACGAGAGAAATAAATGTAGGCCATACAAATATTTCTCCCGGCCCGGGAATCGAGTCTGGGACCTCTGCGTGGAAGTCCGGTGGAAGATGATAACCGTTCGGCCACGAAGGTAGTTAATTAATGCACTATGTTAGGTAGGCTTGCCATCGTCATGGACCCCCGGCCTTCATTACACGAAACGTTTAGGGATTCGTGGATCTTAGGTTAAGAATTTCAAAAGAATATCGACAATAGATTAAATTCCCTCCCCCATATACCGGAGGTTCCAAATATTTTACATAGCACGATATTTAATTGCATTAAAAATGAATTTGATAAGGTGTTTACATCGAAATCACTAACTTTCCACAGGGAGACTAAATGTAATGACTGGGCAACTGGGTTTGTATGAGCTATATGCTATGAAAACTTATAATACTAATTCCAGTTTTATAGAATATGTTAAAATTTATTCAAAAATATTTAAAAAAGTATGTGTAGCTGCTACGGTAAGTTTCACAGCGATAAAATTATACAATCGAAAAATAAATCTAAAACTACTTGGAGTATAATAAATAAAGAGTCATGCACGGTTAAACAACATGATAGAGATATAGTTCTAGAATTAGACGGCAAACTTATTAAATCAAAAGATGAGGTAGCCCAAGCTTTTCAATCATTCTTTCCGGAAATCGCCGTAAACATTATATCATCATCGTTCAGCCATACGACGCCCACTGCTACGGGCATAGGCCTCCCCCAACGATCTCCACGACGCGTCGTGGACGATCGGCCCTGCGCTGCCCGCATACCCATTGAGCGATCGTCCGATACGCGGTCGCCATTAAAGAACCTTTCCGCCCCAATGGCCGTCGGTTCTCCTAGCTATGTGCCCCGTCCACTACCACTTCAGCTGAGCAATTCTTCGAGCTATGTCGGTTACCTTAGTTCTCCTACGGATTTCCTCATTTCTGATTCTATCACGTAGGGAAATAACAAGCATCGCTCTCTCCATTGCCCCCTGAGTGACCTTGAGCCTTCTTATGAGGCCCATCGTCTTATTAAGAAGCTGCAATTTTACGGAGTAAGTGACAAAGCGTTAGAACTTGTCTCGTCATATCTTAACGGTAGAATTTAGAAAGTAGATATAAATGGAGTGACTTCTTTTGGTTCTCCGGTAAAAATGGGTATTCCGCAGGGCTTAATAATTCGACATTTCTTATTTCTCATTTATATTAATAATATCTCACTCTTTGTTAAGGACTTTTGCGAAATAATATTGTTTGCTGACACATCCTTGATTTTGAAAACAAACAGACATGACGTTAACTAAGACAATATTAATAATGACACCCTTTCAAAGGTAGTTTATTGTTTTAATATTAACAATTTATTGCTCAATGCCAAGAAGTAAAGTGTCTTAAATTTGAATTACCTAATGTACAATTGACTGGCCCAATTATAGAAATAAATGGAAAAAAGTTAGACCTTGTTAATAAAGCTGTCTTTTTGGGAGTTACCTTAGACAGTAAACTCCAATAGTTTCCATATATATCTTCCCTGGCCAGCAAATTAAGCTCTGCTGCATACGCAGTCCGTAGAATACGTGAAAATACCGATGTTGCTACTGCTAGACTAGGGTTGAATCAAATCAAAATCATCTCCATGGTCACGGGTTGAGTCAACCCGTGACCATGGAGCGTGCAACCGTTCCGAAATATCGGGAAAATAAAAAGAAGTTATACCGTGGTAAGAAACCTGTTACTAGTGATAATCATTTAGATTACTTTAGTTACTTCCATAGTATAAATATATTCCATAGTAAAGCGGCAGATATACAAACCATATTTCTGTTGCAAAATCGTGCGATTCGTTCTGTGTATCGTTTAGGTTCTCGGATTTCTCTCAGAGAAAAGTTTAGAGAGACTGGTATCATGACTGTGGCATCACAGTATCTACATTAATTTACTCAAATATTTTATATGCCCATAAAATTATACATAACTTCGTTAAGGAAGGACATATCCATTTCTAGTCCAAACTCATGGTAACACATTTTAGTTTAACTAAGGTAAACTATTCTTTTATGGGGAACTGTGTATGTTTTTACAATAAGATTCCGCAGCATATAATTAAGTTTACCATTTCCTAAGTTTAAAACTTACATTGAAAGTATTTTAATTGAAAAGTCATATTATACAAAATTGTAGACTACGTGTTAGGTAAAGATGTATGGAAAGACAACGTGAGTCTAGGTTCCACACAAATATGATTCAAAATGCATTTATATAGCATAGCTCTTTTCAAATAAAATAGCATTTAAGTTTATTTGAAAAGAGCTATCCCAAGAGTTTCTTGCTTGTTCTGCTCAGGGAGGTCAGCGTTGTGAACGATCAGTAGCTTAAAAAAATGAAGGTTTCAAGTGTAAAAATTATACGTATGGAATAAATGATTATTTGACTTTGACTTTGAGAAACCCTTCTCTAGAGTTATTCTTTTCTGTGGAATCTGCCTTAAGAATGCGTAGTAGATATGTCGATCGTGTTCAATCGAATCAAAAGCACCTGAAACCCTATAACCCGGTTACTAGCTTCTAAATAACCCGATCATTTTAGAGGTTCATGGGTCATGCGCGCAATATTCGACTTTATCGATATAATTTTAGAGATTATTCAGTAATTCAAAATATTCTTGTAGCCTCGTTCACTCTCACGTGAAGGCCCCACTCAAGACACGGTTTGTCTTCTCACTCTTCGTTTGGGTCGTCCGAACCTACGTTCGATCGAACCAAAAAGTCATTACAACTTTTTCCAGTCTCATCAATCCGTTAGTAATAGTGTTCCTTGTGGAAGTGTTCGTCCAGGGAAGTACCATCACCTTACCTATTTCTGCACATTACTGCATTTGGGTATTCAAGGGTAACCCATAGGGTTGCTGGTGAAATTACAGGCACATGGAATTTTACAACTTAAGTCTCAGGCTGACGGGCGCAGTGGCAGTGCCCCCCAGATTTTTGCGATTTAAAGCTCTCGGCAGCGCTGCAACTTTTATGGGCAGGCATGTCAATTACCACCAGGTGCACGAGTCGTTTGTCCCGTCACTTAGTATCATAAAAAAAAGCATCAAGCTTGACACTGGACTTTGACCGTTCATATGGCAAACGTAGAGTTGAATTGTCAGTTCACGTACTCTTGACCCTGCACTATTTTTTTTGTCTTATTTTTAAATTTGGTCTTCTAGGATTCGAATGAGAAAAAATACTTTTGTATAGTCAATACTGCCTACAACTGCCTCCGTGGCCGAACGGTTACCATACTGGACTTCCACGCAGTGATGCCGGGTTGGGTTCCCGGGCCGGGAGAAAAATTTTTATGGCCTATATTTATTTCTCTCGTGAGTGTGGATGTAATTTGTGCTTGTCTATGTATGTCCATGGCACCCGCAATACAGGGTATCCTTAGTGCGGGGCTATGAGTGTTGAGTTATTATTAATAGCATATCAGCTATACACTTTTGTTCGAGTGTCGCCTCCAAAGCAACGGACAAAATTCATCAAAGTAGCTTTGATATCAATTCATTTGATAATTATGACAACAATCTATATTTTCCAATTGTCAGTACACTTGTATGGCCAGCATCTATACAACAGGAGTGGAGACAAAAGGATTCACAAATCCTAATAGTCCCACCCATGTTATTTAATAGGCACATGACGGGCGTGTCACACACCTCTCTATCTTAAGATAGGTGAGTTACGCGTAACAAGGCTACTTCATAAGAGCACAAAATATTATTTTTTTGTAAAATGTATTTACGAAGATATAGTATACGCCAAATGCTTGCGTCTCATTAATTTAATAATATTATTACGCGATTTTCATTTATCTAAACATAATTGAAATAGGCAATACAATAACAAAGCGTTTGCGAAAATACGCATACCTCTCGCAATTCGAGTTATGTGATATAATTCTTTTATTTTAACTTTAATTATATAAAATAAATAAGTATGTATATAAAATAATAAATATAATTATTATCCTAAGTGGATTTGACAACATCAGAATTGTTATAATTACATTTGTAATGATAATAAAAGACAAAATTTTGTTTGCATTTTTATGATTAGGCCCAAATTAATTTGATCCATATTTACTGCTTTCCACTTTTAAGAATATTACAATTAAATAATGTTTCATTTAAAACAAACAGCTTATTAATTAGCTGGATTGGGCAAATCAAATCGGTTCTTTTGTATATAAAATAAGGTTAGGTTAATTTGTGCTGTATGTACTAACAATAGTCTAAGTTTTAATTGTTTACTAACACTTTGTCTATGGGCATTTCATTGCCTGAAATAAAAGATTTCATTCATTCATTCATTAATATACCCAAATATAACTTAACTTTTTACTTTTCTTTGGTACGGGAACTATTATACACTTCTGGACACATCTATTGGCCCACCTTGTATTTTCAGTTTCGTTTGGTCCTAGTTAAAATTTTATATTAGGTCGAGCAAAAAGTTTTTATGCAGTTTTGAACCTGGCACATTCACAATTTCATTCAATAGTCTTTTTTTGAATTTCGAACACAGAATTTAAAGAAACAAAAGACAATTTGGAGCCTGTTTGTTGATATCAAACAATCGAATACTAAGAAAACTTGGTTTTATTGGTTTACTTGGATTTAATTCTTGAAAAAGTGATTGATATCTTTGGTTTTGCAACAAACATTACTTATTCTTAACATTAAGGTGAGGTTCTATCAATAATCTATGGATACTTCACCTGAAGTCGCCGCCCAAGCTGTGGCACTTATTCAGGCCGGACACAGCCAAAGAAACGTGAGTGCTCAACTTAATTTAAGTCGATCTGCGGTCCGAAATATTTATCGGAGGTACCTAGAGACTGGCGGCTTTGTTCGTCGCCAAGGAAGGCCACGATCTCGGGTCACAACTGAAAGGCAGGATCGATTCATCGTGACGACCAGCTTGAGAAATCGTCACCTTACCTCCATTGAGATACAAAACCAACTTCGCGACTTCCACGGAGTATCTGTGAGCGCTCGAACTGTTCGGAGAAGGTTAAAAGAACGCGATATGGTACCACACAAGCCAGCTAATGGGCCCAAACTAACGCGAGCCCACCGAACAGCGCGCCTTCATTTCGCACGCAGTCATTTAAATTGGACACAGCAAGATTGGAGCCGTGTACTCTTTTCTGATGAGTCTAAAATTGTGTTACATGGCAATGATGGAAGGAAGAAGGTCTACCGACGTAAGGGAGAGCGTTTCGCACAATGCTGCTTTGAAGAGAGGGTTGCTTATGGCGGTGGCTCATGGACTGTCTGGGGCGGTATATCCGCGAGCGGCAAAACTCAACTTGAGGTTGTTACAGGACCACGGCTGCCAACATTAAATGCTGAAAGGTACATTCGTGAGTGCTTAGAACCTCACGTGATACCATACGCGGACTATGTGGGCCCAAATTTCCTTTTTATGCATGATAATGCAAGAGCCCATGCGGCCGGCATCGTCAGGGAATATCTTCGGGATGTGAACATCACAGTTATGGACTGGCCAGCCAGAAGCCCAGATATGAACCCCATTGAGCACATGTGGGACGAGCTAAAAAGACGTGTTAGGGCTCGTCAGCCAGTTGCCCAGACGATGCAGGAGTTGAAAACTGCCATAGAAGACATTGACTTACAAAATAGAAGAGGAATGGGAGATGATCCCTCAAAATTTCATAGAACGGTTGATAAACTCTATGCCTAATCGTATGAGAGCTGTGGTAGATGCCCATGGAGGCAACACGCGTTATTAAATTAAACCTTTATTTGATAAAACATGTTTTTTATTCAAAAATCAATTGCCTTTAACAAGGCGCATATCCGATTTGTTAGGCGTAGCTCCATGTCGTATGGTATTCTGAATTCAAATTTAAAACAATACGATCGAAAAAGATGGTAAAATGTATCAGGTTTAAAACTGCATCAACAGTTTTTGTTCAATCTAGCAATCATATTTCGGTAGGGGCCATCGAAACCTAAACTCTAAGGTGGGCCAATAGATGTGTCCAGAAGTGTATTATTACTATTAGCTGTAAATGAATATACATGAGATAGCCTTTGGCCAACATTTTAACGCTAGTAATGGGCAGGGTCACGTAACTCACAAAATAGGTGATACGCTTTACACGATATGTATGACATTAATTAATGCTTAGAAATAAATGAAATCATAAAAAAATAACGATGACACTTACAAAGACATAAAAAAAGCATATTGTAGTAAAGGTTAATTACATCGATTGTACGTTAAGCAATTGTCATTGTGGCAGTTAGTTCACGATTTTGAGATATTGCATAAAATTCATTTCAAATTTAGTTTCCCAAAACTAATGGTTTTAAAAATTAGTGAGATTGGTGTGACACGGCAGATGAGTACTATCAAAATCCTATTGATCCCACTAGCGGTACCAAGAGTGGAACCGCCAATTGACAGAATATTAAGTAAGATCAATGTTCACCAGATATTAGTATACCTTTTCACGTTATGAATCTAACATTATACCTCAATTTTCAATAAAAAAATACCAGTTTTCAGAATAGTCGCATTAGAAAGATTTGTGTTCCAGATACATGTCTTTTTAATTCGGAAGTTTTGAGACTATTAGTATCTGAAGTATACACAAAAAAAAAATCATACAAAAAGTTATTGCACCAAAAGTAAAATTGCTTCAGGAAACCTAATGATTGATATATTATGTGCAATATTATTGTCCATGCATGCTATAAGGTATGTATGTACCGTTTATACTTACTAGTTTCTCGAGTAAATGTTCTTGAAATGTCCCGTTTATGTGTATTTTATAAATAGTTTCAGAATACCTTCATTCGACAGGAGGTAATTCACGAATGTCTTGAATGCTGGGCTGTATTAAAAAGTTTGTACGCTGGACGCGCATAACTACAGTTATGAAATTTAGTAGCAGTAGAGCTCCTTGTGAGAGATCGTCTGAGAAAGTACTGCCACCTTACCTATTTCTGCCGCCAAGTAGTTATGCGAGCATTACTGCGTTCGGATTTTGGTTCTGGTGAAATTACAGGCACATGACTTGTCAACTTGTCTCAGGGTGACGGGCGCAGTTGCTCTGAGCGGCACTGCAACAGGTGCGTCGCTTATCACCAGGCAGAAGGCTTGTCCGTCCACTCACTTGGTATCATAAACAATCCTGGAGTAAAACTAATTTGGAATTTTTCCTTGCCTCTAATATTATGTAGGTATACATTGTAGGTATATCTACATTCCGAATGATAATTAAGATAACTTTGATAAAATATGTATATGTGGTTAAAAATCGATTGTCATCATTCCAACACATTATTACTTTAAAGATTTTTTAGCAAATAAGACGACAGAATAAGATAGGAATACGTTTATTGAACATCAAGTCAATGGAATACTCGAGATTTTAAACAATTTCTATTAAAAAACATTACACCTGACTAAATCCAAAATCCACACTACCTAGTTTCTTTTAGACGCCGATGCTAAATTTGATAAATTTTCAACTAATTCCAGTGTCTCTGGATAGCTGCGCCGACAATAATCCATAATCAGAAAATAAATCATGTCTTCTATCAGCAACACACAGCAACACCCGTTCGTTATGGATTTCTACGTAAAATCTGTCTATTTCATTAATCAATGTATATTTTTTCATTCCATTATTATTATGTTGTTCAATATAATCAAAGCTTCAAGTAAAATGTCAATTCCGGAAATTCGTCATTTTTTAGTTTTGGTATCTGCAACTTCTTGGTAGCCGATGGACAGAAATTTAGAAACAAGTAATGAGCGCACTTGCTTCGTATTAACGCCGCGCATATCTCGACGGCAATGTCGTTTGTAAACTCAGCACCATTCGCAGCACGGCTTTTTCTCGGCGGAGTCCCAATTGTGTGCCCCTCGTTTCGATCAAGCGACCGCGGCACTCCGTCGGTGAATTAAATCATAGGATTTCCTCCAAGCGTGCCTTTCTATAACATTTTTTATAAAATGTAAATTCATATGCTCGCCGTCTCTGCATAATGTTTCCTTATGGCAATCGCTGAGTGTAGAACTCCCTTACTTTAGTTTGTGTGAATAACTATAAAAGTACAACTTAAATAATCCTCTAATAAGTGAAATTATTCAATATGCCAAAAATACCTACAATCAATGAGTACACCTGAAAAAAAAGTCGACAGAGCGACAAAAATAATTAAGATGACAATGAGAATGTGTGTGTAGGATTGTGTCGTTGCATGAATGTGAGTGCAATGTTTGAGTATGTTGTGTAGTGCATGCAGGGAGTGTGTGGAAGTGTAGGGTTGTATGAGTGGAGACGGACCATGCTAATGCCGACGATGCTGCGTGCGCCGCAGTTCCTGCAAGCGCCGCTCATGCTCGGCCATGTGCTGGCGCCGTTGCTCCTCTTTTATCGCAATCTGTAATAAACAAAATAATTTCATCCTTTATTACATATGATATATATTAATGTTATGAAAAAAATAAATTTATTATCAGACGAACACAAAAAATGTACCTTGCGACGAGTACCTACACTGATGTTAGATAAGCAGGATTATATTATACAAAAGGACTATTGCCGCGTGCACAATACTATAGAAATTAGCGATGGGCGAGTCGAGTCATTGAACTCGGTTAACTCGAGTTACTCCTATAATGAGTCAACTCGAGTTACTTTTTCATGAACCGAACCGAATACTTCATTCATACAGCGCGTCAGTGACCTTCAGAGCATGCACGAGTCGCCGATCCTGTCCAACTCCGTGAATCGTTGGTTCGAGTTCTACTCGCGACTCGCGGTTGCTCTGTCAAACACCGAGTCGAGTTGACTTGAGTTGCAACTCAAGTTAGCAGTCAAGTCAACTTGAGTAACTCAAGTTGAAACAAATACAATTCGTCTCATCGCTAATAGAAATATGTGAAGGTAATTACCGTTTCAGCTGACAGAGGCAGCCAGTATATGCATGGAGTGGTTTTAGTTTTTCTAAATAAGTCATCTAAGAGCTTTGCAGGGGCTTCTTCTTCTTTCTTTTTGAATTTCCGCGCTGAAAAATAATAAAAAATATTCTAAAATTGTTTGAACTGCGAAAATATACATAAACTGTTATAATAACACTGTCGCATATCTTAACTGTTAAGTCTTCGTCTAATTAAAATGTTGTTTGTGTCTATGACAATAGTATCACAACAGATTAAGCTCTTAAAACTTGCATACATACAATTATGGACATATGGACATGCTAAAAAATATTCATATGACGCACTGGTCATAAATACAAGAACATTCATTTGAAAAAGAATTATTTTAATTGTGTTTTCATTTTAATTGAGCATTGAGGTGTAGTATGTGGCAAGTGGTTCCATGATTATTGTTACCATAATTCAGCCATTTTTTTAGCATTATATGTCAGCTAATTATACAGCAAATATTGCAAGACGTTTTTTAACTAGTACGCGTCTTACGTAGATCAATTTAAAGGTTCAGACAAGCTTTTATTAGCACAATGTGTGGTCGGTCATAATTTATGGCGATTTTCGTTAGATGGAAATACTTTTTGTTTTCCCATATTTGTAGCTATTATATTCCATGTACAGACCTGGTTCAGGACTCGGTGTGCGATGTCGCCTCTTTTCCGGCAGGCGCTCGTCTCTACGTAATTTGTCCTTTTCCTTCTCTTTTTCATTCTTTCCCATGTCCCACTCTCGCATCGCCGCCTTCCGCTCCCAAGGCTTGTCCTGAGAATACATTAACAATTTAACTGCTGTCTAAACAGTGGTGTAATTTTGAAAAGAAAAACTTGAGTTTTAATCAGTTCCTATTGTAAGAATGTATTTTCATAATATGTATTCTTATGAATACATTATTATTTTGCAAAAGTTCCCCAATTCTACTTAAAATATAGAGATACAATATGATACTAGTGATGATACTCAAGAAAAAACCAAATAACACTCACAATTTCTCCTCGATCTCTCCTCATGTCTTGCTCCCGGAGCCAATCCTCAACAGTCCCAGGAATGGATGATGTTTGAGTACCATCAGTATCTTCATTTTGCATGGCCTTGTCAAATGCTTCTTGGGTAGAAAAATCCACTTGCAAAGTTTTAGGATTTGATACAGGCCAGGTTACACCATGCAATGCATGTCGTGTTTCCACAGCTTGACTGTAAAAGTAGTAAAACACTTCTATGGTAGTAATGTAATGTATAAAAAAATATAAGAAAAGTAAACAAATACTTACTCTTCATTTTCATATTTAACAAAACATTTTGACTTAATTCTGTCTATCCAAAAACCACTGTCCACAATTCTTCCAGTTCTCTGCAGCAAATTTTTCAACTGTGGTAAAGTAAATGGTCTCACCAGGTTCGTTATATACAAGATATTCGATTGCTTATGTTTTGGTGGGCTTGGAGGTCTAGCCATAATACTATCTTCCTCCTTTACAATGGAAATCCTCCTGTTTGCTGACATACGTAATTCTTTAACTTTGTCATGCTCTGCATCTTCTTGTTCTTTTTTATTCTGCTCCACATTATGAGTATTGTCAATAACAATTTTTGGCAATACTGGTCGCTCAAGTTTCTCTACAACCTCAATCCTCCTGTGTTTCTTCTCTTCGATCACTTCATCAAACTCCACAGGCTTCACATCAGGTATTATATCTTTAAGAATATCAGTAGAAATGGTGATAGACTTCTGGGTTGTGACTTTGGGCCTTGAGCCCCATTTGCGTTTCCTGGTAACTACAATAGGAGGGGCCTGCTCAATGTGGACAGTATCTTCCTGTGCTGACTGCACAGAGTCTGATCTATGTATATCTCTGTTTCGGTACCTTTCCTTACTTTCATCTTTGTCCTTGTCTGAATCTGTTGAAACATTTCTTGTCCTTTTATTTTCATCACTGTCAGTCTTTTCAGTGTTTTCTACAACATCAGTTTCATTATTAGTTTTAGCTGTATCGTTTTCACCAGACTCTTCAGTGTTACTCTCATCCTTTTTATCTTCACTAATACTTACCTTCCTCTCACTGGATGCCTCATCCTGCTCTATGGACTTATCACTTTCATCCTTTACGGAGTCCTCCTCTTCCTTATGTTGAGGTTCTGAAGACTCACATTTAGTCTCTTCTGCATGTATTTCCAATACTTCAGATTTCTCAACTGAAACGCTACGTTCTCGTTCACACTCCTGGTTTTCTCTCGCTGTAGTGTTTACATCACCAGTACTTTCCTGATTATCCATCTTTGGTGAGACGACTGTAGTGTCAGCAGCACTGTTATCTTGTGCCTCAGCTTCAGAAGAAGATTCATTCTGTTGTGACTCTTTCTCCTGTGTGTTATTACCATCAACTGGAGTTTCACTTTCAGTAGGTTTAGATTCTTCATTAGTAGTCGACATAGGGGTCTCATCAGAAGTGTGGTGTTGACTATCTGTGCTTTGACTTACCTCACTGTCGGGTTCATCTGACGCGGTATGGATTCCAGGCTCCACCTCTGGTTCTTCCTGACTGTCATTTTTATCTGACTCGTCTTTAGAATCGCGAGATTTCTTAGAGCGGTGGCCACTCTTCCTTTTCTCATCGACACTATCAACACTTGGAGAGTCGCTAGAGCTAGTTGCGCGCGAATGTTTCCTCCTACTCCGAGGAGATTTGTCTACTCTCTCAGGAGTCGAAGGAGGACGAGCCAGACAAATTTTCAGTTTTTGAATCTCTCCCACGTCGCCAGACGCTTCCGTAGCTTTTACATGCCATACCTGCTCCTGGGCGTCCTCTGGACTATCATCTTTCTTGACAGGGGTACTTGGCGGTATTTTGTCCTGCTCCTCGACGACTTCCACTTCCTGCACGGGGCTGCCCTCGTCGCCAGATTCATTTTCTGACGATGAAGATTGTTTACGGCGCCTTCCTCGAGTACGTTTTACTTTTTCAACCTTTTTTTCAGGCGAAGTTTTAGCTTTTTTAGTAGCGGTACGCTCACTTTTACGACGCATTTTTCACCTATAAAAATATTCCAAAAATATTAAAACCAATGTTAGAGAGAAAGTGTATACTAACAACTGCTAATAACAACATTCACCGGCACCTTTAACGTATTTATCTTCTGCTGTGTTTAGCGAAAATAAAAGAAAGCGTGTTCAAAGATTACAGAAGCTCGACGGCCATCTTTTCTTTGAAGTTTCTTGTATTAATGTTACCAGTTATTTCAAAGAACGAATGAAAGCTGAGGTTTTATAGACGAGCAGTTTCATATTTTTTTTATGCTGAAACGCGAGTGTGATATATAACAGGAACGCACCTAATTATTTAAAATGTCAATAGGAACAAATATTGCTAACATTTAACAATAATTCGTCATGAATTTGTCTAGGGATCGTGATAACTGATAATACGTGCATGTCTCTGCCAGAGTTGAGTTACTTATGCTACATGTTCATTAACTAGCATGTTGAACATTTTTTAGGTATAATATCGGTTAGGCATTCATTGCGAACATGTCATCTACCAAGTCAAACCCTATCCGGCTATATGGGATCTGTTAAAGAAATCTTAACTTATGAGAGCGTCGCTGACAAATTTCACTCATTTGGTATTGGGGTTTATTCATTCGTTCTTTCTGTCACAAGTTGTCATCAACTGTCAAAGTAATAGCCGAGAATTCTCTTCGATTTGTTCAATAATTTAATGAAATGTGTATTTTATTATGAAGATCTTACAATGTTAAGGTATGTAACACGTTTCGAATTGCTTCGTGATGGCTAATGAATTCAGTTAATTTCATGTGCTAATGTGATAATAGAATATTCATGGGTTACCTTTTGTTTCAGATAATATGGGCCTTTTGTGTCATTCTTGTGGATCGGCGCACTATTTATGTGTGTCTAGACACGAGAAATTACTTGTAGAATGATAACGAGCTATAATTAAGTGGCCCCATTTTAATTCAGCATGGGTAACCAAAGCAGTTGTTGTTGTTACCGCAGTCCTTCGCCGATCAGAAAGGATATCGTTAAGCTCGAGGACTACCTCCCTGAAGGAGAGGTGAGTTCCAACAACATCCAACATATAAGCGAAAGAGAACCTGACGATGGCGACATTGATCCTTCACAGGATCCTATTGCTGGTACAATATTCATGGAAAGGTCAAAGGCCTCACTCGAAAATGGTATGACCCGAAAGCGAAGTCAACATCAAATCGCCGACAATAAGCTAAAGAAAAGCAGTTCCTGTTCTACTATTTATTTAGACGATAGTACAGTGTCTCAACCCAACTTGAAAAATACAGTAAAATGTGTGGCACTTGCTATTTATTACCACATCAAGAATAGAACATCTGAACGCAGGTTAGACATTTTTGATGAGAAGCTCCACCCACTAAGTAAGGAAGGGCTCAGTGAAGATTATGACAAGTATAACCCTGAGCACAAACAAATATATAAATTTGTGAGAACTTTATTCAATGCTGCCCAACTAACTGCAGAATGCGCTATCATAACTTTGGTGTACTTGGAGCGACTCCTCATTTGTGCTGAACTGGACATAGCCCCTTCAAATTGGAAAAGAATTGTTTTAGGAGCAATTTTATTGGCAAGTAAGGTTTGGGATGACCAAGCTGTCTGGAATGTAGACTACTGCCAAATTTTAAAAGACATCACAGTAGAAGACATGAATGAGTTAGAGAGGCAATTCTTAGAAATGTTACAATTTAACATTAATGTACCATCTAGTGTTTATGCTAAATATTACTTTGATTTGCGCACACTTGCTGAAGCCAATGATCTAGCATTCCCCAGTGAGCCTTTGAGTAAAGAGAGAGCCCAAAAGCTGGAGGCCATGTCTCGGGTAATGGAAGACAAAATAGCTGCTGAAGTTGTTAAGAATGGCATTAAGAAGTGGTCAAGTTTAGACAATGTCAATTCTGGTGCTGGGGTGAGACGTAGTGTGGCCATATTGTCTTAATTTATTAGTCATGAGCCAAAATTTGGATCCAAATTGCAATCACAAATTACTTGATAACATTTGTGTATTTTCTAAGGGTATATTGTATTTAGAATTTTTGCACCAGATTGCTAAACTTATTTTAATAATTGGTTCAGTACTTCAACATCTGCTGAAAAATGAACTGCCAATATTCTCCAAGATCTGTTATGTATCCTGTAGCTGTTATAATACACCATAATTAACTTGAGAATAAGTTTACTATACTTTAACTGGAAGCTTTCAAGGCAAAGACCTTCATGTTATTAATTAAAAGTGCACAAACTTATTTTAGGGCAATGGTTTTATAGTCACTGAAAATGAAATTAAAGACTTGTATGTGGTCCAATATTATTTTAATATTTCTACAATGCTGATTTGCTACTTAATTCTTACAAATATTTTGTTATTATATTTTATTGGCTTCCATACTATGTTAGATTAACTCCTTAGAAGCACTAATATTATAGACTGCTTCCAAAACTAAGCTGCTTAGTATATAATTAGACAACTAGGATGTGCAAATGCATTTTGACTGAAATAAGGATCTTGTGATTGTGGTATAAATGTATTAGTCATCAGTTTTACTTTATAGTTTTATATTCATATGCATTTAGATTTCAGAGCTAGTTTATGAACTTATGCCAAATTGTTATTTTGTATATCAAATTATATTAGTATGAAAATCAATCATTTTCATACTAAAGACCCATTTACACTAATTTATGAATGAATGATAAATTCCTGTAATAATTATATACTACAACTGTATCCTGATTTTAATTTGAACAATTTGAGTTGTTTCATTATTATTTACATCGTGATTGAAATATACAATCCACATTTTATGTATCTTAATGTATTTTAATTAAGCAGAAATAAACATTTTATATGAGACTTTAATTGAATTTTTAATTGGTTAGAACTAGAGATGAAACGGATATCCGGAATCCGGCCTATTTTTACTATCCGGCCGGACTACCTACCGTTTAGTAGAACAATATCCGACCGGATACTGGATGTTTAGGAGTGAGAAAAAATCATAATTACTACGCCAAATAAATTGGCTGAGACTCGTCCAGCTGTGCTGATGCTGTAGTCGAGGTCTTGCGTTTGGGTATGGAGTATCACATACCATACTCTGATGTACCCAATGGACCCCAAGCTCGTCCATGGTTTGACGCTGATTGTAGTTGTGCTGAAGCACATAAACAGTCCGCGTACCTAGCTTGGGCAGATGCTCGACTACACAAAGCTCCGAGTACTCGGAATTTGAAAGCTTTTAATAAGGCCGCCAAGAAGTGCAAAATCGTGTTACGTAGGGTCAAGTTCGACCATGTGCGCCGTATAGGGCGCCAAGCTTGCCTCTTATCCATCAGGCAGCAAATCCTTTTCGGCCCTGGCCAAAGCGGTCGAATCTAACTTTTGTCGCCCATCTTTGCCACCTCTGCTGAGGCCGGATGGCTCGCTGGCTCATACTGCGGAAGAGAAGGCGAATCTTTTTGCCTCACTCTTTGCAGATAGTTCGCGTCTGGATGCCGCAATGAATCTACCACCTACCTTACCGCAGGCTAGCTGCATTATGGCGCCAGTTCGCATACGTCAAAAAGAGGTACTTAGAACTCTGCGGAATCTAGACGTGAATAAAGCTAGCGGGCCAGATGGAATTCTAGGAATAGTCCTGCGTAACTGTGCGCTTGAGTTGTCTCCTGTTCTCACACGCCTGTACCGCCTGTCATTTAAAACTGGTGTAGTTCCCAGGAAGCTTGCAAACGTGCAACCTGTGCCAAAAAAGGGAAGCAGAGCTGACCCTGTCAATTATAGACCAATCTCAGTCCATACTCTGCAAGACTATGGAACGTGTACTCAACAACCATCTCCTGTCATATCTTGAAGACAACGACCTCATCAGTGATCGCTAGTGCGGATTCGACGAGGGCGATGTACTGGGGTTCTTCTTGTGTATGCCTGTCACATATGGAGCGAGGCTATGGAAAAGCAAGGCGAAATACTTGCAGTGTCTTTGGACATTTCTAAAGCTTTTGACGGGGTCTGGCACGCAAGCCTATTAAGTAAGCTTCCCTCTTATGGACTTCCCACTGACCTTTGCAATTGGATCTCGGATTTCTTGAGCGAACGTTCGATTTGAGTGGTCTTAGAAGGTTACTCTTCCGAACATATGGCGATTGATGCCGAGTTCCTCAGGGTTCCGTACTGTCTGCAACTCTCTTTCTGCTGCATATCAATGATATGTTAATTCTTTTTTTTTTTTTTTTTTTAATATATAATAGACACACGCTTGGCCACAATCCAGGTACCTTTGCGTATGCTGATGACAGTACAGTTGTAGATAGGTACTTGATCAATGCGAGGATTAGTAGAGAGGAAATACAGTCTTGTCGAGAGTCCATGGTTAGCCGTTTGGATTTGACGCTCAAGGCAGTCTCCGATTGGGGCGATGCCAATCTGGTCAAATTTAACGCTACCAAAACGCAGGCGTGTCTATGCTCCACAAAACGGAGTCCCTTTGAGCTGACTCCGACTTTTCGTGATATATCCATACCGATGCCCGACTGTCTACTGATTGACGTGACTACTTGGAATGGACCTGTCGTCCAATTTGAACTTCGACAGATACATTGAATCCATGGCCAAAAATGCAGCAAAGAAGCTTGGCATCCTTTCCAGGGTGAGGCGTTACTTTACACCAGGACAGTTGCTTCAGCTGTACCAAACGCAAGTCCAGTCGTGCTTGGAGTGCTGCTGCCACCTTTGGGATGGCCCTGCTACATACCAACTGGCCACTATGGATTCAATTGACAACCGTGTCAAGAGGCTTATAGGTGACTCGGAATTAGTGGAGACTAAGCTGTAGAGCCTTGAACACCGCCTTAAAGTTTCCTGCTTATCGGTATTTTATAGGATATATCACGGAGAGTGTGCGATTGAATTACACGATTTAATTCCATCTTCCCCTTTCCATCACCGGGGGACTAGACGTAGACTTGGGTTCCACCCCTATGTTGTGGATATTCCAAATATTCCACATTTATATGGCAAACGGCCATGGAGTGGAATTCCCTGCCTGCAGACTTGTTCCCTGAACGTTATAACTTAGGCCTTTTGAAGGCGACAGGGAATAGGCATTATTTAGGTGTTTATGCTCCATCGTCACTTTCCATCAGGTGAGGTGAAGGTCAAATGCGCACTTATATTTTATAAAAAAAAGTGGGTCAGATATCCCGCTATCATCTCTAGTTAGCACTCTGGAAATGCTTTAAACAGTCTGTGTAATGTTGAATCATTGGTAGAAGTCAGTTGTAATGGATTAATGGAAAAAAATAGCATAATTATAATTAAACTTTTATTTCTATATTACTTATACTAATAATAACTTCTACATTATGTTAATGGCTTCAAGTCTTTTAAGTAGGTACTGTAGTTTTCAAACATGTCCACAACTTCACTTTTCTTATTAATCTGTTCATCATATTCTGGGCCCACTGCCCACAGAGTCTCTAGGTCATAAATCTCTCTTGCTTTATCTGAGAATATGTGTAGAGCAATATTACCTGGAACAAAATTGTTTATTGGAACATTTGTAGAGTCAATAGCATGTCACGCTTGACACTTTGTATTTTGGACCACTCTTATCGTAAGTGGCATAGAGTTGGATTTAAATCGTAAGTGTCAAGCTTGACATGCTCTTGACCCTGTGCATACAACTAATATTAAAGAGATATTCGGACTAAAGTGGTAACTGTTATTGTTGACTATAAATTCTATATAATAAATAAAATGTTTTAATCAAAATAGTCTTGTAAAAACAATTATTTTATATTCATCATGAATCAATACCAATTGACTAATAAGTATTCTTTGTATAATTAACATTATACAAATACATATTATACATATAACTAGATATTTACAAATTATGTTGGATGGTATTGTGCATTAATTATAAAGCTTAATTAATTGAAAGTAAACAAAAAAAATTATTAGTCTTCATCAACTATAAATTATCTAATTTGGTCATAATTTTGAGTTTGCTCTCCTGGGAGTCATGGAATCCTGCAATAGTTGTTGCCTTCACTGCACAGGCGTGCCAGTAGCGTGGCCTCGATTCGTGCTGCCCAGGGCCTACCTTAAAAATACTGCCCCTCTATTTTCACTATTACAAGAGTAGTTAGTTTGGGCAGGATCAGCTAGATAGTGGTTCTATGTTTGCCTGCAGTCGCCACCTTTGCATTGTTCAGGATATCGTTTTCTCAAATAGTGTAATTTATTTTCTAATTTTAAGTCAACAAAATTATTTTGACTAGATAAGGCTCGGCCGCCTTCTGCTGCCTCCATTTCTATGTCACCCATGGCCAAAACCCCCTGCACCCACCACGCTGCGCCACTGGGGCGTGCTGGTCTATTTTGGCTAACAAACCAGCTATTGGCTTTAATCCGTCACGCATCCTTGATACACACCGTAACAAAAAATATAATTTTTTATAAATGTAAAAAAATTAAAAATGGTGGCTGTAAACACAGCTGTACGTTAGAGACACCATGTGGCTCTAGGACACATGATAGTTTACTTTTAGTTGGCACATCTCTAATGATAGCAGTTTTTTTTAGTTTTTTTGGATAAAGTACCTAAATCTAAAGCTATCCATTCATCCGAGTCCTTTCCTTCAATTCTAGGAATATAATCACTCTTATGACATTTCTTCTTGTAAACTTTCCTTACAAACTCTGCCAGAGCTTTGATGTGCCTTTTACTGCGAGCACTAACCACACAAATGTATTCTACATAATTTATTTCTTTAGGCACTGTGGTTACAAAGACATCTTTGGAGTTTTCTCTTTTTAATAAATCAACTAAATCTTCAATTTCAAAAACTCCGGATTTTCCTCCTGCAAAAAATATTTTTGTATAATAAAAATAAGGAACTTGGTACAAGTATGACCATACCTTGAAATAACTTTGTAAATTAAAAATAATAAAAATAAGGAACTTGGTACAAGTATGACCATACCTTGAAATAACTTTGTAAATTAAAAATACTAAATTGTAACAATATTAGCATTGAAGGCCTTAAAAAGATTTATACTAACTTTCTAAATTAATTCCATCAAATTCATCACTTAAAATAGGATATTTTGTCTCAGAATGAATCTCCTCAGCTGTGTGTTCAATGACTGGTGAGTTTTCCTCCGTTATAACTTGGTACTTGCTAGCTATCGCAGGGGATGTCTTGATGTTTGGTTTCGACGTTTGTCGAGGATTTCGTAAGCAAACTCCGCAATGAATTTGCCTAAAATACGTAATACTACTACTAGAACTTAGCGGCGACAATGATAGAGGTTTTCGGAGGTGCAAAATCGTCTGTGACAAAATGCGTTTATACATATTTTATTTTAATACTTTCCTTATTATTAGATTTTTGTCTTAGTTTTTTCAACTATAATAAACAATAATGCAATAACTTAACCTAAAACGACAGTTACATTGTCATGTTGACATTTAAGGCGTTCGGATACACAATGAACATTGCTCACGGAGCGGAGTGCCTCAATCGATTTATTAATAACAATTAGAAAAATATTGAACGTGTATCCGAAACAAGAAATTTTTCGGTTGCGCAATGGTTGCGCAAGAATTATAAATGGTGGTGCACGGACATAAGGAACCCTAAAAAAAATATTGAAAATATAAGGGTAAACCATGCGTTTACCTAACCTTAGAGGATGGAAAAAAATCCCTAACGCAGTATAGTAGAGTTGTGAAGACGAGTCTTCTATCCCACAAAATCTAGACAAAAATAAAAAGAATAAGTTATCGTTACGAGGAAAACAATTTATTGATTCTGTAAGTCGCCGTGACAAAGAAAAATAAAAACTTAAATCAAAATTCGAAACAAACACAGACAACCTACATAGAAGGTGTGTCAGCCATAGGTATACTAAATCTATGGTGTGAGCAAAAAGGTTTTCCAACACTGCCCCTTTCACGAGCAATCATTTGTAATAGAAACATGGTTGCGAACTTAGAATAATAACGCATAGATTTCATATCAAACGAACTGTCACAAGTGAGGCAAAAATCAAATTCAAAGAGAATTTAAGCACTACGTTTTCATGTAGGCTAGTTTTAGTAGTAGGTTAATTTTCGGTTTTAGTGAATATTTATATAAAAATACAACTTGAAACGCGTTACTTCCTTGTGGAATGTGATGTTAGTATCTATTTTATGTTTGTCTAACGTATTTTTACACTCATTTTCCGCACATTTCGTGATTTTTAGCTAAAATTCTTGATCTGTTCGCGGTGCAAGTTGACCTTGAGCACTGAAGGCCCGCCCGCTCGTATAGGCCCTTTGGGCGCGCTTCAATTTGCCTCACTTAGCGTGTGCGGACTAGGTTTCTATGCGTTATTATTCTAAGGTTGCGAAAGTACAAAATACAACAATAGTTCAATAACCTAAATTAAACCTAAAGATTTTGTGCAAACGGAAACCGCGTATCGATTGTTTCTGCTTACGGCAGATTGAAATTGACCTCCATAGGAGTCACTACTTTGTAAAAATCTTCCGTACCAAATTTTGTTAATAGACTTTTTACATATTCCGACTGTGTCAGATTTAAAGTCCGTTGCTCCCAGTTTCTAGCAACTTTCATACCCAATGCTTGCTTTACGGGTCCAAGCAATTTGCTCTTGAAGTTGGAACTGACTAACTTATATAGCTTACTTTTTTGATGTTCATTTGAACTAAATATGAAGAAGTCATCAACATAAAGTTCTATATTGACCTTGTCTTTATAATAGACACATTTTTCAGTCTTTAATTGCGTATAAGCATTGGTAATTAAAACTTTGTGCACTTTTTCATTCCAAGCTCTACTGGCTTCTTTGAGTCCATCTAAACTCTTCTTGAGTAAATAAACTTTGTTCTGCCCCTCAATATCAAATCCAATAGGTTGCTCCTGCACGCACTTAAATTAATGCATTCACTAAGATCTCCATTAGGGATTGACATCTATATGTTCGATTTCCATATCATTTTCAATTCCAATTGCAAATAATAGACGTAATGTGCAATGTCTGACTGATGCAAAAGTATTTTCATAAACCACACCATATTGCTGAATGAAACCATTTGCAACTAAGCGAGCTTTAAATTTTTCAAAATTACCACTTGGATCAACATTTTCTTTGAAAACCCATTTACATATAATGACATTTCAATGTTTAGGTCGATCAACAAGTTCCCAGATTGTGAAGTATATACTATGTCACACAGGCGACAAAAGTGAATTATTTTCTTCTTACATGGCTTCTAACCAACATTTCGCTTTTTCACATTTTATATTATGAAGACAGGAGTCTTCTATCCCACAAAATCTCGACAAAAATAAAAACAACCAAGTTATCGTTACGAGGAAAACAATGTACTGATTCAGTAAGTCGCCGTTACAAGGAACATTATAAACTTAAATAAAAATTCGGAACAAACACAGACAATGTACAAGGTGTGTCAGCAAAAAGGTTTTCCAACTGGGGTAGTCCAATTAAGTGCCTAATTTGTGCTAAAAATAAGTTTTTTTACCTTGAAAATATTTTAGTAGTTATTTAATATCTACTGAATTCATAAATTCACTGAAACTCGCAGAAACTATGCCAATGACGTTTATCAGCTCGAGTCAACACCTTCTATCTAATCTGCACTATCAAATAGGTGTGTGCAAGAACTGTTTGTTTCATTTACTCATTTATTTGAAACAAAATAGTTTTGGTTATTTCGCGTTCTCTTTAATACTAAATTTTTAACATTAGTGTATTAATTAGGTGCCTCTCGTCTTTTTTAGTATTAAAATAATATAAAATAATTGCCTATTGTATATCCTGAATATATAAATTTGGTTTAATCAATATCTTTACCGCAAGACAATGCAATTCGTTCACTTAAGTGCTGTTTATTGTGATTTTCAAGGATACGGATAAAAACATTAAGTGATAAATTAATTGATTATATTATACTTGTTCCTTACTGTTTCAATATACTTGTAAAAATGTTGAAAAGTGTTGCGAAAAATTAAAATGGTAACTTGTGAGTTGGATAAAGAAATTTCTGGCGAAGTGCTGGGACTGAAGCTACCTACATGGCAGGCGCTGTTGCTGCACCGCGTTTTACCCTCTTGCGGTGGTTTCATTGTCTACCTCACTGTCATATGCTTCGATATCGCGGTAATATACGAACACTATCGGAATAAGGATAACGGGTAAGGGTGTTTCTTTTTACACGCACTCATACACTATACAGAATTAATTAAAATTAGGTGTAAAGTAATTATTGTTTGTTTGTTGCTCTTAAATTTCAGTTTTTATTTTTGTAAGTTTGGAGTTACTCGTCTTGTCAACCTGTGCAGTGGGTTATTTGGAAATAGCGTATTTTTTTTTTGTTTTGTTTTTTTTTCGTATTTTCTTTACATATTTATTTAGGTTTATATAACTATATATATATTTTTTTTATTTTTTACAATGTTTATTGAAGATGATTATTTTTCTTGCTCTTCAGATGATTATATTAGCGCCCAAAGTCATAATACTTCACTTTCAGATTCTGAACCTTTGGAAGATAAACTTCACGATGTATTTGATAATTATAACAAATTCCTTTCCTTAGTGCACATCAACGCGCAGAGCATTCCTGCTCACTACAATGATTTTCTTACATCTTTTAGCGCCGGCATAGTTGATTGTATTCTTGTGTCGGAAACCTGGCTGAAACCTACTTTACCTTCTACTAGCTGTTCCATTCCGGGATATAAACTATTTCGTAATGACCGTGTCGGGGGTGGTGGAGGTGGTGTTGGCATTTACCTTCGTAGCCACATCATTGCTGATGTTGTTTGTTGCTCTCAGTCACTATACACGGGTTCCTTGGAACATTTATTTCTTTCAATTGTAGTTCACCACAAAAAAATCCTGCTTGGCGTTTTATATAGCCCTAATGATAAAACAGAATATTTTAACGTCTTGGAAAGTACTTTTGAAAACTTGGTCCCCCCTTTTTGACCATGTCATTGTAATGGGTGACTTAAACACGTGTCTCCTCAAAAATGACAGTCGAGCCGTCAGGTTGGCAGCTTTGACGTCTGCGCTTGATCTCCAAGTGCTAAATACAAAGAAACCGACCCATTACTTTCCTAACTGTAGACCTTCCTTGCTAGATTTAATTATTGTCACTAACCCCAAACTGGTCATTTCGCATGGGCAGATGATTGCTCCCTTTTCACATCACGACTTAATTTATCTTTCTTACAAAGTGCGTCCACCTAAAGGTAGGGGAAAGTCCTTCTTTTGCGAAATTTCAAGAATTTGAATCTGGATCGTTTGAGAGAAGATATGAGATGTATTGACTGGTCCGTATTGTTTTCGTCTGACAGTATTGACGTAATGGTTGATATCCTTAACACTGAGTTGGTGAAGGTTTATGACTCCCATGCTCCTGCTCGGCCTGTGCGTGTTAAACGTGCGCCGGCTCCTTGGCTTTCGCCTGAGATTAAAAGAGTTATGGCAATGCGTGATAAAGCCAAATGCCGTCTAAAACGTGAGCCCTCTTCAGCAAATCTAGACGCGTATAAGAAGTTACGCAATCTCAGCAATAGAATGTGTAGGGATGCCAAACGTCGCTACTTTCACTCTACCATACAAAATCTTTCCCAAGCTCAGGTGTGGAAATTTTTACATTCCGTAGGTGTTGGCAAGTCGTCCTTGGATGTTTGCCAAAACAACATAGATCTCGATGCCCTGAACTCCCACTTTTCCACGCCGCCCATCATCCTTAACTCTCGCACTAAATCGAATACTCTAACTTTTCTGTCTAATCTTGCGTTACCTGATTGTCCCCCTTTCACTTTTAGTGCGGTCACAGAGGATCTTGTAAAAAAGAGTATCCGCTCGATTTCCACTAAGGCCATTGGCAGTGACAATTTGAGCCTCGAAATGATTCTTCCCGTGCTGGAGGACATTGCGCCGGTTATTACTTACATCATAAATTTTTCTCTCTCGCGCTATGTCTTTCCAACTCAATGGAAAAAGGCTTTTGTCATACCTCTCCCTAAAATCCAGAATCCTACATCTTTTTCACAATACCGTCCTGTTTCCATTCTCCCCATTCTTTCTAAAGCCCTAGAATCCATTGTACATACACAACTTTATTCTCATCTTACCTCCTATAATCTTTTATGTCCGTTTCAGTCTGGCTTTCGTCCATCTCATAGCACTATTGGAGCATTACTGAACATTACGGAGGACATACGTCGTGCTATGGATGAAACGAAACTCACTGCCATTGCCCTCTTGGATTTCAGCAACGCTTTTAACTCTGTTGACTTCGACATTCTTCTTGGTGCCCTTCAGGCTGTTAATATCCCCTCTCCTATTATAAGTTGGTTCTCTTCGTATCTTTTCGGTCGCCAGCAGAGCGTGAAAATCAATGATGGCTCGTCATCTTGGTCTAACTTAACTGCTGGTGTGCCCCAGGGTGGCGTACTCTCTCCTTTACTCTTTTCTATTTTTATTAATAATATTTCCCGTGTCATTTCTTCTCCCTTCCATTTATATGCTGATGATCTTCAGCTTTATCGTAATTTTGAAGTGGGCGAGGTAGCGGAGGCAATTGCGTCTATCAACTGTGATTTGTCTGCCATTCAGTTATGGGCCAAGTCATTTGGCCTTTTGGTTAATCCAGGCAAGTCTCAAGCAATGATTGTGGGCAGTAGCAGATTGAGGTCCAAGTTGGACTGGTCTTTGGTACCTGCGCTGGTATATGACGGAGTTCCAATTGCATATACTGACAAGGCTAAAAATCTCGGGTTAGTAATGGACTGCACCTTGTCTTGGACTTCTCATGTCAATGAGGTCAGCAGAGGAATGTACTTCTCATATCATTCTCTCAAACGTCTCCAATACTTTCTTCCTTTTCACACCAAAATTATGCTTGCGCAAACTCTTTTACTCCCTATTCTTGACTATGCCGACGTTTGTTACTTGGATGCGACCGAAGACCTTTTAAACAAACTAGAGCGTCTACAGAACCTGGCTATCAGATTTATTTTCGGTCTCCGAAAATTTGATCACGTTTCCGAATTTCGTGCTCGGTTAAAATGGCTCCCAATCCGCCTTCGCCGTGATGTGCATATCCTGTCCACCCTTTTTAATATACTTCATGACCCAAATTCTCCTTCCTACCTACGTTCCCGGTTCCAACTGCTTCCCCCTCCTAGCCGCTCAAGGCGTCCGTGCATCACTAAGATGCTCGTTCATCCTAGTTGTAAAACAAATTTCTTTTACAACTCCTTTTCCTCTCGTGCAGCGCAGCTGTGGAACAGACTCCCTTCCCATATTCAGTCTAGTCCGTCAATTGCTTCCTTCAAGAAAAGGTTGACAGCGCACTTTCTTGCTGAACTCTCTTAATAATCATCATATTTGTATATGTGTAAGTTTATTGATACAATGTATTATACGTTATGTAGTCTATTTATTTATATACTATTTTAATTATTTAACGGTAATTTTATATATGCATATTTTACACATGTAGATTATCATCTTTTGTTATCTCTTTTGCACGCCGTTCCCCGCTTAAAACCTTTGCTCTCACTGCCTTGGGTTGGCTGGAAGAGATCTCTTTTAGAGATAAGTCCACCTTTGCTCACCTTATGTTATTTTTTTGTTTCTGTTTATTTGTTTGGTGCAATAAAGAATATATATATAAAGTCAAAATGTTAAAAGTAAATGTTGATGAAGGAATTCTTATCAAAGTTTTTAAACATAGAAAAAAGGAAGCGAAAGATTGTCTTTTAAAACGATTATCCTTACCTTGAACTATGTTCTCGTTCTCCGCCTTGATCACTTAGTACAAAGTAAATAGATAGATACACACACTCTTACATTATACACAGCCGTACACGTACGCACGCTAAATAAATTAAAATAAATATTAAACATCACATAAGTTGCTGTGATCCCAAAGAAAGCAACAAAAGCACTTTGCTTAATGGAAATCGGAAACATCAACGGTACCATACCGACCAAGACCCGAGAAAGCGGTGTGCAAGCCACTCGACACGGATGTCGTCGTAAAAATGGTGATGATGATGCCGATAACGATGGCGTGGGCGATGGTCGTAGTGATGGCGATGGCGATGATAATGGCAAAGGCAATGTGATGATCGTGATGATCATAATATTTTGCCAGATATTTAACTTATTAATTGTACCAAACGCATTGTTATGTACTTTTTCAGACTAGGAGCATTCTGCATAATTCTCCTGGTGCTACCAGCAATCATATCTTTCGTTTTCACATTGGCTTCTCCCCCGCCAAGTCTACAGACCGAACCGTCTGCATTTACGGTCAACATCGAAAAGAAAGACTGGAAGTGGATTGTAATGCAGATCGTCAATTGTTTGTTTTTTCCTATAGCTGCAATTGGACGGTGAGCCCGCAGAAAGTCTTATAAAAAAATTGAGCCGTTACCGCCGACTTAAAGTGTAAGGGTCGTATTCTAGAACTCTACTCAATGCTCAAGTCAGGATTTGAGTATGGTTTAAAGCACTTGATATCATACTCAAGTCCCTGCCATTAGGGTCGTATTTCCAGTGCTTGTGTTTCCAGTGCAATCCTGACTTGAGCATTGAATAGAGTTCTAGAATACGACCCAAAAAGTCAATAAACAAAATTTTCTGGAAACGATTATTTAAATATTTATGTATACATATAAATGTAATAAGTACTAAATTTTTTTTTTATTTATTTATGAATTTCGTAACCGATTGTGTAACAGGTAAAATTGTTTTGAAAACAATGTACGTTAAGCCTTTTTGGGCGCTTACAATGTTTATGCTATGTCTATCTAAATATTTTTCAGGTTTTAGGCATTTTTAAGGTAACACTTGCGCTTGAAAATATGCAACAAGGTGCAACACGTTAAACGATGAAATAGTGATGTACTATATCGGTTGCGATAGCAAGTGGGGTCTTACATTATGATGTTTTAATACTGATTCTCGTTTTGACGCTTTGTGCCAGAAACGCAAAATGCCAAAAGGGATAGAATGCCAGATTCGCAGAATACCAGATTCGCAGAATGCCATATTCGCAGAATGCCAGATTCACAAAATGCCAAATGTCACTGCCAGGAACAGGCCTTTCTCCTCCTGACGTACGAACTAATATCCAGTAGTGGACGTCATTCGGCTGAAATAATGATGATAATGAAGCGAGGTTCTGATGTTTTATTAATTTATTAAAAACAAAATGTAGTTTCCTCTAACTACTAAATAACCTCGCAGTGACATTTGGCATTCTGCGAATCGGGCATTCCGCGAATCTGGCGTTCTGCGAATCTGACATTCTACCCGTTTCGCATTTTGCGTTTCTGGCATAAAGCGTCAAAACGTGGATTCTGTGAGCTAGAATATAAAAAACAGTTCAGCTAACGATAATGTCAACTTTTGCTACAATTTCTATTTGATGTAATATTGGCGGGAAATATCGACGCATCCTTGTCCGTTATAGTTTAAAATATTATTTGCAATAAAAAACGTTTAAGTAAAAATGGCACTTACGATAATAAGTCGGCGACCATGACTCGATTATACGTAGTAATAATTTCTGTAACTTTTACGACTTGTTGAATAACAATGAAATCATTTAAACTATTTTTTGTTACGTCGGTTTCAGATATTGTCATCAAATTTTCTGGTGGGTAGAAGCAGTATGCGCTTCCCGAGTACAAGATGAAGAGAGAACCGTTGATGCTCTTTCTCGTGCCCGTGCCCCATCCCCCTTGGAACTTTATTTGTTCCTGCAAGCATTCATACATTCAGCTCCATTTGCCATCGTAAATATTCTTGATATGATGAGCGGATATCGCGATCTCCACTTTGATAAAGGTGAGCTATGATTTAATTTGTTTTGGTATGTTTGATAGTAAATTTGCCTACTTATATATCTGATACTTGCACCTCCTACTAGAATACTATGCGGAATGTCGATTTCGTATTTCCGTAGAAGCGCAGCACACATTTAGAGCTATGGCACACGATGCGTTGCGTCGGCGTTGCGACGCCTGCGGTGACGCTGCGTCGTAATATATATAAATCAGAACGATATGCCACACGGTGTGGCGCCGTCGGAACGCGTGCGCATCGGACAAGGGGCTAGGAGACGAAGCGGAATGTGGCGCTGCGGATTGAGACTAAGCAGGTTACATTGTGACACCGAAGCGCTCGTGCGACACTCATTGCGTTGAAATCATAGCGTTTCGACAACGTAAGGCTGACACAAAGCCCGTGTGGCATCGCTATTACGCGCGCAAAGTTTTGTAGCTAAATGTCGCATTTATTAAATATCATGATATTTTACTACCATACATTTAGTAACTTCATAAGTTTAAATTTGTATTGAATTGATATTCAACTATGTTTTGTAAAATTACTTACTCCACAAGTTTATAACAAACTAGTGCGGTAATTGAACAAAAAAATGAATATCTATTCAATTCAAATTTAATAGCGACATCTCTAGCCAGGGCTGGTAACTGTAAAGTTAATTAAATTTTTATTGAATTGATATTCAATTACTTTTTGTGAAATTACTCCACTAGTTTGTTATAATTATTAATACAAAGATCGAACACTCAGAAAAAACACTCAGAAAAAATTCCTTCGATCCGGTCGGATTCGAACCGACGTCTTCTTGCATACCGTGCCAGACGCTATACCAACTAAGCCACATAGAAACAAGCAAGCACAGAAAATTTCGTGAGGTCCGCTAGTTCCTTACGTGTCTTAGTTGGCATAGCGTCTGGCACGGTTTGCTAGAAGACGTCTGTTGGAATCGGGCCGAATCGAAGGAATTATTTCTAAGTGTTCGATCTTTGTTTTAATAATTATAACAAACTTCGTAAGTTTGTCACAGATACGCTGACGGCAAAAAAGTCGTTTGTTAAAAACCCAAAACACAGATCATAGCGAACACAAAGAAATTCATAAGTTCTGCTGACTGGGACTGTCTCAGTTGATACAGTAGCCCTGGTATGGCAACAGACACTGGCTGTAATTATTATAATAATTAGAATCCAGTCAGATTTGCAATTTTTCTTTGTGTTCGATCTTAGTATCAATAATTATAAACTAGTGCCTATAGCCATTGACTTACAATTATAATAGCTAATATTTTTCCCATAGACGTGACATTGTGTGAGGTCTAACCTCAATTATATCACGGGACGAAATTAAAAACTTATAGAAAATTATTTTTGTGTTAGTTTCAAAATTCATCCATATCGGCTGAGAAATTTGGAAATTGTATTTGAGTGGATGCCAAGAAAGCTTCGAGCTTGCTGCGCTTCTAATTGTGCTAATATATAAAAAGACTTAAATTCTGAGCATTTATTAATACGCATCATTTCCCTTTTTCAGTCAGTGTTCAAGCTGTAAGCATAATTGCAGCTACATTGCGAATGGCGAGTACTGCTACAACGTACAGAAGATTTTCAAGAGAAAAGCTTTGCGGCAGAAGGTACCCATGGATAAATAACAAAAAATCAGACGTCGGAACAAGTAACGAGGGCCAAGAAAATGAAAAAGAAACAGAGGAAGAACCTATATATGAACCAATATTACAACGACAGCCACCTTTATTACAAAGTATTAATGAAGATGACAGGAACAACGCGAACAGTGATTTGATTGAATTCTCTCCGTCATATCCGCGGAAAGAACCATGGTTCTATGACTCTGATTCAGGTAATAGTTCAGATTATATGCCTCCCGAATTCGAAAGCCGATGGTCACGAAAAACATCGCATAGCAGTGTGGACGCATACATACGACCGATATCAATAATAGATAAAATAGCACCTTGGAGGCGTAACGCACCTGTCACGATTGAAAGAGTACAGATAACACCTCCGCCGGCGGTACAAGCGCCACGGCCGATGTCTTTAGCCGTTTGGGCTGAGAAATTAGTGGAAAATGCAGAATCCATACCGGGCTGGCTTTCAGCGCCTCACAGAAGCAAATACATTGCCCAGTTAAACGAACTTGAACCAGAATTGCCACGTCGAGTGCCACGTGCTTATATACGTGGATTAGAGCCTCAGGACGCGACCGCTGCGTTAGTACAGTTTCTAGGCTGGTATTCCTTTTTCGTGGCTCGGTTGCTTTCTATAGCCGCATTCATTAACAGCGTGCCCGTGGCGGCGATCATAGTCCTGTTCTCGCATTACCAAGTGATGCTCTTGTTGCTAATCGTGCCACAAGCGAGCACAGTGCGGAGAGGTTTCTATATGTTCCTCGCATTCATATTCTTGTTTTGCTTGATGGAATTCAAGATCCGCTTCCGGCACGTGCGCGTCTGGCATGTGTTCTGGATTTTAGTGTGCACTGTAGAGACCATTATATTCACCGGCTTGTGGTCAACTATCGGCAGCAACTTGAATGGTTGGTGGACGCTGTTCGTTGTGAAAATTATCTTAGGTAGTTTACTACTAAGCTTCATGTGTTTTCTTGTGTATTTCGTATTGCTTAAACCCCGAGAAACGATTGTTTATAAAAACAGAACTAGTAATTCTGGTAAATAGCACCTATGCTTGTATGTCAATAAGCATTGTATTCTTGGAATCAAATTAGATCACGAGTAATTTTGGTGCTTCTTTGTGTTTTCAATTACGAAAGTATTGGCTCTTTGTTCCGCGTGCATCGGCGAAGCTATAGTACTCTGTAGTAGGTATATAGAATATTGCTTAATCTAAGTACGTGTATGTTCTTATTTTATGAAGTTAATAATTTTGTACGCTAATATAACTGTATTTATTACATATATATTTTTCTACTTTGGTTTTGTTATTACTTTTAACACAATCGCGTGAGCATCATGCTTTTGCCAGTTGAGGTGCAGTGGCTGATTTTTTTTTTCATAATAAAAACATTTAGAAACGTTTCTTCTACATGTTATTAAACGAATGTAACAAATAATGATACTAGTGGACGCATGACGTCAATAAACCGTCTATGCAACGTTGTGCTTGTATGCCAGTGATTCAATGATCACTGGCTGATGTAGGTGTGAGTAGTGCTTACTTATCATGAGAAATTTCGATACTGCGTGTGGAAATTTCTCAGAGATATTCAATATTTTGATAATATGTTGTAGAACAATAACGTCACTATTAAGATTTTGTATAACCAATTAGCGCTCTCTTACGTTCTTCGATCAAATAAAAGAAATTAAATGAGGTAATAGTACTTACGTTGTTCTACATAATTTTTTTAATGTTTTTTATGAGACCAAGTGACGGAACGAACAAGTCGCCCACCTTGTAAGTGACACGCCTGTCCATAACAGTTGCAGTACCACTCAGTGCTTTAAAGCTCGAAGATCGGGCACTGCCACTGCGCCTATCACCCTGAGACATAAGTTGACAAGTCCCATGTGCCTGTAATTTCACCAGAATCCCTACCCTTCAAAACCGGAACAAAGTAATGTTAACATTTCTGCTTGGAGGCAGAAATAGGCATGGTGGCAGTAATTACCTGGACGAACTCTTTCACAAGTAGCTCTAAAATATGCTGTATTTACTATATTTACTGCTAGTAAAATGTTACTCGATAACTCCGGCTATAACTCCATTTGTGAACCGATTTTGAGGATTATTCACCCTGAGACATTAGTTGACAAGTCCCAAATCCCCTGGAATTTCACCAGCAACAAATGCTTAGAGCGGCATAGTTTAGTACGTAACTCGTGCGAATGAGTTCGAAAAACATCCTAAAGTGCGTAATTTTGACGACTTCTCTGGCCCCAACGGTTTACACTGTGGGCGCTGCATGAGGAGTCTCGGGCTCGATTCCCGGTGGGACCAATTTCAAATGACCTTCCTTGATCCTGATTTGGATGTTCTAACTAACGCCCCGGAGTGAATTCCGATGCTCTGGTACTCATAATACAGGGAGTTCTCAAGTTTGAGATCAGAAAATCATGGTGGTTATTTGACACGGTTATTCTATATCTATACGTACATAAAAGATCAATTCAAGCCAATGCTAATCTCAAGTTACATAACTGTTGTGATGTCAATTCCGATTATAACAATAATAATAATAATTGTCTTGTATAATATAATCCCACTGGTGGGCACAGGTGAGAGGAGTATCACAATGAGAGAGCAATGCGCTGGTTTCTATGTAGATTGTGTATTAACGGCGGTACACACTCAACATAGCCCTGCACTAGGGAAACCCGATGTCGCGGGTGCCATGGACACACACACAGAGACAACCACAAATTACACCCAAACTCACGAGATAAATAAATGTAGACCATACAAATATTTTTCCCGGCCCGGGAATCGAACCTGGGAGCTCTGTGTGGCAGTCTGGCATGGTAACAGTTCGGCGACGGAGGCAGTTATGTGCCGGTTTTCTCAGAATGTTTTCCTTCACTGAACAACTCATGATAATTCAAATTATATTTCGCATATAAATTCCGAAAAACACAATCTCGTGCGTTCGTGGAATGGTTTGGCTTAAGTCAAGCCATTAGGCTATTACAGCAATTCCGATTAAAATTGACAAAAAAATATTAAGCGCTGAAAAAAATTATCTACCTAATAGAACAATCAAAAACACCCTAACCTTTTTACACCCAAACAGAGCATTTGTATCCGAGATTTCCTTAAGGTGCATGCTGTAAGAGCAATGGCAATAAACATTATGATTGATACTTCAAAGCATCCATACAGTCGTTTCCAACTGCCATTGAAGTTTCCAGTTGTTAGCGCAGCTGCAGCATTTTTTCGTTTCGTTTTTATCTTTGTGTACCTAAACAAGCGAGTTAAACTTAGAATAAACCGTTTTCAAAGTAGGAGAACAACAAACCTCCTTAACTCTAAAGCAAATCGTTTAAATAAGCCTGCTCATTAAAATTAAATTATGCAGTAAAAGATCCTATTTTTAAACAAAAATTTATTTAACTAGAAATTTTTACCAATTATATAAAATGCAAATCGTATGTTCCACGTCATTTAGTTATAGTAGACATTATTTAACAATAAACCTCACATTATAAATTAATGCATACGTTCTTTCCGACAGTACAGCGTATTTATTTTTCCACATATAAGGTTTTTGTAATTTATCCCAAACTTAAAAAAGCTTCTCATAAGTACTTAAGGTCTTGTAAAAGTAAAAGAATGTAGGGTAAAAAGTACTAGTGCGAAAAAGAACAGTAAATTGCACTATTGCGCAACTTACCCTTTACACAATGTACAGACGGCAACTCATCAAGCTACACATTGACGGATCTTGTTCCGTTGAACTCGAGTTGCAATATTCGAACAAAAGTATATAGTTTAGCCATAAATGTATACCTACCATTATTCCAGAAATTGTTGTAGGACAACTTAGTTAAAATGGTACTAACTATATTTGAGGCTATCAGCACAAAAGTGGTATCGAATGTGTACTTTAACATCATTTAATGTAATATTGTGGAAATAAAATTAAATGTGACTTACATCACTTTTTCACTGATAGCTTCATTTATAAACAAATCTCCTAATGTAAAAGAAATACCCAAAGCAATTTGATCTGGAAAAATACAACAATGAAATATGTACCCACTATTAAGTTTACTTAGGTGCGATAGGGTCCATAACGTATAGTATTACTTGCTCGAGTTATTTATTTCATACATAAAATCAATTACTGTTATAACTAAAAATGTTGGAATTGATAAATTTATTCAGTATTTTTTAAAACTTTCAAATCGTGTTTCTATTCCACAAGTTACGACATTATTTGGTTTCATGAGCGATTTATAAATCCGTTAATGGAAAACCAACAGTTTTAAAACACTACAACTATAAAAAGATACAGCCAATTACTAATAGGTTTCCGCCTTTACTTCGAGAAAAATCAAATACGAGCGCTAATTATGAACAAACAACAAATGCATTCACAACAAGCGCTTACATAAAGTAGGCAACCCGATACCGATAACTAGAGGCGTGAATTATTTAACATTACGGAGTTTACGCTTTAGTGCACTCACATTACAATTAAATAAGTTAACATATAGATTATGATTACATAGCACATTGTCCAAATACTTGGTAGCTTTACAAAGATAACTATTTTAAACCCTCGGTGTGTGAACTGCAACAGATCCGTAGTGTCTCATAAAACGCGTAGGTATATGACGAATACATAGAGATAATTAACGATAAACCTTACAGAGACGTGGATAATCCAATGAATTACACACATTCTTGATTTGCAATGATTGCAACTGCTAAAAACGATCGCAGAAATAGAGTTATCCATAAAAACGGCAAAGCTTTTACTTGTTTGCGGTGGGATCTTACTTGTTTAAATATTTTATCTAGATCAAGCAGAGCTACCGCACTGTGATAATAATCCAAACGTTGGATTTTTTATTTTAGCGCAATCAAACCCACCACTACCACTCACGCCTATGAATATAGCTACAAGGACGAGTACAACTATGAGTATCGGGAATAAATGGTGAACCGTGCTTAATTCAAACGCAGGTGGCTTTTCCATTATCATTTTCCATTTTCCAAGTATTTCTGGACGGCTAATTGTAGATGGTATTTGACGGGGATTCCATATTGACCCTCTGCAGTACAATTCCCTCAAGTACGTCAGAGGTTGAGTAGAATTTTGCGTTGAAAATGTTAAATGTTTCTTTAAGTGGAAAAAAGTCTGTGATAGAAAACGTTTAATCATTGTTCAGTACTTTTTCTTTCAGCAATAGGCAATTATAGCAAAATTAATAATAATAAACGTATCTCTATAAATTGACATATTTTCGGCACTGACACTTGTTTTTCAAAAAGGCCACAGTGACATTAAATTAAATAAATTTGCTTGTAACCTTCTTGTAATAACCAATCGATCATTTCAATGGAAACTTGTCGATGAAGTCATGCAAATGATTTCCAATTCTAAGTAAAAAATCATGATACAAATAAAGATATTAGTAAATTCCCGTGAAATAAATAGTAAATAACACAAAGAAGCATCACGCTATTATTTTTCCTTAGTGTATACCAAAATGCTAAGTACTCGTTATGCTCAGATAATAAAAGCAGAAAAATCTTCTTACGTCTCTGGGTTGCGGCGTCCTGTGAAGTTTGCAAGGCATCTCTTCTCATTGTTTTTTGCTAATTTACCGTGCGACCGCGATCAAGATCATGTCTTGATGAAAAGACGATTAAGGATAAATAACTATAATGTGTGTAGAGTACCGTTACTTACAGTAAGTGAATAAAATTTTGTTCAAGCTAACCAATTCATCTTTTATACAAAAAAATAAAAGACAGTCAAAAGATTGTCACAATGCTGACCTCCTTCATTGTCATCCAACCTTTTTATCACTGTCTTGACTGGTTCCTGGCCACTTACTTTTAAAATATCGTTCTCGAATACCTTTTTCCTTCACTATTCTTGTGTTGGTTCATGGTTCATTCGGTCCTTCATCACTCCCAAGGAGAATAAAACCACTATCATCACTCCCATCAAAATTCTCAAAACAAGTAGACTTGCTCATAAATCTCTCTCATGTAAAAAAACTCAAAGTTCAAGTGATTTACTGTGATATCATACAGATATAGGTACGTATATAGGCCCCTTTTGAGTAAATGTTGTCAGGATTGTGTTCCAATAGGGAATGTTTTACATTGATTGTTTCAATGTTTGATGTTTTATTCTTTATATTAATTTAATTTTCTTATTACATTTTATTATTTTATTGTTACAGCCTTTCATTTCTA